TTCTAAATATGTTTAGCCAGAATTTCCGATTTCTACGTGTTAATATTTTGCTTTATTGATTTAATTAATTACTTTGATGTTCTCAACGAGAAATCAGAAATGAAGATAGAAATAAAGAAGTCAAAAAGTAGAAAAGTGAGGAATAGAGTTGAAAAGTAGAGAGGAAATGAGGAAAGAGATAAATAAGAAAGCAAAGAATTAAATATAAAGAAATAAGGAAATAAACAAGAAATAAATATAGGAAAAGTAATACAAGCACTATGGAAACTGAGAGGGAACAGAGTCAACGAGAAATCAGAAATGAAGATAGAAATAAAGAAGTCAAAAAGTAGAAAAGTGAGGAATAGAGTTGAAAAGTAGAGAGGAAATGAGGAAAGAGATAAATAAGAAAGCAAAGAATTAAATATAAAGAAATAAGGAAATAAACAAGAAATAAATATAGGAAAAGTAATACAAGCACTATGGAAACTGAGAGGGAACAGAGTCAACGAGAAATCAGAAATGAAGATAGAAATAAAGAAGTCAAAAAGTAGAAAAGTGAGGAATAGAGTTGAAAAGTAGAGAGGAAATGAGGAAAGAGATAAATAAGAAAGCAAAGAATTAAATATAAAGAAATAAGGAAATAAACAAGAAATAAATATAGGAAAAGTAATACAAGCACTATGGAAACTGAGAGGGAACAGAGTCAACGAGAAATCAGAAATGAAGATAGAAATAAAGAAGTGAAAAAGTAGAAAAGTAAGGAATAGAGTTGAAAAGTAGAGAAGAAATGAGCAAAGTGATAAATAAGAAAGCAAAGAATTAAATATAAAGAAATAAGGAAATAAACAAGAAATAAATATAGGAAAAGTAATACAAGCACTATGGAAACTGAGAGGGAACAGAGTCAACGAGAAATCAGAAATGAAGATAGAAATAAAGAAGTGAAAAAGTAGAAAAGTAAGGAATAGAGTTGAAAAGTAGAGAAGAAATGAGCAAAGTGATAAATAAGAAAGCAAAGAATTAAATATAAAGAAATAAGGAAATAAACAAGAAATAAATATAGGAAAAGTAATACAAGCACTATGGAAACTGAGAGGGAACAGAGTCAACGAGAAATCAGAAATGAAGATAGAAATAAAGAAGTGAAAAAGTAGAAAAGTAAGGAATAGAGTTGAAAAGTAGAGAAGAAATGAGCAAAGTGATAAATAAGAAAGCAAAGAATTAAATATAAAGAAATAAGGAAATAAACAAGAAATAAATATAGGAAAAGTAATACAAGCACTATGGAAACTGAGAGGGAACAGAGTCAACGAGAAATCAGAAATGAAGATAGAAATAAAGAAGTCAAAAAGTAGAAAAGTGAGGAATAGAGTTGAAAAGTAGAGAGGAAATGAGGAAAGAGATAAATAAGAAAGCAAAGAATTAAATATAAAGAAATAAGGAAATAAACAAGAAATAAATATAGGAAAAGTAATACAAGCACTATGGAAACTGAGAGGGAACAGAGTCAACGAGAAATCAGAAATGAAGATAGAAATAAAGAAGTCAAAAAGTAGAAAAGTAAGGAATGAGTTATAAATGTAGTGAAGAAACGAGGGAAGAGATAAGTGAGAAAGTAAAGAATGAAGGATAAAGAAATAAATATAGAAAAAGAAGAAGGTTGGAAATAGAAAAGAGGGGTATTTCCAAGAGACCAGTATAGGAGACCGGCTCGCGGAAGAATGAGCGCTCCGAGTCCGGGCGCTGTCTTCGTCGCTTCCCCCACTCCCCCCCACTCGCCGAGTCCTGCGCGACGAAGTTGCGCGTACACAATTTTGGGCAATTTTCAGTACTTCTAAGTATTCTTGGCCAGGTTTTCTGATTTCCAACTGTTAATAGCCAAGAGAAAATCAAATTTTACTACTGATTTAAAGATGTTTTAATGAAATTAAAAACAAATTGAGGAGCAAATAGGAGCAAATTGAGAGCAATTAATTCATTAAGAAAATCATATGAGAATCTACTTGGTTATTTGGAATAGCAGTAAAACAGATATTTTTCTGTTTTAATGAATTTTTTTTATCATTGTATAAAAGCTGCGGAGAAATTAGAAATACATAAGGAGCATTTAAAGAGCAATTTTTCAGGCATTAAAAACGCATCATTTTTTATTATTTGACGTTAACTTCCTGACGCTCAACTACACCATCGTGCTGTTACAGATTTCTACGTAACCGATGCAGCAGGCTGCCTTAGTGCCTTACTGCTTTAAGCGCCGCCAGCTGCGGGCTAAAAGTCCTGAAGGATTGGTACCTAAGTCTGAGGTTGGATGTGTGGTTCTAGAAAAGCTGATAGGTATCAATTTATCCCTCACAATGTCTACGGTAAGTTAAAAAGGTATTTTATATTGTAGAATTATTTAAAAATGATTTAACAATCGAGGAATAACTCTAATTTAAATGCTACTACATAAAGATATGCGGATAGATATAACCTATGTAGTTTGTAACATAATCAGTCAGTATTATACTTGAATTTGTGTTTGTGTTTGATAGTTCAAAGTTGATACTATAATTGAATCTTTTAGAGACCTGATGATCACAGAAGAAAATGGAACAGGGAGGAATATGAAAGGATAGCTCTCCAGCGACTCCAGGAGGAGATTGCTGAAGAGGAGCTTGGCCTTCCTAAGCAGCCAGCTGTCAAAAGAGAACTACTCAAACAAAGAGACTACAAAGTTGATCTAGAATCTAAGCTAGGAAAGAGTGTTGTCATAAATAAAAATACACCATCCTCTCAAACTGGAGGATATTACTGCAATGTGTGTGACTGTGTTGTTAAAGATTCCATTAATTTCTTGGACCACATCAATGGAACAAAACGTATGTCTTTCTTATTATTCAATTATGTAAAAGTCTTGGTTATCATTTCGAAGAACAAATACCATTATTATAGATCAAAGAAATTTGGGAATGTCAATGAAGATTGAAAGATCATCATTGGAACAAGTTAAAGCAAGATTTGCTGTAAATAAGAAAAAAATGGAGGAGAAAAAGAAAGACTATGACCTGGAGCAGCGTGTTAAGGAATTAAAGGAAGAGGTATTTTATCAATAAAAACACTATATTTTTAGTGAATGCATTTTGGTTACAGCTGAAATAAAAATGAAAGCATCCATTCATAATTTAAATACATAATTAGATAATACGAATTATTGCCATACATAGGATTATTTCTATTATCCTCAGGAAGAGAAGATCAAGGAATATAGAAAAGAGAAGCGAAAGGACAGAAAACGCAAAATTGAAGAAGCCAATGATGAGGATGCCGGGGCTTCTGATGAAATGGCAATGGTAATGGGATTCTCTGGGTTCGGTTCCAAGAAGAAGTGATATCATATCTTCACTTTTAATTAAAACAAAGGTATGAAATTCCCGTATTTCTTGGGAGTCTGATAAGTAGACGAGAAAAATTGAATAGAACAAATGACCAGACGCTTTCTGATTTTTGTACAGTGATTTTTTATTCGAATCACGCGATTACTTTATGTATACAATCAAGTAGACTGAATATAGATAAAAAAGAAACGATATTGAACTAACATATGAGACAGTAACAAGAAACCTATACACAAACTTCAAAGAGTTAGTGATAGAATTAAATAATTATTCCGCAATATTTGTCCGTAAATATCAATGACACTGCGCATTTTTTCACTAACTTCAAGAATAAATTTTTTAATATAATGTAACTAAAATAAATAGTAAATTATTCATATGTCTGTATGATGATGTATTGTTACAGATTGATACCACTTTTATTAAAGTACAATATTTCACACGTTACATATTTTAACTATTCTGCCCCTCCTTACGCTTTTCAGTCTAATTCGACGTAAATTACAGGCTGCAAATCTTTTCTTAAAAAAGCGCGACGATACTCACAGGAATAATTTGACAACATCTTTGTCGGATGCAGACGTTTATATGTTGAAAGCATTGACGGTCTACTGACTCTTTTACAGTTTTCATTCTTTATGCTATCAGTAGCAGTTTTTTTAATGATTGTCTCCAGGGTATCAATTTCGCTTTTCACTTTGCTTTCATTGAAATGAAAATTTTTATTTTCTCCGATAACCGATAGGTAATTCTCATGAGTATCAGATACAAATGATCTACTTTGAATTCTGGTTGAACAGTCATGTTTTTTCATCCAATTATTTTGAAATTCTTGATAATACTCGGGGGTAGAAGGAGTCAGTGTTTCTTCCTTAATGTAAAAACCATGAGTTATTTCATCCTTTATCAACTTAATGCTATTGCGACGATCGCTGAATGATTTTAATTGGACATCATTATGCTCATTAGCCTCTTCAATCTTTTTGATGACTTCATTTTCCATATCGAAAGTCGACATATTAGATGCGTTCTTGTTGCAAATGATAATTGACGAATTTATTTCTTGTTTTATATACTCCTCACCCTCGTAGTTTAATGGGAAGCTGGGTAAATTATTTAATAAATAATTCTTATTTGCCTCGTCAGTGATTCCTTCCTCATTATCAAAAATATTACAACTATCAATAATACTATTATCCATGGAATCATCGGATGATATGACAATAATAGAATCATCCATTTCTTCAACGTCATCATTTAACTGTTCTTCGTGTTTTTCTCTACAGAATTCTTGATTACCTGAATAATAATTCTGGAAACATTTCAAAGTTGGCAAACTCTGACAACTTTGTCTAATATACTGAGTCGGCAATGACGAAAATTCTTCTATCGTAGTGGGAAATTCATTTTCGATTATATCTTGATGATTTTTCGTTTGACTAATCCATATTTGAGTTGAACTTTCATTTATACCAAAATCATCTTCGTCTATACTAAACAATTTATCAATATTCTCTTTCTCAATGGAAGATAATCTAGTAGTAGTTAACTTTGAACAGTCATGAAAACTATTCTTCAACAATGACTCCGAATTATTAATGCTACTACTTGCACTTGATTTACATAAAGAAACGCGATTGTTATTCAATGCAATGTTACTTAAAATTACTGGCCTCTTATAATTCCCCGCTGAATCATTTCTAAATTCATTAATTGTATTCGTCTCTACTTTCTTGTCCGATAAATTATTAAATGAATACATTTCTCCGCTCGCTTATATAGTCTCCTCTTCTCGGCACAACAGATCCCCGTGAAAGTGTTACCAAATATAAAATAACAAGGAACCTGTTCATAGAATACATGAATTATTACTATCCATACTGGGAACAAACGAAATTTCTCTATGCTCCCAGAAAAAGAAAGAACAGGTTTATCAATGTTCCAAGTAAAAAGAGTATGATCATCATCTATAATTTGTAAATATAAATAACTTAGTATTATATAAATAACTTACCATATGACGAGTAGAATAAATTAGCATAGTATAATGAGCCTCAACAAGGAACCCTTCCGTCGGAGCCACACGCAATTCGTGATATGACGAGGTGAACCAATTCTAACAGTTCTTTATCTGCTGTCTACCTGAATACAAAAACAAAAATAGAAACGTTAAAAATGTATCCAAGATATAATTTTTGCATTGGAATAAGAATTCCAGCCGAATAATCACGTTCCAATCGTCAGCTTCGTAAATCGTTCAGGGAAATCCTTCGCGCGCCATTTACCCCGTAAACATTTATATCGGTTTCCCACTGCCATTATAAGAAAGAAAAAAGACGTACTAAAGCTAACTTACACTCAAACACATTATCTGTTATATTACCTATACTTTCCACTACATAAATATCACAGTGATTTCTTACAGTCATTCAATTATATCCTTCAAATAGTATCCCTTCAGGAAAAGTGTCACTGTCTCAGAGGCAATAATGACGGGTACTTTATCATTTGAAATGATGTACAGTACCGCCACCTAGCGGAGGGCGCGTATACTAAAAAAATGCGAGTCTCAATTTCCGCTACAAAAATTTGAGCTAAATACGAGAAGGCAGAAACCGTTAAATTTCAAATGCCATATCATCCAGCGTGAATATCTCCAATAGAGGATCTATAAAATCCTAAGAGAATAAACGTCTGTGCTGGTGGTGGATTCGAAATCGTAATCGGCATAGAAGGAAAGTGTTGCCTCTTGGAAAGAAGAGTCACCGCTCCCACTATAAAATTACTCTCATCTCTTCTCTTTTCTTTGGAGGCAGCTTGAAGTCCGACATTGAACTCTCTCTCTGTGTATCTCCTCGAAGAGGACGACTCTCCCTCTCTCCTGGACTAGCAAGCGAGAGAGAGAGAGAGAACGAGAGGTTAGGTAGAAAGGGTAGAGAATGCCAAGAGGTTTAAGAGAGAAAGAGAGATCAGAGCTGAGGAATACTTGGAGGCGCCGCAAACTCCTTCTATACCTTCTATGTATCAACTACTATACCTCCAATCGTCCTATAGCTAAGCGCAGCACTGGACTACTCGGATCTTGCACTCTTAAGTTGTGCTTAGACTAGGACCTTAGGTCTTTATCAAGCTGCGCGAGTAATATCCCAGCATCGGTCTAAGGTTTAAGTCCTGTCGCATATAGGTCGCATGTGCACATACGGTTGCATATTAAATACGTAGAACGGGCATAGCTATAAAGGAGAATTATAATATTAGTTTGTCTTAAATTAATATGTAATCAAAGGCCAGAGACAATATAACACACAGTGCGTAATGCGATTAACTTATAAAACGTCGTGACACCTTGTTTAAGAGATTCACTTTGTTATTTTTTTTAGTGAATTAAAGGAAGCGTGCTTTTAAATTTGTTATATTGACATTCGTGCAATAATTACTTTAGGTGAATAACGTTAATGGACTGCGAAGCCAGTCAGTGCTTTCTCGTTCGAGATTTAGGGGTGAAAATTTGTGACGCACGTAGAAAGCATCGCAGAACGTATAAAGAGCGAGAATTGAGAATGCCGAGGAGTACGTTGCAGCCGATTGAGGAATTGAATTCTAGCAAGTTGGGTAAGTAATTGATAACATTGATACGATTCTTAGTTAACTGGAGCACTTTTCATTTCCATGGGAAGTGAAAATAAAACTTGTCAATCTTCTACCTGACATTTACCAAGAAAGAATCCGGCAGTCCTTGTCTTCTCCTTTAACATTGAAGCTGGACTATTCGTGCGTATTATCATGGCAATTATTTAATTCGCCACGATTATTATTTACGGATCACCCTGCGAATTTGTTCTTTGAAATTCTTGTAGAATTAAATCAAATGGATAATACAGTGTCTATCACTTTTGATAAGTCCTGTAGGAACGGTTCAGTTCAACGCGCGTAAAACGAACCGGCAAAACGAGTATGGAACACGCGCCCTCATTGGTGATCCAGAGGAATTTTCTCAATGAGAAAAAGTTACTGTACACGGGGCCGAGTACTAAAGAGAATTAAAGAAAAAGATAAATATATGATGTCATCCTAATTGGTATCATCTCGTGAGAGAATACAAAAAATTACAAGTATTATATATCACTGTGAGAATTACTTTCATTATCTCATTACAGTATGATCCCTTTTGTATTATGTATTAAGAGTGCATTCCAATGCAGTTTATTTCTTTGCAAAATCTCAGAATTCACATTCCTAGAGACAGGACAGTTCCTCGTATGGTACTGAATCGCTACAACCGTTTCTATGGCGCGACAGGATAAAGGCATTAAGGCCAAGTATTCAGTGTTAAGGATAATAAACACTTCCGCCTCGATACGCACGCCTATCTCGGTACGAGTTCACCTTATAATACTACAGGCTGTAGATTCAACTATTTCAATAGCCCTGATTACAAAGGTTACTAAAGCTGCATAATCCACGTGCAGAAGGATAGCCAATATTTTGTTTTCCCTTCACCAAACTAGAAGCATCCATCAAACTGTTCTTCTATGCGCGGACTATCGGTCTTTACTGTGTAATTTACCGGCCCTCTGGCGTTGCTGTCAGGTATCTCAGTATTGCAAGTAGCCAACCCTGGGAGCAATTCAAGCTCTGGTGAAAAAATGGTAACGATTTACAATTTAAGAATTACACAGTATACGCTATACTTAGTCACATAAGGATCTACAGGATACGTGCGCAGATGCGTAACTTGCTAGTTTTGCGGCCAACTCAAGGTATGCATAATTATATTAGACCCAAGTTCCTGCGACCATGGTGCATTGAGAATAATTGGTATCCTGGAGATCTGGCAAGTCTGCCGAAGGAATACAGTGTGTATGTCGAGTGAATTAATCGAGCACAGAGAAATTAATCTGGCGGCGCACAGAAGAATAGAAATAAATGTAAAATTATAAGCGCGGCACAGGAGGATGATCGAGACGCAGATCTTGCTTAGATTAGACGAGAAAGTTTACTTCCTTGAAATACATTAGATACGATGTCCGTCGTTCGTTCAAATATCTGGTAAATCTAACAGCTACTTGTCTAACGAGTTCTTCCACGTCGTTATTAATCATCTTCACTTCTACATGCTACTGTACGTATTAACCACAATATCTATATTTTTATAATTCTAGTTAGAAGATATTATATTACGCTTATAATTAAAAAAACAATTCATTATTTTCACATAGAGAATGTTCGTGTCGCATTTATGCTGTTGTTATTTTCAATTTAATTAGTACTAGTTCTTATAGCCCCTTTAAATGAGCTGTGAAATTTCTTTGGTTAGTGAAACTAGTCAAGATTAGCTATATATTGAATAAAATTAAATAAAACTCAAGTGTCAAAAATATCTCTAAAAAAAATTTACCGTTAAAACCAAACATCTTAGGTTTCAATGCGATATGCATATACCCAAACACAAGCACGACATACGTTTAGAAATCGTGATGGCATCCACATATGTGTATGACCAGTGAAAATGATGTAGTCAAATATGACTTTCCCGATGTTCAAGAATGTACCTACATGACTTTTCAAAATAAACTTTCATGTCTGACAGCCGCACTTGAAGACGCCATTAAATTTCTCATCCGCAGAGCATGCGCGCTTGAACATCGTAAACACACATGTTTGGTCGCATGGAAAATGACGGAGGTATAAAAAACAAATTAAAAATCCCAAAAATTTTGTACAAATGAAGGAATAATGTAACCATGCAAATAGGTATCAGAGTCTGAACAATATCGTGATAAATTCTATAGGTACAATTAACTATGTTTCTTTCGATCTCAATTACCAGTTTTACCGTTATCAATTTACTGGAGATACAAGATTGTTCGTATACATAATCGATCGGTGGTTCCCATTTGATAAGACGTTATCACCAGGAGTAAGTACGGTAAAATACTCGCTTGGTTGATTTGCGAGTTGAGTATAAACGTACAAACGTGTAAAAAGAAATTACAACTTGATTTATTTCATGATGAATTTTTCAAAGGACTTACTAAGCACGAGACGCCAGTTAAAACTGTATCAGCTTATGAATTACTAGATAGAGAATTATTATAAGGTTCTGTTTAAAAATCCCGGTTTAATCATCGTTGAGTAAAATCGATAATTAACCATCATGAACGGATAACTGATTTAATTGACGTTTACATGGCAGAAGGAAACTCGAAAATGACGACAATTATAAACTGTTTCTTGGTGGAGAAAGTGTAGCGCCATATTCTGGTATCCTTACATGCGATGATTCACAAGACTTTTTATAGATTTCAGAAAATTGAGACACGTTATACTCGATTACACAATTTACACCACATTGCAACTCTAATCTACAATTTATGACTATTAGATTGAAACACTCATCTATAAACCATCTGTTTCTTAATATAAACATAAGACCATATACTTAATTTACGTTAGATACTTTACACAAGTTCGTCATGCACTTAAATACTAGATTTAAAGTCATCAGGGTCTTCGCTTAGATTCCTTTAAATCGTTGAGTTGAATACATTCTTGACTCTGCGGCTGTTTCTAATGGCTTTCTTTCTCTGCAATCCAGTCAGACACAAGTGGTTCCAGCAACAGGGAACTTCCGATAAATAATGAGGATCACTTTAATCCGTGTTCCCATTCTATAAAAATATTTAACTGTGGGACTAAAACCGAGAAAGTTCATGCGAAATGATATTAAGAGTACACGAGGAAGTCAATTTCAGGTCGTTTCCGGTATGATGAGACGATATCCGCGTTTACGGTGGCAAACAAGATAAAATAGATTTCAAATAGAGAAAAGCCATTTGATCTATCTCTAGCTATTATTCTACTTCAGAACCATCAAAAGTACAGTTAATGTTAATACGTATATATTGGGATACGGTGGTTCAAAGACTTCACGTATGAGAAACTGTTACGGTATCGGTATGACAATGTTAACCATATACCGGTAGACTATTTAGCATTCACACTGTGTACAGATTGGTATTAGATATCCATGCTATTGCAGATGCTAGAAATAGCAAACTAGCTTCCAAGAAAGTATAACCATCCAAAGTAACAGTGTACGTGACAAAAACTTCCAGACAAAAAGACCAACCCATTTATGCATTACAGTCTAAGTATACAAAATAGCAAGTAGTTATAATTGTTAGCACGTGTAACAACTTATTGTTCAGTCAGAAATATTGTTCAAGCCTGAAGGAACCATCTTGACTGAGCACGTGCTCATTGTCACAAAGCACGTAGACACAACAGCAATCTTAGTTTGCCATGTAAACGAAGCCATCTTTTCTCATTCTTTAACGTGCAGCTTTCATATTTGGACTTGCATAGAAAAAAAAAGGTTTTAGCCTTACCTGGCAGTGGATCGTATGCTGCTCGGCGATGATGTCAGCATAAAGATTCCCATCTGTCTTATTACATTGCAATCCCAAGCGAAACGGTCCTTGTCATTCAGACTGGTATAAATGCTGCTGATTTTATGATAGCTGTGAACAAATCAGACAATTATGATACTTGGAACGAATTTTATTTCTGTTAGTTTTCCACTATCATCTTATAGTCACAATAAATATTACATACCAAATCCAGCTACGGCCGAAGGTATTCCTCCATTCTTCAAGCACTTTTTCGACCGTTTCCTTGGTTCTTGATGACCGTCAGCTGTGCCGTGCCACCTGATCTCACCTGCGATTACAAAACCATGTAATTGCAATTAGATTCTTTTATTAATGAGATCTCTAAAGGGAGATTGGACTACGGATAGTGTTACTCTAGTTTGTCATCACAATCTGTACTCCGACAGCTAATACATATACGCTGTGTATTTACTAATAGTGAACATTCTTATAGAAGACAAGAAAAGAAATGATTTTCAAAACATGATATTCGTGATTTGATATTCTACCTATAGGTAGAGTCCATGGTATAAAAATGGATGGATGTACCTAATCATTGATTGCGATGATTCTGATCATTCAAGCATAATCTAACACCTAGTAGTTAAACTAACTAGCCTTAGTACGTGAACTTAGAGTGTAAGAAGTACTGGATAAGAATATACCTATAGATACTCCAGTACTTATTGGCAACAGGGTATACCTGAAGCTATGCCTCGTAGGTTCGATTAGACTCAACTTTTTTTTATTGAAGGATAAATTTTAACGCGCGTGAACCATTATCTGTAATTTATAGATAATATGTGGTTTTGTCTGTTACTTACCGAAATTATTGCTCACATGAGTATAAGTATAGTTTGATGTATCCACCGTTTCTATTTTTCTTCCATGTAGATGTTTTGTTTTTCTTATCTAGACCTCATTTTTTTTACTGATCATCAAAAACCGTTCATGGTTTATATACCAGATTATTCGGCCCAAACGCACCACCTGAAATGGTTTTACCATAGGACTCAAATGGGCGCGCTAACTTCAGGTGGTCCGTTTCTACTGAATAACTCTATATGTAATAAGTAGAAATTGTAGTATTTTATAGAAATATGACGTAGAGGATGACGGTATAGAAAAAGATGGCGGAAATGCATTAAGCATCCATTATTCCATGACTCTTGCAATAATTGAGATAGGATGATCGACATCACACATTGCACGTAAACATCTGTTGTTGCTGAAAATTTTAAAAAGAATTAATTCAATTTAAATTACAAATAATAAATGATTTCAATTGTCATGAATTTACATTCCATCTTCTTGACACGATTACTTGTATATTGAGGCGTATAAGAAATTCTCGAAAATTTTTTCCATGTTATAAATTATCTGTCATGACTGACAACAATGCCAAGACTTCTACTGAGTTCCACGAAGTAAACGTTTAGCATCAGGCACGTTGCGAGGTTCCACTTATTCCGCATCTGTTGCAACTTTAACCTTTTCTTAATGATGATTATAAAGACAAACTTTCTTTTATTCAATTTATTGCATTAAATAGGAATTCGTTGAGTTCCTCGATCATTAAAGGTCATTAAGCACAGAGAGTTTTTGCCTTCAAGAGAATAGAACGCTATCAGTTATTTCAATATATGAAAATAATGCATCTATTTCCAGCAGGCATCTAAACTATTTTGAAACTAGGCCTAGACATTCAAACGGTTTTCTACACTTTTTATACATAAAACGGTCCTTGTTCTACCAGCTGGAACTAAAGGTCAAGTCATAAGCAATCGACCGTTATGGGTTCGCACTGTGAACTTGATCTTGCATTACACCATCAATGAAACGAACAGTCATTATTCTGAAAGAGTCAACTAAATATGTATAGAATGACGACGCAGTGGATGAGACGAAGAAAAACTGAGAATAATTTATAGGCAGGTTACGCCTGCAATGCAGATATTAATAAAAATGATGTATGCAAAACTTTCAAATAACCTTTGACAATGGCGGCGTGACCTCTTTTCCCAGATGGCAGATAGGAGAATTGCGTAGGAGGACGCTCCTGAAATTGAATGAGACAAAATCAACGAGTGCCAGATGACTCCTACTCCCTCTCCACGACAACATGCCGTAAAAATTATATGCGTTAAAGAATATATACATGATATCTATAGAACAACCTGTATAACTGCATTCTCGTTACGCTCCTGAGAAATGATTTCCTCAATCAATCCAGCGACCGTTTGCCATACTTGTAAGCATAAAATGGCCATCATCAGTTCTTCAGTACCTGTTGCACGCAATATCCCAATAGTTTCTTCTTCGAATCCACAGCTTGCACTTTCTACCCTTAACAGCATAACCAGAAAGTACATAATGCAGTTCAATGTATTCCAGAACAAAACAATTTCCTAGAATATGACATTTTCCAGTAAATAGCGCACAAGATATATATGGTATATAATGTTGGTATAGTATACACGTAGATGAAAAATAACGAATGTTAAGTAAATCCAGGCATAAGAAAGAAACACGAAAGACCTGACGCTGTAGAATGTGAAACCGTCAAAATCGTCACCCTGGTCACGAACGAGAGCTAGATCCATTCCATCAACCGGTAGCCACTACCACCAGGATGTACCTGGAGTAACGTGATATTACCGTAAAACCAAAGTCGTCATTTGCCTTTTGAAATTGTGACAGAGCAGTGCGGGTAGGCAACCGAACAAGTGCATGATACGTGATCCAAGAAACGCAGAAAGTTATCATCAGAGAGTATTACCTACATCAGGATTCCAAAAGTGTGATCTTCAAGGATCCATCTATTTTTCTTAAGAACCGGAAGAACTAGAAACAAGAAAACCAGTATTAATTTCTGTGATAGCAACCTTGATACGTGCATGCGTGCGGACGTCAGAAAGAGATTCAAGCAGTAGAGGGCAGAAACTACAATTAGGTTTCATACCTGTACGTGAAGACATCCAAATCTCTTCTGGGCCATGAGGACGCACTATAGGATGGACGTGTTTGGTAACTCACGAGCGTGACTTCCTGTAATCGTTCTACGAGGACAGATCGTAAGTCGTCATGGTCGCCGAACTGGCGAGCATTTCTGCTGCGGCTACGGAGCAGAAAAGTACCTCAGGGTCAAAAAGACCTAGACCTAGATGGATCCAAACCGCAACCCGCGAGCCAGTCTACAGTATCTTGGATAGTAAGGAGAGTTCTGTCGGGAGTATTCCACCTGGTGTTAAGGATAATGTCGTGGTGATAAGTGCTGTACAAAATAGAGACAATACAAGAGAGTCCAGGGTGAACGAAGGTGAGCAGAGAGAGTTACCTTACGTCTGGTTACCTTTGGAGAACAGAACTACAGATTCCGAGAATTACAGGATAGAGGTAGAGGACGAGCATGCTATATACAGCGTGGTCAGAAAGCGCACCAAGGAACCCGAAGTTCTGACACGTCAGCAGGAACTGAACAAGTGGTTGCAAACAGCCTCCGAACATTTGAAAAGAGATACCTTTGGAGAACGTCCTCGAGAAACATCCGAGATAGACCTTCCACGAAGCTCCAGAGCAATGTTCTCCGATGAAATGGATGAGGAATGGAAAAAAGAGAGAAACCCGTCCTCGGCACCCAAAGGAGTGGTAGGTCTGGTAGGACCTTACAGAGTCTATCCAAACCCTAGTGAACGCATGGAATACATGCTTCAGGAAGAAGAACTCGTCGAAGAGGTAGTAGACTCTGTTAGTGAAATAGCAGCAGCAGCTGGTATAGAAATACATCAGCGCGCCAAGTGGCGCATTCGAGAAGATGACGAAGAAACTCTAGTACCGGATCTACAAGATCCTGAGGACCTTAAAGAAGAACGAGTCAAGATAAACCCTGTTCCAGAAAGCTGGCGTCACAGGGAACTTCCAGACCTTGACGTGGGACGTGAAAATTGGAAACTCAGAGAAAGCGATTCTTCGTACAAGACAATTGGGATATTATCTGGTAAAGAGGAAAGAGCTGTCGACGTACCAGATGGAGCTTCAAATGCTTCTAACGATCTTAATTCCAGAACTGGTAAGAAGACCCCAATACAGATTCATTTAAAAAACATTAACCATAAATATCAAACAAGTATCCAAGTCCACCCGACTAATAAATAATGATCCAACGTATCATGCTTAGAATATAATAATAAGAGTAATCGCCACCCTATTTTGACCCCGTTCACGACTTACTTAAGTGAAAAAAAATGAGGCCGCCATGGTCGATTGACATGCAAGAGGCGCAATGTGTCATACGGTATTGCCGGGCAAGAAAATCGAGTAGCGGTAGACGTGCCACTGACTACGCATATGAGCAACCCATTTCTACCTAACTTTGCATCTCTTTGTACAGCAGCATGGCGAGTATATAGTTTCATTTCCTTGACACGTTTGATTAACGGTACGACGTGTAAGTGGGGAGAGAGAGATGAAAAGATACACAAAAAATACATTGATACTTCATGCGAGACATGTGAATTATAATGCATAAAACATGCATGAATAATAGAATCATCACACGTCTCATCGAATTTTCAAAGAAATATTCTACTCATGTACATACAAGTATGTGACTCCATGGGTGCTTCGTCCCATGATGACTGCTGATATGGGCAATTGATGAAGCTTCAGTATTCCACTTACAGAGACGCCATATAACGACCTTCATGACAGTAGCTGTGGACAATAAATTTATTTAATTTCTGCTATTAAACCTGTCAATCATATTGGTAATATAATTATACCTCGTACCTTGGATGGAGACCATCGTTAGAAAGTAATGATCCATGACGGAGAACCTAAAAAGAAATCATTTAATTACTGACCATCATTTGTTAAGATCAAGGATGACTAGAGTAAATTTATATTCTTTGATATACTGCAACCTATCCAATCCTATCTGCTAGCATAAAGCCAATATCCTTCTTAGAGAATGCCTAATTTAAAGTCACCAGGGCAACTATGGAAAGTATATTTGAACTGATGAACGAGTATCTAGGACAGAATTCATTCTGCTGCCATTTGCGATACTTATCGTGCGCATCGGTACGACTATCTCTTCTGCACTTACTTTTATATAATATTTTGGACTTCACGGTAGAAGCATCCGTATAAGCGTCCCTGTCAAACACACGCGGTCTTCCAGTCAGGATCTCCCGCCGACTCGACGTCTCACGCATCGACGATTCTTTTGTCCCGGTGCATCGTTGCACTTGTGCACTTCTGATGCACATAAGGAGTTACGCTTGGCAAGCATTAAGCTTTAAGAGTCTTTTGTTACGTTTCTACGAGTCAAGGAGCAGACTGATAGTGACTGAAGGCCAGCAAAGGTTCCTGCCTGAAACAAGAAGTAGGCAATGATAATAAATTGTATCAATTAATTATTATAATCACTATACTAATTCACCGCCAACTGTTATCTCTACTGAGTGTCGCAATGATACCTGCACGTTATTTGTATTGTCACTTTTTATTATTTATCTTAACGTTTTCCCATTAATGTTATTCTCTCTTCGGTGTGGAGCTTCCAACCACTTATATCCGACACATGGTACATCACCGTTATAAAGGTGCCGTGCACAACACGGTCTATCATCCAGTCACTGTTACACATAACTGATTTCACGTTGTTAGACGGTGCAGCTACGTACCGTTGTAACACTTATATGCATACTGCTTCTTTTCACGGTAAATCTTTACCACGTGTCATTACGTGATAGTAGTACCGTCAGTTTATCAGGATTATATAAATGATACTCTTCCTATGGCTTACGTCATGTATCACGGGATTACAAAATGCTCTAGGGCAATTTTTATAAACACTGAAAGTCTCTTTGACATCTGGCACGTGCCTTTTATAGCTACGAATAAAATTGATATAATCGATTGCACATAAATTCGGGTCGAAAAACACCATGCGATGTTGTTAAAAAAAAAAACGAAATATTCTTATCGCGGTCATACTATAAAAATTGACAACCATTAAATTATCATGCATTAATTATAGGGTGCAAGTCTTAAACATACTCACGCGAATATTCCTGTAGACATGCTAAAGCCTCCTGTAGTTCAGTAACTCTGAACAATCATCCTGTTATTCTTCACAGTGCAGGAACAATCTGAAAAAGAAAAAAACAACGATCAGTCATAACAATTTTTTATGATTGACAATACTGTACGTATCTTTCTAAACGTTTCTTACAATTATTGCCAATCTATTATTCTCAGGATTTCTATCACATATACAGTATGATGGAACGAGTTGAAAATATGTAGCTCTCGGATGGATTTATATTTTTTTTTGTGAATATAGATGGAATTGAGAAAGGATAATGAATTGGAATATGCCAACCGTGACGAGTTGTGGTATGAAAATGACGAATCTCATTAGCGACGCTCATAAAATCATTTCAAGAGACTTACCTCTCGTTCTGCGCTCGTTAAATGTTAGGGATCGTAGGAGAAAATTCTTATAGGCCAGAAGCAAACGCGTTGTGTGCTTCACCGAGTCGGTGTAAAAGTATACTCGTCGATGGTAGCAACCGTATAGAATGGAAATCGTAAATCTCGGATTTGTCGACATCCACAAAAAATTTCTCTTCCAATGGCCAATTTATTTATATTGGCGCAGGTAGTCTTGAGCTCTGTAACAAAAACAAAAAAACGAACCGTATCTTGTTTATTAGGAGAACAGAAATTACATGCTATTAATTTTATATACACTGTTGATACTTTTTATATTGAAGTCATATGGATACTCAATGATCAACTGGCACCAGATATGATTAACGGAACTGCAATGATAATTTAATGAAAATATCTGGCAATTGAAAATTCGCCATTTTTGTATAATATGCATATTTGCAATGTCTTGTGTTTGCACCACAGAGTGACATTTCAAATATTTATATTCTATATCATTAATGTATGTATATAAATAAGATGTCAATACGATGGACACTCGCGATTTCTCGCTAGTAGCATTAATATGTCGACGTTCCTTAAAAATGTAATTTGAGAGATCGTGAAAGCGGGGCGACGCTTTGTCGAGAAGTCACGGCGAAAGAGAGCGGCAGACAGAAGATTCACGTGAAGGCAGAGAGACAGAGAGAGAATTAAAAAATATGTTAGAGACTGTCGCGTCAAAGTCAATCGCGAAACTTTCATCAATTATAACGAACCGCCTTGATAATGCGAGACTTTCGCAGCAATTGAGATTATCCGAAAAATTTGCATCGCGCGAATGATAAATTGATCTCAGGAGACATTCGTAATATAAAATCATATTGATTGTAAAATGTACTTGAAAATCCGTATAACAATTGTACACATATAGACTATATGTCATAAAAGTTTAAGGTAAATTGTCCAGTAACAGTAAGAACAATCTAAATTTCATCTTAAAGTCCCATCAGCGGTACACCGGCGTTCTATAAAAACAGAGACTATTCTCCATAATATATTCAAAAACCAGTCAGAATTTTTAGAAACCGTAACTACCGGTCTAAGTTCTCAGAGATAAAATATAAAATTCAAATATATATTTGAAAAAAAAGTAATGTAAAATAAACTCAGTCAAGTTCCTCAGGGCAACGTTCGCACGTAGAATATAAGTATAACCATGGAGAATGGAAATGAGGCTAAGAGAACCATCACCATCATCCTCACCACCATCACCACCACCACCACAGTACCATCTCCGGGAACCGATGTATCTTTGGCGAGGTCCGCAGGACATGATCCAGCACTCGTGCTCGTGGTATTCTTAAGGACAGATCGTTCCCTGAAATACATATTTATATTACACAATATTGCATTGAATAAACGATCCGCGAAGTTATCGTGCACCAAGTATATACTAAGCTAACAGAGTGACAATCTCGAAGCTAAGTATAAGGTAAATTCAAATAATTCGCGCGTATCCATATGTATTACCGTTAATCTCTATCCCGCGAAGAAATCTTAAATAAAGAATAATATATCAAGTGCGGGTTATCATCGTCATTACAAAAACGTACAATACTCATTTGGGTGAAAAGTTTTATCAGCAGTGATACCACGGCGAGAAGGTCAACCTCTGTCTATGGATTTACGATTGACAGTCTCTACCGGCCAGGTAACATTTCTAAAACATTTCATCTAGACTTGAAGTGTTTAGAATAATTATAAATGAAATTATTCAAAAAACCAGTATAACAAATTTAATACAAGCTAGTTAGAAAAAATGATTCCTTGCTGTATCCTAAGACTGACAATATTTGGACATTGCGGATAACTTTGATTAGTTTTTCATTCGTAAGTTCTAATCGATGTCTTATAGTTGTACGTATAAATTAAATACCGTATAAAATAAATAGTATAAAACGACTTAAGGCAGGCATTGAATCTAATTATCTCGGCGTCTTTACGAGAGACCAGCATCAACTTCTGAACAGGTTGGCGTCACCAGATGCTCGATGGGTTGTGCCAACCGTGCGAGTTCTCATTAATGAGGATGATAATGTAGCGCGTGCGATGAGGACGGGAAACATGCGATAGGTAGATACATGCTCGTCCAAGAGACGAGGAGCAATTGCCAACATAATGGAAAATAATATTGACAAGTAAAAGGACCGAGGAATGACAGCCACGAATCCTCGTCTTTTAAAGCTAATAAATAACTTAGCTTAACGGTAGCGGCAACGTTCCACGCCGAAATACTCTATCCGGTGAAAAAGTATTTCACCGTTGCCTCGAGTTCTCACTGCAACTCGTTTCAATGCAATTTCTCAACGTAACATGTTATTACTTGGGTTTCACATTACACTATTCACTCGATGCACATGGACGCCATCGACTCTTTTACTTTTCTCCATTTCCCACGTGATGCTGAACAATATTTTTCCTTTGTCATAGGGTTGATTGCTACGTTGTGGCTTATGTCTAATAGATGCATGTGGACCAGCTGTGTAGATGACGTGTTTTGAAGAAATCAGTGGTTCCATTATCAGTCACTGCCATTTTATAGATTCACGAGTTCGATACTTTTTCTAGAACCTCGTGATATCGATGTTTTTCCTAGAAACAAATATAAAATTTGAATTTTTGAATTTCAAATAATTACACATTTTCTATCTATTACCATGACTACAACGTTCATCGATGAGCTATCTAGAAGTATTTCAAAATAGAAATCTTTTTATCTATCCAAATCAAATCCCGCATGGAATTTATCTAGCTGCAACTGTATAATTATCATTGAATACAGTTGCAAGGAGTGCAAGAAACAAAGTGCATCGCATGCAATATCATTACCACAAAACAAAATTTGTTGCAAACCGTATCAGCATTCCAAGATTAATGGAACGGTCATCATAAAGTATATTCATAATACACGTATTACCACAAGAAAAATTCCATAAAATCTTATTAGTACCAAACTACCAATTCAAATGCAAAATATCTACCAGCGTACTACGAATGATTTCCTATTGTACAGATGGAATCAAAACGATAACACAAACCGACCAGCATGATGTTAGTGTCTCAGAAAAGATGAGACTGGGCTTTTGCATGGGGGTCCAGGAAATAATGTCGGTAGCCTGCGGTATCCTAAAAAATTACAGGCCATTTCAACGGAACGAACAACGTAATTGGCTTTACCATCCTGAGCTAAGCTGGTGGGACTCCCCGCGTGCACAAACTATGCCAGATCAAAGGATAGGGAACGAAGAAAGTTGTTTTACCGTAATTTCTTCTCCCGGAAAAATATTCATACATACTATGTACATATATCCTACTAAATATACTATATACTCGCACAGTATTCATCAGGCCAAGGAAACGCTTCCTTTCATTTCAGCCCACAAAGGAACCAATTATCTCAACACATTATAAAGCTACCGTCACTTCCTCTTCGCATGCATTAGTTACAAACTGTCTAGAAGATGATTCGCAAGTGATTAGTACCGATCAGACTCGACAGAATCTGTTTGCTTTTTTTACAGATTTTCTTTCGTTTCTTCCTCTCATTAAACACTCGTTTTCTCGAGCGACAGATGCTAATCAGAACTGACATTCATATCCTGACAGCACCGCCTACGGTCGCACGAAAGTGAATCAGTGATTTGCCTAACCTTGCAGTGATGTCTCATTTCATCTTACACTAACCTATTCATCGTTTAGTCTGACAGGTTTACGTTAAATGGATACTGTGTAATGGATTTCTTTTTGGTATCTAGAGATCAGATGCTAATCCGCTGACCCCTCATAAAAACGTTCAATGTATCCATCTTTAAAGATAAATATTGAGAATCAGCAAGTCGTTAGCAATCTGAACGCATGCGGTAATTCCTTTCATTTTGAGCAGGATAAATATACAGTCGACATGTAATCGTGTAAAAATTATTTGTAAACAACATGTTTTCCATACCCAACTGAGATTCATACAATTTTTACACATTGAGTTTTTCGTACTGTGCTCTAAACTATACCGAATTAAATTTGACTATTTGAATTTTCAGGAAATAATGAGCAGCAGGATAAGGACAGCTTAAACGAGACAGGAAGCACAACGGGCGGCGCAGTGGAGGGAACACCTGGTGGAACCCCTTCGAGGGGTGACAGGACAAATAATGATCCTCAGGTGCCAGTGTCATCAACTTCGCCGCCCTCAAGGTCCCTTGTATCCAGGATCCTTGCTAGGGCTAAATCACCGGATGATCTACTGGACCACTCAGAGCCATTGTAATGCTACTGATTAATATATTTATATTTCTACTCTTATTAATCAATACCATACAATCACTACGTGAGAACACTATATTAAGTTTGCTTCAACGCCCCAGTAAGCTGATACGCAAAGTCATCTCCTAATATCGCCCACTAATTTTCAATATTTATATCAAGTATACTTATTGAACACATTGGAACCCATAAGTTACACGTGGAACATTGCTATCTATATACTAAAGGACGGTAGCACGGAGACAAATTATACGCCATCTAGCTGTGATATGATACGCTCACGCTATAATGCTAGGTCTATATTTCTAGTAAGACGCTGACGTCTACAACGGGACATTGCCATTACACTACACTACATGTATAAGGAGACTATACTATACTATACGATTCTATACTATGTAAAATAAAAGCGTGGGATTGACTCCTCAAGTATTTCTCTATGCATAATACATAACATTTTGCGATTGATTGACCGTGATTCGCACAAGAATGCGTCACGGATCACTAATGTACTAAGCAAATTATTCGATGACAGATTATCAGTTTTTATGCATAATTAAAAAGTAATTGCAATTCATTTATCTCGTCGTTTCCAGCTCACAGCTATGGGTGGTCCTCTCGAATGTCTATGGAGAGCTGGTGATAGTCCTGATGCTGGCCCTGTGCCTGGCCGAAGTGATGGATACTCCGGTACCACTGATGAGCCTCCAGGTAAGCCGACGAAGACAAGTGGATGTGGAGAAAATAATCTTGATCGCAGTCGAAGAAGATCCCTTCTTGGAAAGTGTAGTCTCCGCAGTGTTTTCTAAAAATTGTATACGTCCCACACAGTCTTACATCTTTAACAGAAAACCTGTTCCTTGTTGGGATGTTTTATTGTATATTTTTTTAATACTCACTTTTATTATTACTCCTCTGTCAGGCATTAAGACGTTGATAATATTGACTCTGCGACCTTTTCTGATCATAAATTATTCCAGGGTATATATGATTCTCGCGCGAAAACCACTGCAGCTTATTGAAAGCGGCAGATGGCTAATGCATATTTGCATACATATGCATACATATGCAAATATGCATTAGTTATATGGAGTGAAACAGCTTTATCGTAGACGTTAAATAATGAAATACCGACCTATTCTGTTTTTAAATATTTTCAAACGACCTGTATTTTACAGACTGATAGATTTCTTACGCTCTACGAATGAGGCACTACAGTTTGTCTGCTGATTGTGAAACGATGCTAAGACACATATTCCCTTCAAATGGTTACTCCCTACTTTCACTGCGTTCCTTAAATATATATACATATTTTGGATGGTATCGTAAAAGTAACATCTCCATTGGATCCTCTTGAACAATACCTATACATATAATGGTATCCACTTCATTTTAATGCGTCGGCACATGTCTGTTTATTTGATAGCATCGATCTGCAATTTCACGTTACGATCGTGAAACTGGGGAATAAAAGTGGAGAAATCATGACGAGGCGGTAACAGGAAGAAAAGTGCATTTTCGAAGCGATCCGTGACGTGCAGAAACCTCTACGTTATAACATAGCGCATGTGCAGCATCGATTCCTTTCATTTTTCAAAGTTACTATAAAGGCATCTGAATAATAAAGCAATTCTCATATGCTGCGAGTTTTAAGCAAAAAGAAAATCATGACTATTAACAGAATCTAGGCTTTAACGGTTATTATATCGCCGACGAATAAACAATTATTAATGCACCGATTGTAATATAATGCATTGACATACTCGTGAATAAAAACTTAACAGTCTACATTTTACTGCAGTTCAGAATTCTAGTTCATACCATACATACGGACGTGTTTACCTTAAACTGTAGGAATCTAATGGGAACGCGTACTAATAAGCGATTATGCTGGTTGCGTATCAGACGAGTTTACAGCTTTGTTGGACACTCGGTATCCTAAGGATTAATGAAGTACTATATTTTTAATTTAGCACGCCAGTGAAGTGATTAACGCAGTGAGATTCTATAAAAAAATCGTATCTTACGCCGACTTCTATCCCGAGGGTCAAGGGAGACGATCTCGACTTCCTCTATGGCTCATAATTCTAGTCCGTACGGAATCGTAATTGCATTCAAGTTCGTGCCCACAAACTTGCTTTATTTTCCTTGCGAGTAAATTGCAGATCTTAGCAGTCCGCTACCACCTCGTAGGCAACCACGACTTCATCGCCACTTTCACGGTCTTACGTATATATAGCTGATAGGCTCAGTAAAGTCTGAGACCAGTTCCACGAAAAGATTCGCACAAGGAGATGACGTATCCTTATTCTGGAGGATATACGATTCTCTTTTTCTTATCCGTAGAGCGTCTTCCTGATGTATCTCTACGTTGGGAGTATTGCTGTTATTATCAGCATCTACATCTGGGTCCTTGTCGACAGCTGCAGTAGCATGGGAAACGGTACCACTGGTGTGGATGATGCAGAACTGGGCGGCGCTTCTCTGACCAGATTTGGATCATTAAAAAGGGCCCATATATCGCGGGCCAGGACAGCCCCGACAAGCTTTTATATTCGTGTTGGTGCTCTCTGTAAGTTCCAAACATTTATGAATACGTCATGTCACGTAGACCTTTTGATAAAAACTGGTTTCTACATTGGTAGTGTTTGGATTGGCTACCTTGGTATTTAACGGCCTGGAGATGGCGATGCACTCGATGATGCAGGGTGCTGAGTGTCTCAGCGATGTTGTATTTGTGCATCCAGTCTTACACGGGCTCTTTACCTTCCTTCAGATGCACTTCCTCTTTGTCAACTCACAGGTATGCAGCTTCTTCGTTCATTATTCTGCAACGAGAATCCACTTATTTGCTTATCTTACATTTTCACTTCCTCTTCATAGGTTCTGGTAGAGAGATTTGGCTTAGCTGCTAGATTTGGTTTCATTCATCTTGCTGCAACAAATATTGCTGTTTGGGCCCGTTTGGTTGTGTGGGATTCAGCGCAGGAGTGGACTTACTTTGTCCATCTTGCTCAACGGGGTCCGCATACATCTTCATCGCCGCTTAATCTTCGTGGATTCCCTGGTTCACTGACTAGACACACGCGAGATTTACTTGGTGAGTTTTTTGATTGCATATCAATTATTTGTCAGATTTTCCTGGATTTGGAAATTTTTTAAAATATTTATTATCCAGGTGAAACTTCGACAGACCAAAGTCTCATCAGAGCTTATCAACCTATATCCAGTGAGCAAATTTCGCAGGTTGTCGCCTTGCAAGAATGTCTGAATACCAACACCCTGGGCCAATTATGGACGTCCAGTATGCCATTCCTCTATCCATTCATTGTGCAATTTAGGTAAAAAGAAAAATCATTAATTGAGAACTAAGTGTTAACGGCAAAAGAAAGAATGTGGATATCTAATGAGATTAAATATATGCTGTTTCAGCTTGATTGCAGCTGCCGTTACGTTCGTAATGGGTCAAAACGTGGGTCGCAATCGTTTATCCCACAAACAGAAGTTTCATACGAGTAAAGACTTGACGAGTCACATGCGCGTCGGTTGCGACGGCTCCAGCAAGGGTCTCTTCCTGGGAATCCTTTGTATGGTGGCTGGTATAGTGGTCATTCTGATTTTCCTGGTAGTCCGAGATGATGAGAATTTTCCACCGGAAACGTTATCCTGGTTGACCTGCGGTACCCTTATCGGCATCCTGACACTGAGTGGTGTAATGACAGCCAGTGGTCTGATCCAGGTACGGCAGATGTCTGTCGTGACAAGAGCACCAGCTGCACTAGACAGTCTACTGTCGAATGTCGCCTTGTTTGGAGTCCAGCTGTACTCAATATTCACCATAGTAGTATCGGCCTGTTCTCTGGCCACCCTGGACGAGGAAACGGAAGACACCCGGAGCAGACACATCATGCTCCTCTCCGCCTCAGTTCTTCAGTTAATACAGTGCTGTGCTCAGAGTACTCTGATCGCTGAAGCCTCCAAGAGATCCTGCATCACGCGCTTCCAGATGATGGCGAAGCCTGCAAGGCAGGTCATCACTTTCCTCCTCTTCAGCAACGCTGTCCTCTGGGCCTTTGACACCGTAGTCACACAGAACTGGCTCTCTCAGGAACTGCAATTGAGATTCTTCGGCGTCCTGGCCTGGGGCGTCATTTGTCGAATTGGTCTGCCTCTTCTAGTCTTCTACAGATTTCACAGTTGTGTCCTATTATTGGAAGCTTGGAACAAGTGCTACAGAGTGCCAAGAGGCGAGCTCCCGCTCAACTGACGGCACAGAAGATCTTGCCGATTATCCTCCAGGTACCAACTTCCACAATCCCCTAAGAAAGTACGTGCGCGTATAATTCAAATCTCCAGGGCAGACAAATCCTAGAAAAGTATCAATTTTTTTTTTAGACTGGCGCCAAGAGCACACCATCTTCACTGTCACAGACGAGTTATTCTAGACCTCCAAAAGAGCGAAGACGGCTCGTCGACCTTAAGACGACCTCTCAAGAGGCCAAGAAATCCAAGTTCTCTTGGTGTAGAACGATCTTCCTTTCTACACCCTTACATGAACAGTGGCAGCTGGCTTTACCTGGATCCAAATCCTCTGATCCATGTAAACGCGTCGCCGATCCACTCTCAGAATTTGGAGTATGCGATGCCACCACCTCGTAGAAAATCACACAGGCATCATCACCATCATCATCATCATCATCAGCAGCAGCAGCAGCAGCAAGGGAAGCATCGTCGAGTCGTCAGTGATCCTGGTGTTCGCAGCTGGGGCAATGGACATCGTCAAGTCAAGCAACATCGTCGAGTTTTCAGCTTCAACAATGACATCACTGGGATCAGCCTGGTTGAGGCGGCTATAGCGGAAGCCAGTGAGGAAACGTCACTTCCTGAGGAGGCGAGAGCGTCGACCTTTAGAAAAGTGCCATGGCACCCTAATCTCCACATGCTCAAAATAAGGCAGACCTAATATTTGGAGAAATTATGTTATACAACGCAAGAGAGAAAAAAATTCACACAAATTAACTGCTTGTAGCATTTTTTGAGAAAGCGAAAAATATCACTTCCGTTATTATAGGCAAACTCTTAAGAGAATATTAATGTAATTTAGTTGGAATAATTGATACAATCTACTCATAGGCCAACAGTGGTTTAAATACCTTATCGAATTTTCCGTGCAATATTTTCCATTTAGTTAGACACTTTGTTGTACAGGTAGTTTAGTAAAAATATTTATAACGTTATCGGAACAACTATATCAATAAGACAATTAATAATATCTAGTTATCGATGTAACCAGCCATTGAAGCCGCTATTGGATGACCAATCGTTTATTCTTCCGGTATCCAAGAGCGATGCTATTTCTTCTAATTTTAAATAGCTCTTACTTAAATTCTACGCATCCTGTAAATATTTATTGTTATTCCCGGTAGCAGTAACCAGTGAATATTCAATTAGTTTAATAAAAAGAGATACGGAATATGTATTTATGTAGACCGTCGTATGATGCATTTATTTTAGACTCTTCCATACAACCTATATCAATAGTAACTTGAGTCTAGGCCTTCCGTATAACGGGAAATGCATAATAAAATAAATGTCTAATTTATATCTTCGACTACTATAGAAAAATTACATCCATTGCTAGAGTATAATCATGTATAATCAACAACCAATTGATAATCTAAAGTACGTATAGAGGATAATGTGAATGTCGAGAGCCGCTTTGGACAAGCGATATCGAACGGACGGCCCTTATTTCAATTCAATCGGTAATTATTTGCGATCAGCGCCAATCTGTGATACATGAAAATTATGCATAGGTACGCGTGCAAACGTTTTAAAAATAATACATAGGACCAAGGATGAAGAAGTTTCTTTAGATTTAAATGAAAATGTAAAAGATGCCTCAAATTGGATGTTAAAAGGGTTTCATCTGAAATAAGCACAAAAATTAATGAATACAAAATTTATAGTAATAACACATGGCGATCAGGCGTCGATCATCAAGAAGCCTCATAGAATATTATAAAACTATGAAGAGTATAATGAACTTTAAGAGATATTAGTGTAAGTAAAAATACAATTAAGTAGACAATATTTTAATATTACGTCAATTCACCGTATTTGCTCTCATTCTAAAAATAAAGACAGTACATGAAAAAGAATCAACCTGAAAGAGGTGAACATGTTATCTTAAAAAAATACTAAAACAAAAACAATATGTATTTAATTACTCATTATGGGAAACTAACTTATTCTAATCCATTCCAAGGTCGTCAGTTGGTCCTGCAGGTTTTGGTGGTTCTGGCGGTGTATCTGGCCCGAGACCTGAAAATCCGGGCATTCCAGAAAGTCCACCCAAGCCGCCATATTTAGTACCAACAGAATAAAACAAGTCCATGACCTTCTTGTTATTTTGATATTTCATAACATTCATGGGATTGGAAAACATGTCCTGAAGAGCTGCCGCCACTTCCGGATCCTATGAGACAGAAAAAAAAAGAATTCCAATTTCATACGCTCAGCAGTTTTTAATTAACGAAGCACATGGGGACACGTACTTTCAACACCTGCTGTATATCCGGATCACGCAGAAATTTATAAAAGCCTTTCACGTCGTTATCGTCCGTCTGCGAAGGACGCGTGTTCGCATCTCGGGATTTCGCTTGTTCGCGAGCATTTTTCAATTTCTCCTCCCTCTCACGCTTTGCCTTATCCAGGAGCTTACGTTCGTTCTTCCGCTTGTGAGCTTCGATCTTATTGGCCTATAATAAATAGAAAAAGATATAGAATAAACAAACAAAAAAAGTACAATCAGAGCTACGAAACGTTCAGCTTCTCGTGAACGGAAAAATAGCTGTCTGTTGTCGGCTTAAACGATCTATAAAGACTGACAAGGAAATTCAAAGAAAATTCTCAGGAACAGGTCCAAATAGTAAATCATAATGACATTAACACACGTGCCCAAGGTGCATCATGGCCTCACACGATTACGAGCTTATAATAGATCGCAAACAAGCCAATTGGCCGCAATTGCCATATCCTGGCTTCCCATCCAGGGCTTTAATCAAAAATACTTAAAGTCCGAAATTTTAGAATATATCGAATTTATAAATTAATAATAATTAAAAAAAACTCATAATCGACACGATTTAAGTACGGTATTAATCAAGAAGTCACTGTACAAATTAACGCAAAAATATGCAAGATCATGCAACTCGGTTTACCTAATTTTCGAAAATTCTATGAAAAAACATTAGGAGCGTATCAAAAAAAAAAAAGAACATTTTTCAATTAAACATTAATGATCTTTCGTTAGAAAGAACGTGCAAATACGTCACTATGTACATCTTTCGCAGGAGGAAGATGTTGCACGGGGGGCACCTTATACGGCGGCGGCCCGGCCGTCTAAATATAAAGGCGCCCGACGTCGCGACGCTCCTCTGTTCGACCGAAGCTCGCGAGGCAAATTTTGTCTCCGAAGATCCGAGTCTGAATCTCTCCAAGTATTCCGTGATCACTTTAATAACCTAAATCTTCCAAGTTCACTCCTAATCCCAATGCAAATCCACCCCCTCTTTCTCCTGGTCGAAATGTCATCTGGCTGGAAGCTGGGCGTATAAGAAAAAGAAACAAATCAACTTTCCTAAAATCCCAGATCTCTCGTCTTCCAACCGTTCACATGAATTCGTGCTCTTGGATTTCGACGTCGTGCGCAGATTGCGACCTTGCCCCCGTCCATCAGCTTCGAAAATAATATATCATTCTGATATAACGGGCATCGTACCCTTTTTACAAAATTATGAGAAGCTTCGAATTTTGACAGACAACACTAACTCCAATACCTGGAGTACCTGGTAGCCGAGCACTGATCAACGTTATGTATTATTATCACGCATGAAAATAATCACGGTCAGGATGGAATAAAAATGATAAACTGCAATGATGCATAGAATAAGCATTGTTCCCATAGATGTTCAACTAGATCAGCCTAACCTCCTCTGAGAATGCTCTAACGACCTCTGCCCGACTACACGATCAGTTTGTCAGCCAGATAAAAGCTCGACGAAACTGGGCCGTCCCGGGTATTTTTAAATACGCACGTACTACGAGTATCTATAGGTAGACATGACTGGACACATAGAGGATTTGTACGTGCGAGACGTCCACGGGTAATACGGATATGAGACCAGATTGATTAGAAGAGACCAGCGACAATCAGGAGCTAAGCTAGCACGGTAGAGGAGCAGTCATTGAACGATAGTCAGCAGGGTAGAGGGCTTGTACAATGGGTCCTTAAGTCTGGTAGCGTCCAATAGAATCCTATAACGAATCTAGAAGCAGAGAAGGGATGCTACTTGATCCAAAGATCTTAAGCTGGTCAAGAGATTAATAACGGATATTTAGAAATTGTTTGAAATCGCACTGGTTCACGTGAGGTGGTTTGGTGATGATGGATGCTGCGTTATCTTTGATAGCAAAAATGATTAACAGGAACGTATACTACTGTCTTGGATATCTCGAGATTTTGCAAAATCGAAGATAAACACCAGGAAGAATAATAAGGAAAAGAAGTAGAAGAGGTGGCGGAGACGCGGTACTCTTGGAATCGTTGCGTAGAGAGGGGCGTCGTTCAGGGTTTCGCGGGCGTCGCGACGCCAGTTCTTCGCGAGTGGAGTCGAACGCGACTTATCGAGAGAGGAGCTAGAGCAGCCTGGCTCATCGCGTAGTGCCTAGTGAAACGAGATGACGGGCTCGCGGGTGAGACCCGCGTTCTTCGTGGGACTCCTACTCGCTATTCTAGCCGTCGCCTTGCAGGGTGAGTATCCCTTATACTGGAGGGATGATCCGATCACCAGGACTCTTCGAGGATCAATCAGGCGGAGGGGCATGTTGATGATATTGATGAGGATGGTTTATCAGTTCAGGAATAATCTGTATCTGCAGAGAGAAAGAGTTTTGTTAGGGGGTTTCCAAATGTTTTCTAATTAATTAATACAATTAGCTAAACAAGGAACTTGATGATCATTTCATCATTGGTCCTTTGATTATTAAATAGCATCAAGTATAATTAATGAATTTTATAGGAAATCATTGACTGTCAGATTCTCTGTCAAAACTAAATGCTAATAGAGAAATTCCGCTAATTCTTAGGATCAGGTATATCCGTCACTATGAATTTTAATACATCTCCTAGTCGGGTTAACGATTTAGAGAGAAGAAAAAGAAGTCGAGACTAAAGTCGAAAATAGATAAGTGTAATCATTAGTCTTCATCTTGGTGCGTGTCGTCAGACCAATGACGGAGGTGTGACGATTGACTGACGAAGGTCAATGTTACGTAAGGTCTTCAGAGTGGAAACCATATCGTGACAGACAAAACTCTGGGCCAATCCATCTAATATCATTGCATCCAATCCATTAAATATACATGAACTTCTTTAAAGATTATTCCCGAAGAATCATCTGTCTTCAAATAACAATATATTCTTATGACGCTAATAATTCTGCAAGCCAATAGATACAGAACCTGACATCCCATATGTACCAAGGTCAATCCAGCATCCCAATCCCTTCCAACAGTCCATTGCATAATAATTATATGGCAGCAAGATGCAACCAAGGGATTACGTTATTTTTGGAATCGATGGAATGCCGCCGTGCGCTCGTCGCAAATCTCTTCAGACTCGTTCACTGCCTCGAATTGAGTTACATAAGTTCAGATGTAGATGGCAAACGGGACGAGCCAGTGCCAACCTATCTAACATAAATTTCCAAGCACTGGTAGTCTTTTACGTCGACAGGATAGCGGTGGCACTGGCAGCATCAAATGATATTTGCGTGGATTAAATCACACCCTGTCGAAACATCTGTCTTCAGAATATAGCCAGGTTTAAAAACCGACCGAGGGACATTTAGATCAAGGAACTGATGTCATCGAGATCACATTCGATGACTCTTCCCTCGCGAAGACACGGTGATCGAATAAACCTTTTTATTTCTTCTATAAATAGAAGCAAGAGAAAAAGATAATCCTGACTCGAAAAGCACAGTCCCAGTTACAGAAGACCTTCGTCCTCGACCTCAATTACAAATCTCAACAGTTCTTGACGCTTTCTTCAAGATCTTACGGAGATGACGGTGCAGACTGATACTGAAGATATTGATGATAATGAGGATTATCTCTCACCGGTAGGGAGAACTCTCTCAAGCACAGTTCGCATGGCGAGAGTATCAGGAAGACTCTGACCAGGGTCTATCTTTAACCGAGCTGGCCGGGCTTGCTAAACGACAGCTGCCTCCAGTGCTATCACTCGAATCCGAAACTTTCTCAGGTTACTGCTTTATGCGTCGCTCGGGAATTCCTCGGTTTTGCTCGATCTGATGACGTCAATGAACCGGGACCAGCTATTCCAGGAGCAGACACAGTGCGTTCTTGCTCGCGTCTCATTCACCCTGATTAAAGAAGAGGAGATTAATAGTGACAAGAATTACACTACCTAGACTGAACCAGAGAAGAATAGGTTCTACGGTGCAAAAGATCATTAGGGCAATATCTTCAAAGATTATAGAAATATATTCCAGATATGATTCATAGATGAAGAGAATGTAGGTGTTGTACCTGATGACGACGTGTCATGCCAGAAACTCTAGCTTAGGATGGTGATGTAATCGACAGAGAGTAGGGACAACTCATCCTATCCTCACGAGTGTGACCTCGTCACGGGCCGGATGCTTTTAACGGGCTGCTAGACCTTCTTGTTGAAATTCCGTCGACCGATTGTTGAGCTTAACTGGACGTTAACGTGACAAGATCATCCGGTGGGACTTTAGAAAGCTCCTCGTTCCTTTTTCTTTCCTCTTGGTTTAACTCCCTGGTCCTGCATGCGTCCTCATTCGAATGGCAAATAAAGCACTGCCAAAGATCATTCGAAACTGCCATGTAAATATACCAAATACTTGGAAAAAAAAAAAAAAAAAAAACCAGATGGACCAGGGTCGAAAACGGTTTATTCGCATGGAACTAAAGCGAAAGCAATGGCTGCTTTGAAGATTTCCAAGAAACATTTCAACTTTTCTCCCTTGAAGAACTAAAAGAGGATGAAATATTGAGAAAGCAAAGCGAATCCTAAACTGATTTGCAAGAAAAAAGAAGAGAGAGAGAGACGCTCTCTAAGTATACGGCCCGATAAAAATACGATGCGGTTGCTTGATATATAAATATTTCCGAGTGTTGCTCGACCCGATCCCGCCTACCCATCTGCTAAACTTAGCACCGGGCCTGGTCCCAGGTAACCAAGGGACAAACCAAAGTTTTACCAGGCGTAGAATCTGAATAATCCATACGAATATGAAAATAGATTGAATAATATCAATGAAATCAAGAGAATCATTGTAATAGCATAATAATGAGAATAATCAGCTGGAGGAACCGAGAGAGAGTCGCTACTGGATCCATTTTTAGAGCAGGCTCAGAGAATGTCATGTAAATCACTTTGTCTTGAGACACCTGTTACAGGGCGAACACGCCGACCTCAGTTACGGCTGAGTCTATGCAAGACTTGACATGAGATACTTGCGTCACTCGGGTCAGATATTTCGGGTGGTCGCGTGGCGTTAAACACACCTCGAGTTATCTAATACAGTGTGTTTTTCTGGCACGCATCACCCTGGTAGAATATCAATATTCGGGCTCTGAAAGCTCATCGTTAGAAATTACGATAACGTATTATAGTCTTGTACGCTAGTTGTGCACCAGGTCGAGAAGTAAATATAAAGATTGGCATCCTGTTTTTCTGATTGGATTCAGGAGTGCAAGGCGATGAAGAGCTGGACCAAGTGCCCTCTGAAGTACAATGTCGGCCTTACATCGAGAAGGCTTTGAAGGACCTCGGTACAGGTAAGACTGGATATTTATTGGGTACTCGGGTGGAACCTGGCAATCTCTAGAATGCTTCGTTTGAAGGGTCTCTCGAGCAGAGCAGTGCCGAGGTCGAGGGTGTTGCCGATGAAGAAGGCGATCAGGAGTCTCCTACAATTAACGAACAAGTGAGTCTCATTAGTATGGGAATGAGGAATAGGGATAGATGATAAAAGTGGTAATGATGAATGATACTAACCTATTCAGAGCGACGAGCCAGCGAATGATGATGACCAAGGAACTGACGAGCAGCCAGGGGATGACGACGGACAGGACAGTGGAGAACCTGAAGCTGAAGGAACAGAGACTGCGGATGGGGATGGTGACGATGGTGACAACGATGAAGACGATGACGGCATAGAAACAATTGAGATCATCAGCGTCGAGACGACAGAGGATCAGAGTGATGAAAAGAATGAATCTGCCGAAGGGGGTGATAATAACGAGAACGAGGAACATGCCGACGAGGAAAGTGCCGAGAGTGTGGAAAATGCTGAAAATGATGACAGTAAGGAAGGTCAGTATCATTCTGGTAGAACATAAAGAATAATTAATGATGACACTAAGGAAAGTATTAAATCGTAGGAACTGCCGAGGAAAAGGATGATTCTCAGGAAGCCGATGATGATGCTTCAAAGGAGACCAAGACAGATGAATCGGCCGAAGCCAAATCTACTGACCAGGACGATGCCGACTCAGCCGAAGAGGCTGCCGACGACGTAAAATCCGACGAAGATAATGACGAAACTGCAGAGGATAAGGAACAATCCGCTGAGGATGCGGATGACTCTAAGCCCGACGAGGACGACGGTTCCAAGGAAGACGATGCATCTGGGCCCAAGGAAGAACCTGACGACGATGACGGGGATAATCAGGCTGATTCCAAGGATGCCGTGAGCGGCGAGGAAGCAGCTGGTAAATCTGGAGAGGATAAAGATGCTGATGGACCCGACGACGATGACGATTCCAAGGAAGCCGACAAGGACGAAAGTAAGGAAGACGATTCTGTCAAGAAGGATGACAGTGAAGAGGATTCATCCCCTAAGGATGACAGCAAAGAGGATGAACAAACTATTAAGGACGATGATGATGTAGCTGCAGAAGTAGATTCCAAGGAAGATGATGCGAACTCTAAAGAGGATACTAAGGAAGACACTGCTGATTCCAAATCCGGAGAAGAGGAGGCGGAAGATGAAGTGAAGTCTCGTGGAAGACGAGAAACTGAAGATGATTCCAAGGAGGGAGAAGCATATGGAGCAGATCAGGACAATGTGTCTGGCTCAGGAGAAACTGAGGATGGTGAGTAAATAGAATTCTACAATTTTTTTCCTTTCAAGACATAACAAAGCAGAGAAACATGAAAAATATATTATTCCTTGGTACATGTTCACTGAAATACTAAGTAGACTTTTAAAAGTTTCATAGAACTGAAGTTACTTCGTCTTAGAATAGAATGCTTGAAAACATATTCAATTTCTAATAGCAATTTGTGCCCACTATTGATTCCTTTTACCTTCCCTTTGTTTCGATACAAAATATTTAATAAATAATATAAATACTTATTTTGCTTGCAAGTAAAAAAATAATGGTGCATTATTAATGGGGATATTCAATGTCGCTTTAGGTACGGACGTACAGGTAGAAGAAGAAAAGGAAGAGGATGAACCAACTCCAGAAGAAGATTTAATTCAGGAAATCGAAATCCCAGAAAACTTGAGACCACGAGATCACATAAACCAACTGCTTCGCCTGGATGAGGAAAACGAGGAGAAAGAAAGAGCTATTCAGAGGGCTGCAGACATCGTCCTCAGGGACTTGAAACGCCTTTATGATAACGCCATTAAACCATTGGAAACTTTATACAAGTATAGGGACCTGAGCAACAGACATTTTGGAGGTAACTGTTCCAAGTCTTTAGAAGAAGTTAACAAAAAAAAAAACCACAACTGTACAAAATAAAATTGTAAAACTAAAATTTCTATTTGATTTAGATCCGGAAATATTTTCAAAACCTCTGGTTCTCTTCATGGGACCTTGGAGTGGAGGAAAATCATCAATTATCAACTATTTGCTGGACATAGAGTACAAGCCTACTGCCCTCAGAACTGGTACGTAATGCACGTGTAACGTCATCAATGTAAATTAACAAATTATTAACAGCCATTGAAATTGAAAAGGGAAAAGAATTTTCTAAGATGAATTAAATTTGTCTTTCCATTAAATAAATGTAATCCTCTTCGACGAGGATGAAAATGGCATGAATATATAGGGCGCGTTCAGGCGGTTTGCAAGAGTGTTTGGAAGAACCTTGCAAACCGCCAAATCGAACTGACACAGGTGCAGAGCCTTCACCAGCTTATTTCAACATCCTGATGCATGGCGAGGAAGAGGAGGTGCTGGATGGTACCCAGCTGGCAGCAGATTGGACCTTCTCCGGACTCCAAAAGTTTGGTCAAGGAATGTTAGATCGTCTACGAGGCCTGCGTCTAAATAATAAGCTACTCGAGAAGGTAAAACATCATTGACAGATTATATAAGATGGACCACAAACGATATATTCGGGAAAGAATTTCATGCTCCTAATGGCACAATCGATAGGTAAATATTGTTGAGATACCTGGCATCTTGGAAATTCGCAAACAAGTTCAACGTCTTTTCCCATTCAACGATGCCTGCCAATGGTTCATCGACCGTGCCGACATCATCTTCCTAGTCTATGATCCATCGAAACTCGACGTGGGACCAGAAACCGAAGCTATCCTGGATCAATTGAAGGGACGTGAATATCAGGTAACGGATCCCCATGGACAAGGAAGCCAGTGGATTTCATCCAGGGAAGAGGATTTCTAAAACAGATTTAAAATTTTAGACCAGGATCATCCTGAACAAGGCTGACCAAGTTAAGCCCGAGGAACTGATGAGAGTACAAGGTGCCCTCATCTGGAATATATCACCACTGATGTCCAGCGCAGAGCCCCCGATAATGTATTCGACCTCCCTGTGGTCGATACCCTACGAAGCTGGTGCACCTACCAGACTTCTGTACGCCCAGGAACGCGCTTTCCTTCGCGATCTTCGCTCCGCAATTGATAAACGCGTAGAGCACAAGATAGCCAGCGCCAGGAGATTTGCCGTGAGTATAGTAAAGTCGAATAAGGACACGTAAAAGTATCAAGTACCGCTAATACCTGATACTATGAAAATTTCAGGTAAGAGTGCGCAATCACGCGAAGATGGTGGATTGTTATCTAACGACTTACTACAACCACAAGACGTTCTTCGGCAACAAGAAGGAGATCAGTGACAAGATCATCGAGAATCCTCAGGACTATCACATCTACGAGGGTCTCAGTACTCTGACAAACATATCGCGCTATGATCTTCCTGATCCCGACGTATACAAGGATTTCTTCCGTCTGAATCCACTCTACGAGTTCCAGCAACTAAGCGCCACTTGCACCTACTTCCGAGGATGTCCCATTAATAGGTTGGACGTGTCGATAGCGTACGACCTACCCGAACTCGTAGGCAAGTACAAGAAGTCCGTGGAAGCAGCCATACACGAGGGTGAGACAAGCACACCTCCTAGTTGAGCTTGAAAGTGCTAAAACGCGGTAAGGGACACTTGATACCATAGAAAATAATGGAAATTAGTATTAATAAAAAAAAGAAAATATATATAACTGAGGAAGAAGAAAATGATCCACAAGATAAAAAAAGTAAAATCCAATATTTACCATGGTACCAAGAACATCTACCGGAAACTGGTAGGTTGAGCTGCCCGGCCAGGGCGACCCCCGACACCCGTGAACGAGAAGCCTAAACGGGACCGGAGGCGAAGAGGAACGACGTGCTGGCCAGAATGGCCTTAGAAACTAAATTCTGAGGGGGATCGTATACCGAATATGCGTTGCCGAGACAAACGTGATAAGTACACACACAAAACTATGAAGACAGAAGAGAAACTAGAAACGTACCAACGAATTTTTTCATCGGGGTGAAAAATATATCATCTATCAAACGATGCTGAAACGTTATCAGAAAATGTTAGGGCAGGACGCCGGTGCTTCTACACGCATCCATGTTTCGCTGCAGGCAGCTATAGGCATGGAGCAACGAAGAGAAACACCTGGGGAATAAAATCGAACCCAAAAGCTTCCTCTACAGAATTGCAATTTTTGCCTCCCGGTTCACGTGCTAAGATTATTATCACACATGGATACAACAAAAACGGGTCCACTCTACTTCTTCATCTCAACTATTAATAATCGTATTTCCCTCTACGCTATACCGGTCAGGTTAAAAGAAAGAAAGCATTGAGAATTGCGACTCGGATGAACGTAAGAAATCTAAGTTTGTCCGTCACCATTCCGAATGAAATTGTCAAGGAAACAACTACGTCTGATTTTGATTATCTTGAGAGTTTACTCCTATAATGTATGTTTCTTTGGTGGTCCAGTTAATCCTCAGCGAATGCTGATGGCTTGAAGTAGTGGAGAAAAAACGAAAGTTGGAGGCGGATCCTGCAAAAACAGAGTGAATAAAGTGAATGATAGAAAAGGAACGAAGTGGGAAAAAAGAAGAGGAAATAAGAAAAAGCAGACCTGGTGAGTTAACGTTCCTTGGGGTGTGTGTACCTCGTCGCCTCCATGTCTTGTCGCGTTATCGCGTTTACGTCAACGAGACTGTACTACACAGTGTGTCTCCTATATGCGTAATAGACTGTACTTATTAAAACTGATCTTAGAAACACGCGCTACGTAATTCGTATACGTGGGTACCCGTGTGATATTCGCACATCGTCCGCCGACTCCCCTATAATGGCGGCCGTTTAGACATTTAATTTAATAGTGTCTACGCAAGAGAGATATTTCCACTTTATTAGAAAGAGAGAGAAAGAGGGAGAGAAAGAGAGAAAGTGAAACCTTTCCTCAGAGGTTTGTACTTATATCGCTTTTAAAAAAGATTAGATGAAGGAGACGAAAAAAATAACACCTTGCTTATGCAGATTGTGTTCGCAACTTGTCCGTCATGTAGAAGAGAAACTTCAAAACGCACAAAGGCTAATTATTTAGCCGTGTTAAGGGAAACAAAAAAATATCAAATTTTTATCCCCATGTTCTCTTCCAATATTCAGCCGCGTTTCACAATGTATTCAATGTTGTGAAATCAATGCGATCTTGAATTTACATGGGAGGACGAGTCACAGGCGTCATTCGCGTGCTTGTCTTATTCGATTATTCACCATACCTCATATGTACAATAATATCTAGATGATCATCTTGTTTCGCGAGGCTCATTCGTCCTCGAGAAAGGAACTTTCGCGTATTCTACAGATTGTTAATACTTTTACTGGTTACTGTAATAAGTTTACATTAATATATTATTTTATTATTACCGTTAAAGATAAGGTTGATGTAGATCTACTATACTTGTCCGATAAGATGATTTAGTAATAATGATAACGTTATGAGAATTATGTATCGTTTAAGGTATGGATGCATACCTTAAATGTTCCTATTGGGACACTGTCTCCAAAGAGTAGCGATTCTTTACTATATTTAGGGCAATGTACTTTTTAAATAAGAACCGTGTGCTGTGAGTGCTACTTGTGTACATATGCATACAATTTCTCCCAAGAAAAAATCATATCACTTACCTGTTTCTCTTTAGCATGTATTACAAAAAAAAAAAAAGGAAAGCTCTTTGAAGATGGTAAGTACTCACGTTCGGTGTCACTTCGCGGAGCCACTCGTCCGCTTGTTCGTCAAAGTCGAATTTGCAAGCCAGTCGAAGGTCTGTTGCTGCTTCCTCCCAGTGCCCAAGTAGCTGGTGAGCGCGACCTCTGAACTTGTGAGCTGCTGCACTATCAGGATTTATCTCCAAGGCACGGTTGCAGTCTCTGATACAGGCGTTAGGTTTTTTCAATAGCAGGTAGATCTGTCCACGCTTTGCATAGAGAAGAGCTGCAGCTGGGTTCAATACTATAGCCTCCGTGTATAGTGAAATGGCTCTTTCGTAATCCTTCTCAACAAAAGCAGAGACTGCTTCTGAACGTTTTGCCTGGGACTCTGCAATTTCTTCTTCGGTTGGTTGCAAAGTAAGATTTCCCATTTTCTGAGATGGATCGTTGTCTGGTTCTACAGCAAAAGTGATTGTATTCATTGTTATAAAAGTAGTTTCCTTATATTTGATAAAATATAATTTTATTGTATTTACCAACAACACCGGTCATGTCAAGCTCGAGGTCACTTTCCTCGCTGTCAGATACAGAGGGTTCAGGTCTTGGATTCGATTCTTCAGCTCCATTGCCATCAGTGGACTTTGGAAATGTTGAATCTTCATTTTTGCATTCTGGTATTTTGCCACCATAGTGCTCAATGAGTGTTTTAATAAAGGAAAATTCAGGTCGATGCAATAACCAAGGAGTTGAAATGCAAAACTCTGCAAAAGCCTTTAATTGTGAGATGTTCTCTTCACTCATACGAGAAGTCATTCTCATTCAATCTATAAGAATAAAATGAATTACATAATATTAATACAAATTTGATAGAGAACAAAACAATTAGAATCAAACAATAATAGCATTTACATATTGATCATTTTACTTTTAACAATATATTAAAAGAATCATAAATGCCAGACAGTTCAAAATAGAATCTAACGTATATTACGAAGAGAAAAAAAAAGTATAAAAAATAACGATAAACAGAAATCGAAACAAAAATATAAACTACGCTCAACTATCAGTGTATTATATCATTTTACAAAAATCTAAATAGTAAATAAAATCTTCCAACATATCCACTTACCCTGTGTACGCAGTTAAAAAGCCGGGTGAAAATTTCGCAAATCACACCAAACAGCGCAAAAAATCACAATCCACAATGAAGTTGCCAACTAGCAGGACAGGCAGCCGTTGCACATAAAAGAAAATCCACTAGATATCCAAAATTAGTTTATGCAATTCCAGCACGTATTCAAAACGCGAGTAATAATATTTAACTACATACATTAACATTCACTGGACAATGATTTTAGATTTACGAAAAGTAATTATGACGACGCGTCCTTAGATAAATTGACAATGATAGAACCGTGTGCCGGCACGTCCCGGTCAAGTGTCTCTTCCAAACATATTTGAAACTAACAGTCCCGCCTTTAACAAGAATCCGATTTACCTGTTCTTTTTGCAAAGGTCTTTCCCTGCTTCATCGTTGTTTTTTGAATTTAAGACTACCTACAGTATTATTCCCAATTACGCAATTAACACACAGTACTTAGAAGACTATGTATTACTGTGAATTCCTAGGTACTGCTTAAAAATTGACGGGGTACTCAATTCAAGTCTTACCTGGGAAACTTTTATTTAATTCCATAGAAAAAAAAACTGTTCTTCAAACTTACTTATTGTTAGCCTAGTGTTTGATATGTTAGGATGAAATATGGAGAAATTTCAAATATAAAACAATTTTTTTAGATTGGTGATACAATTACTACTTTTTATTTTCTAATACGTAACTCACTTCTCGCGATTGTTAAAAGATACCGTGGCGGCAGAGGTTAAATTCTTATTTGGGGTTGCATAATTTCTAACAGAGTGTAATCAGTGTGGAAATTTAGACAATGGCCAGGAGATTGGCTCTACACAATTCTGCGTGCAATGGTGACTTCTTTGAGTTTGAAGAATGCGAACGCGAGGTAACACCAGGATACTAAATGCTCCATATAAGAGCGGAACAACCTAACACGTTATTCCTTGTTGTTCCCTCTTTTTAGCATCAGATTGGAAGATTTTTTGGATATTGTGGTGATCATTTTAAACAGTTTCAACAATGCTTGAAGGATCAGGTAAACAATATTTTTAATCATGAAGAGCGTAGAGGGTTATATCTTAAATAAATTGGTTGACTCGTGTGATATATCTTTTCAGAGAAAAATACAGCAGCTACGTAATATCAGAAAATCTCGTGAACATTATTCTAGAAAACATATTAATCCAGAGCCTGAACAGTCGCAAGAATAATATCCAAAATGTCGAACACTGTGTTAGAACCTGTAGCTAGAAGTATTGAAATAACTAATACTGTAGAAAGTGAAAATACTACAATACAATTGGATCCAAATAATGCTAATGAAAATTCAAACACTATGAAGGAAACAAATGAAAGTACTTTAATGGTAAAAATTACTGGCAATGGTATCATTGATGATAACAATGAGGATCCTACTGTCTTCCCTGATACAGATGTTTCAACAATGTTACAAGGAGCACAATTTGATGGGACTTTACCAAGCGTTACAGACCGCTATTTTACTCCATTTTATTGTGTGGATGTACAAAGACCAAGAGATGACATTTGTATCAGAGTACATAGTAATCGAATTTGTATGATTTCATTAGCTCCAACTCATACTGTATTAGAGGAAAATAAAAAGATTAAGAGCATAAGTTTTAAAGTCAGTGATAAACTAGATAGAGCCTCAAATAAAGTATCTGGTAAAGGTAAACATGGTGCCCAGCCTTTACAGCCAAGTTCTAATATATGTTCCATATCATGTTACAATGGAGAAGCATATATGATTAAGTGTTGTATAACTGGTAAATTAGTAGAAGTGAATGAATTACTGTTAGAACATCCAGAGGCCCTGCTCGAGCCACCACACAAGGGTGGATACTTGGCAATTGCGCTACCAAACTTAAAACTTCTAGAAGCAATGAAAGAATCCTGGTTAACGCAAGAGGCTTATGAATCCTTCATACTAGAACGACAAAACAAAGCTGACAAGGATAATATATTTAGCAATACTTCAGAGGAACTATTGAAGCAGAGTTTAAAAAGGAAAAGGGATCCTGAGAGTCTTACAAGTAGCAGAGAGAATAAAATAACACGTGACAGTGAAGCAAATAAAAATTCTACAAGCTCAAAAGAAATAACATAGTCTTTATACTCCTAATATATATGTACTAAGCTGACGTCTACTTTATACTGAAATAAAACATTTACTATATGATAAATTGAATTTGTCATAATCCTCTTTTATTTATTATTAGCTTATTGTACATGAAGATCAAATTGAATATTCCTCCTCATCATTGTACCTAGAACTTCAATATACATACGACACTTACGAGTCTTTGGTTCACTACCAGTGAGTCCTAGAAGCATGCACGGATACATGGCACCCAAAAGATGTAAACAATCTCCAACGATTTTCGCGAAAGTAGAATTAAAATAAATATACTTTAAAATTGTTAGGATTTAGGAAGAATTTTTTAATCTAAAATGGCACCGCCCTAACTACTACTAAATGACGATATTTGACTTCTATTAGTTTCTGCTAATATACTAACATTTCTCTTAGGTTTATGCTTAACTAATTGATTACCCTCATCTTTTTCATCTTTCTCTAGCGAATTCTTCGCTAAATTTCCAAGAACTATACCAGCAAATAATATCATACCGACTTTGTGATTTGAAATAAATTTGTTGGCACAGTCAGTAGGATTGTCAACATTTAATGTGTATATCTGTAAATTTTTATTAGTATAATAAAGCCTCCCTCTTTTGTAAAAACATTAGGCAACTTACTTGATTGGCAAGATGACTGGCGACAATTCCTACTGCTCCATAATACGGCCATGTTTGTTCTACTGCTAATCCGACTCCTACAAGACTAGATATCATAGTCGCGCCAAAACCAGACAAGTACAGTTTGGTTTTATCACCAAATTTTAAAGCAGTTGACTTAATTCCGAGTAAAAGGTCGTCTACCTTGTCCTGAAATAAATAATGCATACGTATTTTTATATTAACTTTTTCAAGATCAGTGGTAATGTTATATGCATTAGCTATTATTACCTGATGGGCATATATTGTATCATATAAGATTGTCCAGCATATACCAGCTACATATAATGGTAAACAAACTGACCAGTTACAAGTACCATGTACTGCAGACCAGCCTAAGAGTGCGCCCCAATTAAAAGTCATTCCCAATATGAATTGCGGCCAATACGTTACTCTCTTCATAAGAGGATAAATTATAACTAATCCTAAAATAAATTTAGTAGTAAGTATATGAAAAAAATTGCCCGAAAAAGTATGATATTGAACTATTAATTTAAACAATACCTAATGAACTGGCTCCAAGTATAATACTGTACCAATTGAGTTGCAATAGAACAAGAAGTCCTACAGTTAACTGACTCCCAAGAAAAACCAATGCTTGAAACTGCGATACCTGTCCAGTGACTAAAGGCCTGTCTTTTGTTCTTGCGACCTAGCATTAAGTCTTCAACTAATATTTGGTATGAAGATATTATTGTGAAGGACAGTTATTAATTAATTACCTTTCCATCAATGTCCTTGTCCCACATGTCATTTATTGTACATCCAGCACCACGCATCACAAATGCACCTAAGCCAAAGAGAGCCAGTAAATGTAAATCGGGTATAGCACCCGCTGGTGCAGCTAGTGCTATACTCCAACCACAGGGCCAATATAATAACCACGAACCTGCGGAGATTAAAGCACCGTATGACCAAAATTTGTATAAAAAGTTAAGCAGACTTACCGATTGGTTTGTCTATCCGCATAAGCTTTATATATGGTTGCACTTTTTTTGGAGATTTGTTCACAATAGTAGCAGCAATACTTAAATACTTTCTGTACTCAACTTTTCCTATCGTAGTAGGAACTAAGAGATTTTTTACAGTAAATACAGATTTAGCAGGACCAGGCTGCTTATTTTGTTTTTTACATTGTAACTTCCTATTTACATCAGAACAGTTATACAGCCTTGCACAAATCCAAGAATCATTGGGATATAACTTCCACTGCTTCTGACTAGAATTTATTGATGACCGAAGCAGTCGGGTTAAGCCAGAGAACTGCTGGGATCTCTTTATCACCAGCATGTTTTAGTTAAAGAACTGCAATATTAAATGATACATTAGAATTATTTATTCATCAAAGCATAATCTACATAATTAACTAAATCCTATCAATCGTTAAATGAAGATTATGATTCATTGAAACCCATTAAAATCTAACCCTATCAACCACTTTATTCAGTCATATGTATTAGTACTAAGGACATGACATTGCAGGAAGATATTTGCATAAAAAAGATAATTACCTGCTATCTACAAGGCATAATGAGAATTAGTTACACATAAATCTTATTTATTACATAATTACTTAAATCGATATTCTAAAGGTTACTTCCAACGTGCTATCGCACACCTCGCGCTACATATGTATGTATGTGTTAAAATCTATCACACACTTGAATTCAAGGTTAATCAAATTACCTACCACAAGCGTGGCTATTTGAATTAACTTTTCTCAATCAAAATTTTTTAAGATAATTTTTTTACAGCAAACACATATTGCAATCGATTTGATTACAAACGAAGATTCTGTAATATTAAAAAATCATAATAGGAACGAAACATTATTACGGCTTTCCTTGTAAATAGAAGCGTCTGATATTAGGTATTACCGGCAGAGACCTGATAATAAACTGAATTTTTATACAAATTCAGGAAAAATCATGTTAAACACAAAATATTTGAATAAGGTCGTCTAATGTAAAATTTTCCTTGTTGATTCGATTCATTAGAAATTTGAAAACATACCTAATAGACAATATCTTACGAAATACGAAAAAAACAATAGCATTGTCCAGTAATATATTTCATTGTTACGCAGTCGTTGATATTATTAGAATTGTTAGTAAATTCTAATCTAATCTTTAAAAAAGAAGTACAGCGAACGTGATAACTGACTGAATGTGGCTTCAGGATTGGTAGAACCTGTCATCCCTCATGACGTGGCAGTTGAGTTTGATTCGCTAGTTGTAGACTCTTTATGATTAACCGTTTTGCTTTGGGACTGCGGAGTCTCGCAATGTCTGCTATGCAAAAGCCAGAGGTAGTTTTCGTCCTCGGAGGACCTGGGGCCGGCAAGGGCACTATATGCAAAAAGATAGTCAAAAAATTTGGTTATGTTCATCTATCAGCCGGTGATCTTCTAAGAGAGGAACGTGAGAGACCTGGCTCAGAATTTGGGGATTTGATTGAAAACCACATTGTAAATGGTACCATAGTACCTGTTGAGATAACATGCAACCTCCTGGATCGTGCCATGCAAGAGTCCAAGGATAGGTCTTCTAAATTCCTCATCGATGGATTTCCTAGGAATCAGGATAATGTCGAAGGATGGAAGAAGGTACATCGTTTTAGTTCTCTAAAAGTTTAGAATAATTGTTTACATTACTTATGTATCATATTTCTATTTACAGACAATGTCTGATAAGGCAACTGTTAAAGGTGTTTTGTTCCTGGATTGCAATGAGCAAATATGTACACAGCGCTGCTTAGCCCGAGGTCAGGCTGGCAGTGGAAGAACTGACGATAATGAGGAATGTCTTCGAAAGAGGCATCAGACTTATGTGACTATGACAATGCCTATTATTCAATATTATGAGAAGTTAGGACTTGTGTATAAGGTAGATGCATCACGATATGTTAATAAAGTCTGGCAAGATGTCCAAAAAATAATAGAAGAAATTGGATAGTCAAATAATATATAGGCTATAAGATTGATTTGTTTTATGCAATCACAGAAATTAGGTACGCAATCAAATGGATATTTTCATTAATTTAACAATGAAGTCCATATATTATAATTTTTGGTTTTATATTGGTTCTCTGTGACATACCTATATGTATGACAGAATAATTAAGCTGAAGGTATTATGTACACTTTTACTGACAGTGTCACGATATTATTTCATTTTGTTAAACATTTATTAATCACGTATATAATTATCACCCCATGTCTAGGTATATATACAATTCTATACAGTATACTTTACAGGCATAGACGGCTTATGAAATATGCACTATATACAAAACCAGCATTCCTTGGTTAGCATAAACCTTGTTTGACATCTTAGAGTATCTTGTATCTTATATATTCACAAATAAATAAAAAAATGCAATATATTAAATACAGCATCTAATAGAATTATATCACAATCACATATAAATCTCCACCCAGAATCCTGGAATGTCAGTAAACTTTTTCCAACAATTAAATAATTGAAAAACAAGTAGAGTTATCGTGTTACTACAAAATTAGACCAGATCATCAATGATTATAAAACGTATAATCTTACCAAGTTTTTAAAATTGCTGTAATGCTTCACCATAATAAATAATAAAATATATATTAAGGAATGCGATGAAACCTGCAAGTTTCTCGCATTCCTAAGGGACAGGTGACTTACCGCCACCTGAGACACATATGCATATAGACATACATCTTCCGCGGGAAAGTAGCTTGCATCGTGTCGAATATGAGCCTCAGACTTTCGTTTTGACGACCTACCGTTTGCAATTTCCACTTCTGGTCAATGATCAATTATCGTAAACACTAGAAATGATATATTTCTAATAATTATTTTTTTAACTAAAGATCAAAATAAAATATTATGGTTTGTCCTTTTCAGTAATAATCTACTACGGATAGCGAATCAACATCCACACCATAAAAAACATTGAAACGATATCTATTAAACAAATAGATCCGATTGTATGGGTGCTACAGATTTATTAAAAGTTCTGATAACTACATCGTGGGAACTTATGAATGAGTGGAATATAACTAAAATTAATTACAATAATAGACAGAGAAATATTATATACATATAAGGGAGAAAGAGATAAATAAAAGTGCTAATTAACGAAAAACCGACCAGAGTGATAATCTTATCACTTATCATCTTATCTTATCATCTTATTGCGAGTCTACTCACGAATAAGTATCTACTCGCGATACTCGCGAGATAAGTATCTACGCGAGTATCTACTCGCGGCGCAATTCTACGTTGTCGGTGCTTACGGAAATATCTACCCCCGTCATATTCACGATTCGTGCAATATATAAGCGACCCAGCGATTGCTACCATGAACAGTTCAGTTCTCATTAGAATTGTACCTAACGGTATGCCGAAGGAAGATTATTAGCGTGGTGAACATTTTTTGCATCTTATTTTCAGTTTGAAACAAAGCTTAAGCAATATACCATTATAAAATACGATATATGTATATATAGTAGATGAAAGAAGTAGCAACGAGGATGTATTGGTTAAATTTCACCCTGGGATTTTTGCTGATGAAAATTTCTGCTGCCGTCAGACCAGAAGTGACGCTTCTTAATGTCCTGGGAAAACCTTTTGCTCCGGTGAAAAATGCCTCAGCGAAGTGTCTACAGGATAGTGCACTTTACCTCGGAGCACTGGAGCAATATTCACCATGGGCATTGCAAAGTATGTTATGATCTAACAAATGGTATTTATAGTAAGGATTTTTGTCAGAAAATATCTCATATCTCCAGTTAACGCAATATTTCAATTACATATTAGCAATTTAAAAAATTGCTGCCCAAGAATATAATTGGTCTAAATCACCTGTTGTGCTTAGTTCATTTTTGAGTTTAAAAATGTAAATACCGTTATACTTGGATTTATCATATCAAATCAATTATTGCTAGTTGAGCAAACGTACCCCTTCATGTTCATAACGCACACGTTTAACGATTAAGAACGTTTATCTAAGGAATATTTTTGATATGCTCAGAGAATTAGACCACAAATTCCTGGACATGAGCATCTCTTTCACATATTATTGGTAATACGAATGGTAAAAAATTGTCTACCGTAAAAGAATAAAATGGTCGCTCAAATTGTGGATGATGAGTTAATTCCGAATAGGTGAACAAATGTGCATGTTATTTTTGCACCTAAGATAAACATAAACCTATAGTTGGTAATTGTCACCGAAGAGAATAATAGTGCGTGACGCAATTACACGCATAGTCGGTTTATATGCGTCGTAGGAGGTCTAACTGAGTCAGTAAGGAGTAACAATGATGCCGATGACCGTCCTTGTGTCTCAGAAATTGACTGGCGTCATCGAAAGTCAATCGGCTGATGTTCGATTTTTATGTTAACAATGACTTCTCGTTCAGATTATATATTAACAATGGCGATACATCATCAGTGCCATACAGCATTCAATTGCTCGATTCCAATAATAAACGCAGTGCTGCAACATTTAAGGGAAATAAGAGAGATTGCATTACTGTCAGTATATGCATATACATCATAGAGATTGATTGAGCATACCATATGAATTACATTGCTGTAGTGATAATCACATGGAAAATCTTCAGACATAAGATACGTGAAACATGAAAACATAAAATATATTTCTAAGACTTCCTCACGTGCTACGGAATACAAACAGGAAATTCTGTATCAGCATTTAAATGTACTGTGGAATCGAGAAGCAAAAAGCAGTGTTTATGGTGATGGAGATGCAACTTAACACTTTGCCGGCCGCACATTTCTCGAGTCGCCGTTGCGCTGCCGCCGGCGAGATGAATCTCGCAAGTTCTACTGCTCTCCAACGGTGGTATTTATGCAATCGTTCGTAACATAAGTAGTTGCAATGTAATTATTATTAGAGAAGGCATTAAGGTAACTGTTACAACATTTTTATTGTATAAACTTATATTTTTAAATTATTACTTAAACATTTTACTTAAAAAATTTAACCCTTAGGATCCATATTCTTTTTTTGTGTGATAAATTTTAAAGCATTTTCCTACATGCAGAGGAATGTTACACGAAGAACACATATGTATATGCGGTTGAACTTCTTTTCTTTGCAGAAGTGCAGACTTTACAAGCTGCACTTTACTTTACTTTTATTCGGAGGCAGCGAAAGACAGTGTCAAACTAATCGAACAAGCACCCGCTTCGATGTGGCCGGCAAAGTATTTAAAGAATTCAATAAAACACAATCTGGTAAATTGGGAGGGGAAAACAATTGAAACCACAGTTCCCTGTTTGTCAAACATTGCTCTGCAACAATCTATCTCCCTACACAAACATGGAAATTAAGCATCACCGCTGGAGAAAGAAAAGTCACGAGTACGTGATAGCGGCGGATAACGGTTGGCAAAAAAAAAGTCACGTATACGTGACAGCGGCCGGCAAAGTGTTAAGCAATATTCAATTTTATCATGCTGATATTTATTGAGGATTCATTAGTGCCTCTTCGATTAAATGTCATTGACACTAGATTACAAATCATCATTTATCATTAAAGGAACCGTAGTATAATCATTATGCAATATCAGGATCTCAGATAAATCTTGATATCCACAATTTAGTATCTATTCCGTATCTAACCTAGAAGTACGGTCTTTAGATAAGAGTCTGGCGTCGGGCAATAAAAATGTTAAAAATTATTGGGAAAATACTGATAAAGTATATAATCAATAACAAAAGTAGAAAAATAACAATGGATTTAATTTTTCGTGCACAGTTATCCTTATCTTTTTCGATTTCACAGCACTTCATTTCAAATTATAATCAGCCTTTGAATACATCAAATTATTTATTATATATTGCATAGCAGTAATGCTCAGCAATGGGTGTAGATATAGTTTTAATCAGCTGTGATAACAATTGTATTGTAATAGTGATAACCGTTATGGTAACTCCGTCAAGGTCCAAGCGTGGGACTGGATACACTTTGTGAGAAGTGCATTTGCATCTTCCCTGATATGATCCCTCGTAAGAGCCACCCACGAGTGCCATTTTGGATTCCCAATTACGATTATCTTTCCCTGGGACACTTGAATCATTTGAGCGCACCAACTACAGCGAGTCAAGGCTACGGCTTGATTGTTTTACTCACATCTTTTTGACTAGGGAACATTCAGTCTGTTTATCATTCCCTTTCATATTCTTTGATTTCATTTTATTTCTTTATATTTCAGTGTTCGATTCCTCGGCAAAACTATCTCCTGGTGTGATTACTGGAAATATCAAGCAGCTTGGTAATTATGACGAGTGTCTTAGCGTGGAGACCGGATATGACTTCATTGGACAAGCCTGCAGCGTTACTGTACAATTTAAATTTCCGGAAAATCCAGTGTCTGTGGATGATCTTGATGCTAGAGATCTTTTTAATAATGCCGCAGTGGCTTCGGTTCGTATATATTCAAGAAACTATATTTAACATACATTCATATCTGGAAAATAAATAATTATTAGGGTATGCCAAACGCGATATTGAAAAGACCTATGATATTCGAATGGTTGTGGTGCGTGCCGTCTACCTGTAATTATTCTGAGATATCAGCTGCGTTGAATCTAGCCCTTGATCCTTTAAGGGTCAAAGATCGGATAGAGATGATGGTATCGGTGGATGAGCATTCTTGTCACACCTTAAATACTGATAAGAGATTGTTAGATCAGTGGGACGTTGCTTATATGTAAGAAAAAAAATATTTTATATCTAAAAAGTAAAGATGCACCTATTATTGTCTCATTGGTAGTCCTTTTACAGATCCATCCTGGGTATCTTCCTGGTAATCGTAATCACGAGCACAACCTACGACGTGATAAAAATTAGGCATCAAAGCAAAACACGTAAAGGTAAAAGGCATTTACATAGATTTAGAAGAGTACTCTGATTAAATAGAGCATACATACGCCATATACGTAAATCAATTATATCACATACAGCATCCCTGGAGTATCTTCTTCTGATACTTGATTACAGACAGCAGAAACAGCATCCTCACATCATTTTCAATTTACACCAATGGCAAGAATCTTCTGAACACCAACAGACGTGCAGACTCCATAACCTGTCTTGATGGCATAAGGTTCCTCAGCATCTGCTGGGTCATATATTTACACACCTACTTCCACCAGATATTCAATCCCAAGCTGAACCTGACATCAGTTTTCTGGGTAAGGGATTTGAGGGAATTGAATAGAGAAGAACATAATATCTATAGAAAAAAAAATGCAAAGATCACTTGTCAAGGCTGAAAGTGCATTGATGAGAGATGCAAATTGATGTTCGTAGCATTATCGCCCTTGAGCGCTGACATTCTTAGTAAGACTTATATAAATGATAAGAAATATTAATTTCTCAGATTAATATATTATAAGTGATTTCCGCACCGATAATCGAATTCTCGTTTGATATCAAATAATTCCCTTACTGAACTTACAGTTTAGTAGGGATATGTCGACAAATATTTAATGTAAAATTCATGATTTATTTTACTTTTAGATGATTGGAAGCTTCCGCGGTATTTTTGCATTCAATGGGAATGTCGCTACGGATAGTTTTTTCCTTCTCAGTGGTACATTGCTTGCTTATACAAATTTCTCAAAGAAACAGAAGAATCCTGATAAGACATTCGATATACTGAGCTTTTATGTTCATCGATATATAAGGTGAATTTTGGAAACACGTGCTAACGTGGTATTACACCTGTTGAAATTTCGTGATTTATGAAAAAAGTGTCAAGCAGATGCATAAACACTCATAATGTATGATAACCGAAGCACGTGTAAAAACATTATGAGAATGTATGAATATCTTTTACACAGACTTACACCAGCGTACGCAATGGTGATTGGATTCTATGCGACACTTTTTTACAAACTTGGAAGTGGACCCTATTGGAATAAGTGGATAGCCGCATGTACAGAGCCATGCCGTAAGAATTGGTGGACAAATTTACTCTATGTGAATAATTACGTAATCGATGGTCAAATGGTAGGCATGGGTACAACTAATAAGATTATTAAAGTAAAATTACAATTGGATAATTTAGATATTTTATCAATTGGACTTTGCAGTGTCTTGACCAATCCTGGTATCTCTCTGTGGACATGCAACTGGTATGGCTGTCACCCATTTTTCTGTATCCTATGTTAAGATTCAAAAGAAGCATATTCTTCTGGAGTATTCTCGGTACAGGCATATTGATATCGATACTTGTGCCATTCTTTATTACTTACTATTATGAACTTCCTGGGACCATGATCTATACAATGGAGTGAGTTTAATTTTTTAATTAATGTAAAAGTGATGTAGCATCTATTTATGTGACATTATTCCTCTTTAGCTTATTTGACGTCACCAAAGTCTTTGTCAAAATTTATAAGAACGTATACACACGTGCTGGGCCTCATATCATGGGTTTGGGACTTGGATATTTACTATGTAAAACTCGTTCGCGATCCTTAAACATTCCTAACGTATGTTAATTTTATTGAATACATTTTCAAAGTTCGTATAAATAATATTTATGAATTTCTTTTCCTTATAGCGCTATGTGATCGCTGGTTGGTTAATCGGAATGGCTTCCGGTCTTGCCGTTGTTTTTGGACCATACAATATGTATAAGTATGATTACGTTTACAATAAAATTGAAGCCAGTTTCTACGCTGGATTACATAGACACGTATTTGCACTTTTCGTAGCTTGGATAATATTTACCAGCGTTCATGGTTACGGAGGTAATTAAGGCGACTTTAATGAAACGAATAAAATATCAATGGAATCTTTACTCCAATTAAACATTTCTTTTTTTCAAGGTTTTGTCAATCAATTTTTATCATGGAGGGGTTGGGTACCATTAAGCAAGTTGACGTACTGTATTTTTCTCTGTCATTTTATAATAATATTATATGACTCAGGAAATACCAGAATATCAAGTAATTTCACCACCTTCACCGGGGTAATTGTCATAATTATTATCTTCCATAGTGTGGTACTTCATGAAATTAAAAATGCTCAAAGTTTCAAAATCCTTTTCAGACAAATACTTTTCTCGGCTATCTCGTCCTATCCGTAATTCTCGCAGTAATCCTGCACCTCTTCTTCGAGGTGCCATTCATTACTCTAAGTCGCATTCTAACGAGAAGTCTGCATCGCGGCATAGTTCCTCAAGGAAGCAGGAAGACTTTCGAAAACAACGGCTCTGACGATACCTTGTACAAATCATGGAATGACACAAGAATGACAGCATCACAAATATACACTACCGAAAGTACAGACGCAGGACGCAGCAGTCCTGATTATGCCAACAATTTTTTGAGAAATGTCAACAAAGATTTTTATGTCGACAAGATCGAGTGTCCCAGGAACCAGGAGAACCCCTACATCTCCATCATGGGATCCACCCATTCAAATAGCAATACTCTGTATGCATTACAAGGATTGCGTGAGCAAGAAAACTTTGACACCAAAGTCCGTAGAGAAAAGAGGGAATTACACGAAAGAGACAGCAATGTTACGGCGGGAAAGAGCTTCGACAACAAAGCCTTTGAGGACACATCTTAGCTATAATGAACTGCCGAAATTTAATTTTAAATAATACGTCAAAGTTGTCGCCTGTAATTTGTTAATAGAACGCGAGAAGCGATTAAAACTTAATGCGTGCGTAGGACAATGAATTTATAGATTTTTAATAGAGAAAGGTATTACAATTTATAATAATTAATTAAAGTACCACTCTTGAAGAGGTGGCTAATATATCCCAATAGCCGGGGAACAGTGATGTAATGATTAAAAAGACCTCTCTCAAGTATTTCAATGTAGCTCTTGAGGTGATCCTGTGTGTAGATGCCATCTCCGCGTCTCTTGTAATCTATTCCATTTAGCTCCTTAGAAGGGTTGTAGAAGAAAGTGAAGGAGAGAAAAAGAGGATAAAAAAAGAAATCCACGAAGAGTCTTGGCGTTACTGGCCCGTGTCCCTGTTTACTTAGGCTCTACTGGGATTTAGACCCTTCGTGACACGTCTTCCACAGGGATGAAGACACCAGGAGGCAACAGGAGGGACGCGGCTAAGTAAGTCGATCTGCCGACAATGAGTGGCCTGTCCTCTCCTTGGAAGTAATGGATACTCATCCTCGTGGAAATGACCTTAACAAGAAATCTTCTTCGCGGGAAAGATTCTCTTTTTAAAACCAATGTCAAAATTACATCGCTGGACCGAAAGGGATGCTGCTCCTTGGCTTTGGCCACACGTATCGCTGGACGGATCAGGACGAACTAAGAGATGAATTTCTATTAGCCAGAATATAATTCCAAGTGAATTGAACTTTGTGGGAACGTTGATGACATCATTAAAGTCAGAATGGAGTCGTTCGAGGGTCGCGCCTCCTGGTGCCGCACGTGCAGACGACACTCTGGGGACATCAATAGATATTGTTGCGTGGGAAATCGCAGAAAAGGTAGCTAGAAACTTCAGAAACGTCTCCAACTCTATTATAATACATTATAATAAATCTGACACGACAGGTAAATCTCGTAACGCCAACACTTCCTTCTTTCGTATAGTACGTTACGCATACTTGAACTCTCCGTACTATATATGTGAATATAAAGTATTATCCCTATAAAGTAACCATAAAATAGAGTAATACGCCTACTGCAATAAATCTGAAATAGAGAAACGTCCTTATTTACTCATAAAACTATCCCTGGATACGTTATGCGGTTTTGTTCCCCGAATGCATCTCATTATTAATATAATTCTCAGTGACTATCGCTATAGAGCGATTCAAAAGGGATGTTACGGATGTCTGGCTAGCACATGCTCAGGACGTCCTGCAGCGAGGAACAAACGGATAGATTTCACTTATTGTCCCTGGTTTCTGTGACATCTGCAAGGGCCAGTATTACGGACGAAGTTATGAGGGGCTTGTTGTTTTCTACCCCCGCGAAAATTGCGTCACCAGTAGACCCCACTAAATTGTCCATTAGAGAAACGACAAGCCGATAAACAGCATCGAATCAAGTCCAGCTATCAATGCGGAATACGTGTGTCCAGGAATATGTAATAAGAATCCTGTTGCATCTTTCAGGCGCAATGGACCTGGCGCTAACGGAGGTCAGGGACGTCTTGGCGTCGACCTCCCTTGGCGACCTGACCATTGTCCTCTCGTGTCACCGAAGAAAACCTCCAGGAGGAGCACGCGTCTCGCACGACCTGACCCTAATAAACTGTAACCGGAGTGTCGGACAATACGACGGGTCATCCAGGGACGATATAGTTGGACAGGAAGGAACGATGATCTGGTACACACGTGGACATCCTACTATACGGGAATTTAGTACTGAGGACAGCTTGAATATCCTATACCAAAGGAAAAGGGGAAGCAATGGAAATGCAGGAGGCACTTGTACTATTTTTTTTTTAATTTTCTTAAATAATTCAGGGAAAATTCGAGGAGCTCTTACTGGGACGATGACACTGAGATAAATATTTGTCTTCCTAAATAGTCTAAGCTGTATCAGGTCAATTCGCCACTTAACTTTTTGAAAATGAAAGGGAAAAAAGGCATATGGCAGAATAGCACATGTCCCTTATATAAGCAAACCAAGTATGGGGATCTACCATGAGTGACCTAAAGATCAATGTATTTATTGGCAAGATCAGATGACCTAATAAATTTAATGAGATCTATATTTTTAATTTTATCCGGTCTCCGATAGTCCGATCATTAATAAAAAACATATTGTCATGCAGAGCAGCGGTCAGAGAATGGAAGAAATTGCTGGTGGATAAGTGTGAAATATGAAGAGGGCCAAAGTCAAGTGGTTGCATATGAAGAGAAGGACGCAAAAGGTTGTCTACCTACGTCAGAGTGCATGGATTTGTGCGTCTGCGTCTCTCTGGACCGTGGTGTATGAGAACGCATGGAACTCGTAAATCGTATCGAGAGATCGGCCTTACTGGCGCCATCGCAACTTGAGTTCCACCGGTCCACCCTGGGAGCCGACGGACCTTCTTCTGGAAACAAAGCAGCTAGAGCCAAAAGTCAAAGCCAGCGAAATGCCCTTCGCTGGTACCCCCATTTGCGTCCTGGTTCGCTGACAGTTATCCGCTGCCAAGTCGTTGACAGAAATATTGGCAGTCACTGCCAACAGACAAGCCTGAGCTAACTGGGCCAGCCAAATCCATTCGAGCTACTAATGTTATCAGGAAATAACCACTGAAAGAGTACAAATTTTATAAAATACATTTAAAAAAAAAAACCTCTGTCCACTTTTAAAGTCTATGGCTATATTGACTTTGGATGTTCATCCCTGAAATTGCACCCTTGTCCAATTCCACATAATCGCAAGGGTTATAATCGAGAATTGTGTCTAGTGATCAGGACACATCACTCTTATCACGAGCTCTAAAAAAGGTACTGTGCAACAAGGGGCCAGTCGAGATAAGAAATAAAATAGTAAGGACTGTATGAGCTTAGCATAATAGTAGCAATAGTAGTGTAGTAGGGATAAAAGTGAGTGTTGTATATCGTGTAAGAGATCCCCATGACGTAGTGCGACGCCCACCATGGGGAACAGAAGTGTAATCCGAGATGCGGAGGGCGTCGCCAGAGATTCGCCTCTTCGGCTTCCTGGCAACGAAGCGTTTCAACGCTGTGACATTAGCGCCAGGTCTGGGAACATTTTGAAAAGGGGAGAGCAAATTTATCAGAATTCTTTTTGGCGGTGGTGTAACTGTTATCCCATTATTCTAATATAAGATCTGGCCAATCGGGAGCGGCAGTGCATATTGATGGTAACGGGGTCGACAGTGGGGTCGGACTTTTTGCCAAGGGCACTCGAGTAGCGCGGGTGCTACCCTGGGAAAAAGGGAGATAAACCCACTTAAGATTCTAAGCTAATTTAACTTAAAGTCAAGTCGACGCTGTTTTCAGATTCTTTCACTCTAATTGCCCCATTCGGTACATATAGTATAGCCACAAGTAACAGAAATCTCTATATATTAATATCTTAATGTGAATTCCTTGTATCGGTGAAGATTCGCGATTGAATTAAATAAAAATTCGTATGCTTCAAAGACCTTGTTTTTTTCTATGTAGCATAGAGTAACATATGTAACATATAGGGTAGAGCTATATTGTATAGTAAGTCACTCGGGCGCCATAGATGAAATATGATACTCGACAATTTTATTAACCCAGATCAGGGATGATTTATCCAACAACGGGCCACTGTATATACGGTGGACTTTTAGAAACAAAAAGGGTTTGTTTATTATTCCGACAGTTAAAAGTAGCCGTTTCACGGCCGGCAGTATCTCCCTTGAAGTTAACATCAATATACTGTATGTATTGGAGAGATAGCAAAGGGATTTCACTCTACAAATTGGTCTCTTATTTCCGTACCCTTTTTTGTCTCATCGAATTAGAAAAAAAAAAATCTCACCAACATTCGACTCCCCGAATAAGCCCCAAATATTTCAATAGAAACATCCTCGTACTTTTGTCGCTTTTCTTTTTTCTCCCGAAACTCTCCCTCGGCCATTCATTCTGTTCTTATACGCTGTCTCTTCCACAGTTTAAAATCCTGATCCTTTCATGAATGAAGATCGAGACCAGGTCCATAGTAAGCAGAGCGTGTGTACGATACGTATAATATACAGAGGACACGTGTACGGACGAGGTGTTTACATTAACTCCATGAACAGAACAGAGCAGACCCACCCTGGAACCAGGAGGCCAGCACACGCCACCCACGTTCACTGAAGCACCTGCCATAACTGCTTCCTTCCTGTCCCTGACTCGATACATAACTGGTATTTAATCATGCCCCTGAGAGCCAGACCATGTCCATGAGTACTGGCTGACTAATTTCTCATAATAGGAGAAAAAAAATAGAAAAAGATAAAAGGTTCCCCGTTTGGCAAGATATAACGACAGTCGATGCGACTTTCGACCAATAGCAATGATACGTGTGTGACGTACGGTACACATGTCGTATGGCACTTTTATGGAGGATGCACGAGACTTTGGATTTTCTCAAAGGAATTTCAAAGTTCCTCTCATCTGCTTCAACGATTTTTAGGATTAGAATGTAACCTTTGGGTACTGCGTTTGACGTATGGAAGCCTCCATTAATACTCGGTAACGCAATAAACTATATTTAGGTGGCGGCGCGGCGTACGTGGTATGATTTGATATCTTGGTGGAAGACCACATGGCCCATTCTCTCTCTCTCTCTCTCTCTCTCATCGGTTCTCCTTGCTCACCGTAATACCATCAAGTCTAACCGTTTACCGTGCTTTGACTCACGACGAAAAATTCCGCCATTTCTGATTCCGATGCTGTTTCGCATAATTCAATGAAACTCAATTTCATCCAGCATGATAGGACTCTGGTAAGAATAAAAATAATGATGTATAATAACGCTCGAGTCAAGGCGCTTCTTAGTTACTTCATGTTAAATGCAATAACAAGAGTGTTCCTAGCGAGTTTTACGAGTTTTCGAGAAGTTTCTGAAGAGTTTAGATACGAGGTGGCAACATTAATGTTCATCGGACCGTAATAAACGACTAAGAGCATATGTGGTCCACTGCTTCTCTCTCTCTCTCTTTTCTTTTACAACTTCTTTCCCATAGGATAGACCAGAATTCTTGTAGCTATGTATTTACTAACTAGTAGCCACCAAAAAGATACTACTCTTGTTTCTTATGTACCTTTTTATGATCTCTCGAGAACAGCCCATTCTTTTATATATTCTCGAGAATCCATCATGTCGAACATCCATATACTCGCGGAATGGCATAAGAATTGTTGTTTTTCTCAAAACGTGTCTCAACCTTTCTGTCTCGCAAGAAGAAATAAAAACAAGAGTTCGCGTGCTAAGCTCGTGCTGGTATAATGCCGCGAGGTGCGCGCGCCATCTCTCGTTAACGCCGAGACTCACTCTCCCCTAATTATTATTTTGTACGGTTAAGTAGGCCATTTTTTCTCTCTGGTTTTCCTCGGTTTATCCCTACCGTGACAGGCTACGGCTGTCATGAAAATCGGATGTAAAAACAGAAGGTGAGACGTTCTGCGCAACGTCGCAAGACAGCCTAACGTGGATTTATTTATTTTCGCGAGAACGATGACAACGTCCTCATCTTCGTCCCGTCTTTCATCTCCGCTATATTCTACGCCTGCATGTATCCTATATAGTATATAAACGAATTACCGTTTCTAAGATTTTTGAAGAATTCCTTGTAGCAGCCAGGATCGTTCATTCATAACTTTCCCATTCATTGCTGTGTAGGCTCTGGTATACATTGGTGTAATGGCTCATCTGGTTATAGAGGGGTAGTTATTATTACTGGAAGGGTTGACGATCCTGTCTCATAAAAGGATTTCCTTCCTGTGCGACAAAAAAAGCAATCCCTGGGAAAATTTTTGACATAACCTATAACGGTATTTTTATATTTTTATTCCACACTCACAATTCAGTCTACCCATGCACCGTATAGACTGTTCAAAAAGGGCTACCTCGTCATATTAAAAGTTAGGTTAGACTTCTTACCGAGCAGAATTTTATCCATACAACTTTCTTCCGTTTTATCCTTGGAACCTGCAGCATCCCAGGATCGTTCCTTGTTCCAGAAGGCCTCCTATACTCTGCACTCTCACTCTTTCTCCACTTAACTATCACGATCATTACTTAATAGATATCGCGAGCAGGAGGCACAGGCGGCATCACCAGGACTCGACAGATAGCGGCACGTTATTATCGGTATCCTGGTGCAGGATACCGCATTCCAGAATCACTCACTTTCTTCAGCAGACACGCCAGAACACTCTTCGTTTGACAATCCGCCGACCCTTTAGAGAAAAGCTTTCACTCACCGCCATAACCTCACTCTTTACAAAAGTTCACTTTTTACACTCTCCACTAGAAATCCATCGATGCACTGTCGCACGTCCAATCCAAGGTATCGCGTCTTGTGGATTTCAAGGTATTGTAATTTCTGTAATCACGGTATTAAAGAGAAATTTGTATCTTCCCTTGTGTCAGGTATCAAGTGTCCCAAGAGTTGTCTAGAGTCAGAGAGAACTCGTAGCTCATATTCCATGCTGCAGCCTGACTCCGGCAGTCGGATAAGATCAAAGGATGAAAATTAGTCGGTATTCAAGTGCTTCTTCATTCACGTTACGTCGGCATCGTCGGCATAGACTTATTTCTTTGAGAGAAGCATGAGTGCCACTGACTCTCGCGTGTTTCTAACTTCAGTGCATTCGCGTGTTCAAGATGGCCGCCATCAGAGAACTTGACATTTGCGCTGGTTTTATCAGTTCTAATAACTAGCACCACTAGAGACATTTGAGTAAATCAGAGGGAGAATATTTTTTCTTAATATTTTCCTTCTATCGTTGATCTACCTTAATCTTATCGTTTGTTCCATTACAGTGACATTATGTCTCGCACGGCCTGGCGCATATTCTCTCAAAGTGAGATCCTGTCTAGTTGTCAGAAGGGTGGAGAAATAATTGAAATCTCGTGGCGTCTGGCCTTTGTCCCACCACGTACCAGACGCTTTCTCCTATCTCTAATTGTCTTATTTATTGCTCAACATTACTGGTTACTTCTCGAGCTTCCCCATACACGTGGATAATGTAAGGACGCGTACCTTTATGGTTAGGTAAGTCTGACACGGTGTATCGTAGAATTAACTGAACGATTTACAAAATTTAATTGGCTTAACCTATATAAGATTCCCTATTATAAAATTGATGGACGCGAGATACGCATCTTTATTTATGCCAGCAGGTTTTTCGGTTTTAAAATCAACCCCCTGGGGATTGCTACCGTCTAGCCCTGTCGGAACCCGACACTCGGTCGGCAGAAAACTTTTGACAGTTTTTCTAATGTTTTTTTCTTCTCCCGTTCATCCACCAGGGAAAAGACACGAGTAACATTTTGTATTTTTTAAGAATTCGACAAAACTGACTAGCAAAGATCCTTCCAAGTGTTTCCAATCGATCAAACTGCATTGAGAGAGACACGAAGAGCCTCTCAAATTTGTACCATCATTTTTTAATAAGAATCTAAAGCTCACGCTATTAATAATATTTTTGTGGAATAAAAAAAAAATCGATTCTCTACAGCTTATCTTAAATTTTGGTTAATCTATCATCTAAATCATCCCTCTCTCCAAGAGCTGAGAATTCAATTTACTAATTGAATAGCATTCAGGGGCGTAGAAAGGGATATGCTGGGGGGAGCACGAAGCCCCGCCAGTGGGTTGGGTCTACTGGGTATCCACCCAGATCATAAACTTAACTCGTGTAAACACTTGTGGTACGGAGATCCAGAGCTCGATCCCACATCAGTGTCATTTCGGCAGCACCCACATACGCGCACGCGTCATTAGAAACCCCATAGAATTTTGAGATCAACTCTCCGTACCCCTGGGGCCCTCGTTAGGAAGGGTTGTGACAGTCTGTGGTGTCTATTGTGTACTGTGGATAACCGTAACGTAAGACAAAATATTATTAAACACCCTAAATGAGCAGAAACATTTAAAAGAATTCTGGAATTTCAATTTTAGAATATATCATTCCGTGAGAGTGCACCGTAAAATTTATATTAAAAAAAAAATATAAATTATAAAACATGCTTGGTGGATACGAAGCTCAGGCGGATTATTATCCGCAGTGGCATCAACCTTATAATTACGTCACGCAACTTCCCTACGGTCAGTTATCTTTATATTAAATATAAATTGTCATGAGTATAAATCATTAGGAGAATGGCAGTGAGGTGACGATGGTGTTTGTGATTTCTTGCAGGTCCAATGGGTATGGATACGGATGGACAGTCTGGATACTGGTGCGCCGATTCAGGTATCTCTGGAGGAAGTTCAGGCGCCGGAAGTCCAGCAGCTTCCACCCCGCCGCTCATAGAAGAGATTGGTATCCAGGATTCCCATTTCTCACCGTCCTCCTCATCATCGTCTCATTATACCAATCATCAACAGTACGCTCATCCTATTGGAAGTCAATATTCCAGTATGGTTTATCCACAAGCGACGGATACTCTGGGGAGACAAGAGTACCAATCCAATCCCGTGCTCCAGCCTGGCAGTATCCAGCATCTCCACGGTGTCCGCGAGGGGATGATCGTGAGGCCCAAAAGGAGAAACACGGCAAATAAAAAGGAACGGAGACGGACGCAGAGCATAAATAATGCATTCGCTGATCTCAGGGATTGCATTCCAAATGTACCTGCTGATACGAAATTATCAAAAATCAAAACGCTCAGATTGGCAGCATCCTATATTGGGTATTTAATGGCCGTACTGGAGAGCGACGAGGGCGAAGAGCCGCAGACTTTTAGGGCTGAAATATTGTCGAATGGACGGCGAAATAAGGCCCAGCAGAATCCGGTGAGTTATCTCAGAGCTCAGTTAATATTATTTTGGAGTTCTTTAGGCGCGTGAGAGACGCTCGATGGACTCTTTTTAAAAGGAGCCTGGAACGTCACACTGTTTACGCCATAATCTTCCTGGCCACTTCATAACTTCTGAGCTTGTCCCACGAGAGAGGAGAGAACAGTGACGAAGAGAGACGGCTTTGGGTCTCGATACTCGGAAACGTCAGAATATTGGAATGTTCTTGCTCTATTTATTTTTTCTCTCTCTTCTTCAAACTGTTTTTTCCTTACTTCGTTACAATTTACGAAATCTGTTTTTAGGAGGATCCCATCAGAAAGTTCTTCTTGCTCGATTACTCAGAGTTGTCGTTGTTTTTTGATTTTTTTCTCTCCTTTCTATTTATTCAATTTCTTCCCGACGGATTATGAGGCGCGTTATGGACTTGTCTTTCATAAACTCCCTATCCAGTAAGCGCATTACGTTAAACTAAACGTTAGTCTCCTAATTGAGACCCCATTCTTAGCCAAAGATGTTACTTAAAAGTGCATTATCGTGCATGATGTCCTGTGAAAATAAAACAATCGTACCACTGCTAGAGACATACAAAATACGCGGATCGGTAAACTCGCGGAATTACAGAGGATTGGCTGCTGATCTTTATGATGAATTTGACAAAAGTACAAATTATCTTGCTACAAAATCCTTTTATTAGGATACAATACTCTCGAGGGGAATGCTGCAATTATTTTTATACTAGAATCCGAAAAACGCGCTGTGAGGTCTTCAGGTAGTCGCCTGAAGCACCTATGATCGAAGGACTGTCACCATTTTTGAGGGATCTAACAATTTTCAAAAATCGTTCCCACTTCCGCGGTGTTCTCAGGAAGCGCCCTTTACTTTTGTGGTTTTCACAATTTCTTCTCCCCAAGAAAACATCCAACCGTGGACCACCACCGATCGTTTCTACGTCAAGAATGTTACTTCCTATGATTTTAATATTTGTTTTTTCCCAATGTTACAGAGCGAAACTTGCACTCAGAGCACATCGAGTTCAATCCTCGAGGAGACGTCAAAGGGCAAAGGTCGCACAGGATGGCCTCAGCACATGTGGGCCTTGGAATTAAAGCAAGAACCGCCAAATCAGATGCAATGAAAATGGAATAGCTATTAGAAATATCAGAACCAAAAAGAAAATTAAAAAAGGAAAACGATCCGGTACCACTGGTGACTTAATACCATAAGAAATATACAAGGATATCCGTAATTGTATAGATGAATGAAGCATGTAAATAGTTTGGCGTATTCTTATTATCAAGATATACATATATAATGTAAATAGAAGGGTTAACCAGAGAATAAGAAGCGCCCGATATTCGTATGTCGCCCGTACACCAAAGAGTATTAATTTCCACGTGGGATCCTGATGAAGGATAGGTCACAAGTCAGGAAATAATCTGAGAAATTGACACGCTATTATTAGGACTCAAGAAATTCGACTTTACCGCGTTAAGAATAAGATTTGTAAAGTTTTGTATAAAGAACGATATTTCCAGCCGAATAAGGATGATAATAAAAGTGTACATTAATTTACATAAGAGTTTTTCTTCATCCTCAAAGATCCTGTCTCGCAACCCAATAATTTTATCAAAGCTTCCTGGTACAGATATTGATACGAAGGAATTAAAACCTAGAATACAACAGTCAGACACTCTAGCCGGCGCCCTACGCAAATTCTTCGCACGATGGGCTATCCTAGCAAATACAAAACATATCGGACAAATATTTGTCGCGATCATTCGCACGCTCGTCATTCACACCGATCGGCCAATCTAAACACGTCGAGTGATACATTGTACGATTTGTATATTGTACCGAGCAACAAAGTTCATCTCAAATGAATAATTATCCAATTAGTAAAGAGGATCCTGTTTGGGTAGTTTGAAAGGTCTCGAGTTTCGATGAAGAAGGTCCCCAGGGTTCATTCTGTCAGTTGATTATAAACATATGAATTTTATATCACCGATCAATGAGAGCTCTAAACGTTTTCTCTATGTCCCTTGACTTCCTTCCATTCTTTCCCTCGAAGGAATTCTATACGATTTGACTGGCCAGGGTCTCCAGCATCCAGTGACCAGAGTCGGATACGTGGGGCCAGGATAAGTGGCACCAGGACTCGCATAACTCACGCGTCCTGGCGACACGAGACTTGTCGTATTAGTCTCGTGTTTCTGCAAAGGTCCTGACGACTGGGATCCTGTAAGCCTAGAAGCCGCTGGTCCAATATTTCCGTCACTGACAAATAGGACCTTCCCGTCGTAGCGCCTCGTGGGCGTCCTTCAGGATAATTGCTGGGTAAACAGGACAGGCCGAAACAAAGGAAATCACAACTACGTTAGTTTTAAATTCACATCGGCACAACGGAATGCAATGGATGCCTGGGATGATCGAAAAGAATTTCGATATTAATAGAATTGAAAGTTTGAAGAATTCTAATTATCATCCGACAAATAATCAAAATTATATAAATAGGCGATATGGTCGAGAGCTCTGGGGCGAGTTTGCGCAAGTGGATCTGAAGGAAGCATAACTATGGCGTCTGGTAGCTGGGAAGTTCGGCCCAAATCCAATAAAGTAATAACCAGAGGCGGAGCTTCCTAAGCAGGCGCAAAAGGGCTCCCAGTTAACTATGAACCACCTTTCATCCCCTACTCTGTGTCCTCCTTCTCACTTGGTACCCTTGTTCCGTCTTCCAAATCCTCAAACAGATATTCTAACCATGGTAAGGTACAGCAAAGCTAATACAGAGGAAGACAGTGATGGCCATTTGTCAGCAGCATCGTGTTCATTAAACTCTCATTAATTACAAAGGCTGGAAAGTCGCCAAGAGCAGTGTCAAAGCATCACCAGGAATCCATGTTTTGACTAATTTTATCATTAGCAATGTAAGCTGTCAAAAGCATCATTATGTATCTTTGAATACATTATCTGCCTTAGAGATATATCTTCTCTATCAATGACATCGTGCCGTATGCAGATGATTTATTGGAAAATTCGAAGCTGCCGCTACTCGGGACACGTGGGGTTGTTTAATTTATGAGCCGTTGTCACTCCTTTAACGGGTAAAATTTCGTCAGTCAACGAGGATCCCGTGGAAGAGGGCACGAGCCATCCGCGAGGGCAGGGCTCGTTCAGGATGGATAGAGATCAGCGCACTTTGTAAACTCTGGCTGTGACGCAGGCCAGAACACCTCCGTAGATTCTAGCATGGGGTAAACACTCACTCGGTAGCAGCAGAAGTTCGCGTTATTCTTAGTAGCCATGAAGACTACCTTCTCTCCTCGATGTCTGATAGCGGAGCAGGCTGCAACGTTGCTTTTCGTGGATTCAGTTGGTAGAAAGCTTTTGAAAAGGCTGGAGGTCTTGGAACAAGTAGACATTTTTTCAAAATTACACAACAGCCTGGAACCATACAAATAATGTTATTGAGTAAGTCAAATATATGCTTTAAAATATATTTCTTACATGTTCAGTGGTTTATTGTAATCCTTGTTGGTTCCCAGGTAGCAGCAACATGGGTATGGATTGTTCCGAAAGCTTTTGGTGTCCCATGGACACGGGACTATCCACAGGGGGTACGTCAGGGACCGGAAGTCCAGGAGTGGCAGGAAGTTCACAATGCTTGGAAGAATTGGGGATACAGGATAATCAGTATGGTTACCATGAAAATTTATCAGGACACTATACCTTGGGATATCGGCAATCCAGCAATCAGAATAATCAGGGCAGAGAGTATTTGACGTGTTCGAGTGGTTCTGTAGAATCGCAATCTACGGCATCCTCTGGGATGGGACTCCTGGTGCGTCCCGTTAAACGTCGGAATACCGTGAATCGCAAGGAGCGCAGAAGGACGCAGAGCATCAATAATGCCTTTGCCGATCTAAGGGATCGTATACCGAATGTACCGGCTGATACAAAATTATCGAAAATTAAAACACTCAGACTTGCTTGTTCCTACATCGGCTACCTGATGGCTGTACTGCAGAGTGACGAGCCGCCCACGTCCTTCAGGGCGGAACTTATGTCCTGCAGTAGACGTGCTAAACAAACAGGGGTGAGTTTTGACTCTATTTAATTTGCACTCTCAGAAAAGTAATTATAATAATTCATTTACCACCCTCTGTATAGTACAGAGAAAAACGTCCTTTCCTATTGGCATCTGGGAAGTAAACATCATCTCATCCCTTTGCAATGCCAGAAACTAATTGTATATGAGGGTGCAGCAATGTGAAGATAATATCGTTCGATCCTTTTCAAGTGTGATCGCTTAGATTGATCCAGAGAGTGGCTCCCTTATCTAAATCACAATCGTCCTGGCAATCTGCTAGCAATTAAGTCTGCACCAGGTTCCACGTCTCTTAGAGTGCAGCGCATAATGGACCCCTAGAGAGTCCACTAGATAACGATTACCAGTTAACGCAGATAGCTGAATCACAGTGTAGCATCAGGAGTTCTTCTAATTTTGTAATCCAGCCTATGAATCAATACAATTTTAAAGAGATTAGTTTTCTCATAAATAAATACCACAAACGATGGTAATACCACTATCTGAATTCCGACTGTTCCGGCGCTAAGGGTGCTCTTTAAAAAATCATTAGGGCCACCGGCACAGCCAGTGTTTATACTTACCACTATAGTTAAACGTTTCCTCCCCTCAGTTGGTCCTAATACCAGGAAGTTTATTTCGCTAATACCAGCAGTTGTACCATCAACATGGAATCGTTAGAAAAAGTACCATGGACAATAGTCTGGCATATTGTACAATAAGGAATAACATGGTACACGTTATAGTATCAGCAACGTGGGAATCTTCCTACGTGAAGTCGAGTCTTCACTTGCAACAGATGTATCAGAGCATGAGGCTCTTACGCGCTTATTCCAAATACGTAAGGAGGAGAGGGAGGAGTGAAAAAAAGTATGAACCAAACGTTTGTTTGCTTTGATAAGTATTGAAGTCCGCGTACCCACTTAGATCTCACTGAAAAACCACTCAATGCATATGGCGTCTTTATTACGCGCCCAATGTATATACGCCTGTATATTATTGTAAGTAGTGACAGGAGGAAGGGAAAAAGAAAGGGTCTGTACATACGAACTTTGTGTAGTCAGGACTGGTGAGTATGGTGTACGAGGCAAATATTCATTCCTACAGGTGGAATGTGACCAGGACGAGATTGGACACTCTGGAGAAGGTGCACGTCGTGGAAAAGGGAGGACCGGCTGGCCCCAGCATGTTTGGGCCTTGGAATTGAAGCAGGAACAATCGGGACTGTAATGAAGAATATGTTGTTTCATTAAAAGTTTTCCTCAATTTCTTTATTATCGACGTTCCACACAGCTGAATTCCATGATTGGATGGTACCTTGATTGATATAGTACGTGGCACGTCAGTGAGACTGCTGCAGAGGCGTATAAATATATGGTAGCAAGTTAAACAAACGGCTAGATACGCTCTCAGGATACGCGTAGGCGATCTAAACAAGATGCCACGGTTGCTCGGAGTACTGAGATATATGCTTTAGTTAATTAATGATACAGTACTATAGAATGTTTCACTTTCAGAGACTGTATATGGTTGATATAGTGATGCTATAGTCATTATTATTCATTTTTCATTGATCATGTATCGGTCTAGGTGTTTCATTTTTGAGGAGAAAAAAATGTAGAATAAATAATGCGTCGGACATCGCATTGTTGGTATCAAGGAGCAGAAATTAAAATCATTACTCCCAGAGAAAGTTATAAAGAGAGGAATACTTCAGAAACAGCTACGCGTCCAACTATTATTAGAACTTTCCTGGTACTCTCGGGTATTTCTTTTTCTTCCCTCTTAAAGACACCAGAGACCGCAGGATGGGCGTTACGTTATTTTAATTACTCGGGCAATTAGAGTTGGGGGTAGTTTTTCAACGCGTTCTACAAAAATCCTTTCTTAGTCCCAAAGTAGGCGCCGGCACGTATAAATTCGGCTGCTGTAATTGGTCCAGGCATTAATCTCAATCCGTTTGACTATTCAGAGACTTCTGTCATTCCATGACTATCGAATAGCACACACGTTCTCTCGACTATCCTCCTGTGCCTTGAGTGATCATTTTATTTTTTTCTTCTCCCTCTGGAAGTGTCTTATATTACTAAAATCTTACAACTGACATTGTGCATCCTTTCAGGGCTTCGATCCCTGTACTTCTGAAGGGCTAACTTACCTAGAGTCGACCTTTATATAGGTAATAGTCAACCTCACAGACTTGATAACTTGATCCCCAAATTGAATTGGATAATTGACAGGATTTAACTCTTCTCGACTGATTGTCTTCCCCCTGGCGCCACCAGGGGATCAGCAAATCTCTCGTTTCATTTATTACACGGTATGGGGTGTGATCGTATGTGACCCTGATAACTGATAAGGACTCAGTTATCCTTGCATCCTAAAACGTAATAAGTAGTACATGGATTATTTATTAGATAACACGACACAGTGTACCAAAACTATCAATTATAGCAACATAATTATACCGAACTTGTGTGGAACCACTGGACTTCGTAAGGGTATAAAATTATAAGGATGACTCTTCTGACATGTTGCTGCTCAGGGATTTTCTCTGGTGGTATTTTTGGTCTCGGTTCTCTCAATCTCATTCAGTATGGGTGACTCGAAGTCTCAATCAAATGGAGACAAATCACGGGGATGTCGAGATTGCCCATGGGGGGTACCTCAATACTTTTGCCTCTCGCTCCTGCTCGTGTACAGTAAACCCTCGACACGACCCACGGAAGTCTTTCTATCGAAAGCCACCCCCCCGCGTGTTACCCCCTGAGATCGCACCACCTATATAACCTGAGGATTTCCCTGTAGCCGACACCACTCGCCCTCGAGGTGCAATACCGTATAGACATCAGTATGATCCTTTTTACCAAGCATCTTTGTGCCGCTGTCAGCTTAGCGCTACTCATTACGTGCATCTCTGCTGAATACGGTGAGTAGACGATAATCTATGTACGATTAATTAGAGTAGATTATTAATGTGCTATCTGAGTATTTCGAATATTCTGATAACCCATGTACCTTCGATAGCTCAGTTGGTAGAGCGGTGGACTGTAGTTGGCTTTGATCATGCGGTAGTAGGCATCCATAGGTCGCTGGTTCAAATCCGGCTCGAAGGATACTTTTTTCTAATTAATAAAAATATTCCCTTTTGTAATAATGCTTTTATAATTGAAGTGAAAGTGCCATTTTGATATTTCAGACACAAAGGAAGTTGACTTCACTGGTAACGGTGGGAGAGCGAATGAGGCCAATGGAGTTTGTTCCGGTTCCAGTTGCGTGAAGAGAACATTTAATGGCGTTTCTGGTGCAATGTGGTTTGGTCCACGATTAGGAAGACGACGAAGATCGGATGAGAAGAGTGAAGCTGATGTAGATGAGATCAACGCTATAGCGGAAGCATTAAACGCTGCACCATGGGCTCTCGTATCCATACCAGGTAAACGAGCAAGTGAAATACCTTAAAGTATTATTTCATTTCAAATTCCTATAAAATAAATTAATAATTGTTATTAAATAATGAAACAATTGCAGAAGGCAAACGTCACGCTATGCAAGTCTTTACACCGCGTCTTGGCAGAGAATTGGCTGAGGATTATTTACTTTATAATTCTTTGAACGGTGCCGCCCAGGGTGGAAGCCAAGACGACGTTGAGCAACGTTCACCACCTTTTGCACCGCGCCTAGGTCGTCGTCTACCCTTCATGCCATCCCCAAGACTTGGTCGTCAGCTTCGTGCCTTTCTACGAAAGGTTTAATCAGTCCAAGAGACGAGGATCCCAGAATGTCTCCAGGACGGATACACGTTGATCGTTATGCAAAATCAATTACCGGGAATGACAAGAAATCTCTCTCTTTGACAATGTGTTGCATAGAAACTGCATGCAAATTCCATTATTTGAGAACCTGGAGAGATTTCCGAAACATAGTAGTACATTAGTGATTGCAGAACATAAACCGAGGAATAACAGGCATATTTATAATATACAAAAGATATGTATGTGAACGTCGATGACGATGACCAACCATTTCCATGCGAAATCCTTTGATACAAAGCCCATAATATTATTCCCCATCCTCATATATTTAAAGCCGTTTACGATAATATGAAGTGAAGGAAAAAAGTTTTTAAACAAAAAACCGTTACATATATCGAAAAGGAGACACACCCAAAGATTATTGATCGAGTGGAGAGACTTCTGTATACATGTTTTACTCAATGGCCAATAAATCTTTTACGAAGGAAACCTCCCACCGATTGCTCGTGTCATTGATTGAAAAATATATACATATATACCTACTCCAGTATCGAAGCAAAAAAGATTATGTAACTTGTTTGTCTGTACGAAATGTATTCGCTGTGCCCACATTGCTCACAAAGTACAGATACGTATTAACGAAAGCATATAGTTTTAAGGATTTTCCGCGAGAAAGAGGAATATGTATAAACGTACTTGGTGTTTCTCTAGTGTCTGTAGGAGGTAGGGAACGTGGAGGAAGGCGGTATAAAATAATCCGTGGACCGGAACCTGCTACAGGGCCATGTGGTCTCTCGCTGCGAAGACGATGGAAGTCGGTAGTCATAACCGTAAAACCTGAAAACACCAGCGTCAGATACCGCGAAGGAGGCTAACGCCATCTTAACGGACGTTCAAACCCGCTTTAGACTTTCTACCGGCGTCGTCAGTTGTACAGAGACGCCAAGCGACGCCAAGCGACGCCAACCGACACCAAGCAACGCGGATACCTTTACGTTAGAATATTTATTTACTCACGTAGGCGCTCACTGGTCGGTTTTTAATGGCGGCAAATTTACGAGCCGTACGACGCAGCTTTAACCGTTTGAATATTTGTTAACGATAAAATTAACGTTTTATTTTTAAAATGTATGGAAATTACGATTAATTTCTATCTTTTTTCTAACACGAATTGAACAATATTTTAATTAACTTACACTTTGACTGCTTCCCAATGGTCTTGTGACTGATCACTCGTATTCGACGATTCCGCCATAATTATGATACAATGAGATACGTTGATTCTTTTTTGTGTTTTTCCTTTTATTTTATTTTTTTGTCAATCTTTCTTTCTATTCACAAACGTTACAACTCCCAAATGTATGTATGCACGTACGTAACATGATTCCGAAGGAAAATCCAGACACTCAGACACTTCGCAATCAAAATGGAAAGAACTGCATAATTTCCTATATTCTTTTTTTTTAAATTAAGACTTACATATCACTGTACTTCATTAAAAGAAAAAAAAAACAATCTCTCGTTCTTTACTCATCTATTCCTCTTACGGTATATGTATCTATGATGTAACCACGTATGCCTATGTAAATTTGTTATCACCCGCATGGAGGGGATGACAAAAAAAATATCGCGCTGAATATTATTATGCAAAATGATGCAAGAAGAAAAAGAAAAATGAGAGTAAATTATTTATCACGAGAGACAAGATGATTTAATTTGACCAAGTTTCACGTATCTAATAGTACTTGGCTAAATGAAAAGCCCTCCCAGAATATGCAGCTACTCACACCTTTTCTTATTCTTATTATAAAGGACTAGGTTATAATAGTAAATCTATCCTCGTATCTCTTTTCCCTTATTATCTTGTTATTAAATTCACGTGAAAATTCTCGCAGTTACATGCGACAAACGTAGTATAAAAATACGCCACTGTGTCGTCTCGAACATTTTTAATATATGCACATGAGTTGTTCGAGACGACACATGGCATACGCAATATTTATATGATATTACACTATTATTATTTATGCTTCTAGTAAAGGAGACCATAGTTGGTGTGCCCAATTCTTTTTTTTTGTTTTCGATATTTATGCTCACACTGCACGCGGTAACTACTCTTAATCTCTGTTTTACTTTCATCTGGCGGATCCGTTTCTATGCAATGCTCTGTAGAATATCGATCGATTACAAATAAAATTTATTTTTAGTAATAAAAAAAGTAAAACAAAACAAATAGGTGTCTTCCGCCAATAAAAGTGATTCATCGTTCCAAGGCACTACTGTAACTCAGTGAGGCAAGAATTTCTGAATTTACATGGTAAACGAGAGCATGAAAATAACCGATAGGAGCGAATATCGAACTTTGACGCCATATTGAAAATTCTTATAGTGATTGTCCAGATAATTTTTTTTTGTAGTAGGATGTAGGGTCATTGGTTTTGGGATCGGCGTGATCGAACCCCAAAGCCAAATGAAGGTAGCAGGATGCTTTGGTTGTTCGTTTTTTTTTTTTTACACAAAACAGAATTATCAATAACTCTATAAAATGCTAAGTGCTTCTTTTTTCATATGTCTATACAGATTACGTGTGAACGATTTCGTTTTGTTTTCTCTATCGATGTTATCCGTTTCGTCTTTTGAGTTGTCTGATTGTGCACAACTACGGTACATAGTGTTTCTATAAAGGTCTCGTGGTAAAACTCATTTACATCGATACGACGAACGCTATTGCTGGGACCAATCAACTCCCTGTGATCAATCGATGACATGTGTGACGTGTGAGTCTTTAATATATATATATATATATAATATATGCAGATTTTTTTATACATTTTTTGAGTTGTTACCAACATTAACCCCACCCGCTTATAAGTGTAAGCCCTAACTGTAATTTTATTAATGATTAACACTATACGTATAAGTAAATGATAGTAATTAAGTAATCATATGTATATTTTTTACATGCTGGAAGCTTCATCCTCATGGCATACCCATAAACCGTGTAAGGGTGAGTCTTCTATTTTTATAGTACGATTTAATTTTTACCACAGCGCCAAGACATTAGCAACAGCAATAAAATTGGAGAGTAAGGAATCGCTTAGAAAAACTTAATATTCAATATCAAAATATATCCAAAAAATGGTGATCCGCAAATGATGCATTGGAGATTTTCTTTTCTTTCTAGGTGCGCAAGAGAAAAAGTCAACGCCCGCAAATAGTCAACAGCAACGGTAACAACGGTAACGAAAAAAGATAATTATACGCAACAAGTGCAATGAACGCGGGCCTCTAGAGAATGATGAGTGTTTTTACAGTGAAAGGAAAGAAAGCAAAATTTACATTGGCACAACGGATCGTAAAGCGTCGATGCGATTAATAAGACTCAGTCTAAGGAAGAAGACGAAGTGCGTGGCGAATGAAAGTAAATCAGAAAGCACCGTGTGTACGCCATGACGAGAGGAAACTCCCACAGACTTATCAAACTAATTCTAAATTTAATTTTTCACGGACTCGAAACGAAGACGCGTTAAGAATTAGTAAATCCGTAAGACGCGTGCGGTGCATTCGGCGCATCGGCGACGCGTCACTCTTCTAAATGATAATAGTCACTCGCTTTAAAAACTAACCGCAATCGCGTAAGCATGTACATATGTTTGCCGAAAAGAAAAGAAGAAAGAAAAGAGAACAAACGTAAAAGACAATTATGATAAAGAAAACCGGCATCCAAAGTCGTCGAAAATATTCGGCTATTTACAAGAGACTGATCTTCCATATTCTTCATGAGCAATAGCGTGAGCGCGTAGCGAATGCGTTTTCAATGCTTGTATACAATCTTAATATCAATATGGTCGATCGCATGCGAATAACAGATTTTTTGTTTTTGTGCATAAAAATAGTTCATTACATAGTGATTCGTTCGCTGCTCAACCGCCGCTATACATATATATATATATTGCATTTTATTAAATTTCGTCACTCGTTAATTAATCATCTCTTAAACCGTCAAGCTATTACTCGAACAGCCAATCACCCTGGATGACTATTGATGGACATAACAAAAGAAAAGAAATAATGTAAGACTAGCTCGGTCGCGTGATGAGCAGAGAGCTGGCAGTGCTGGAGATGTTTCGGTATCCAAGTGATAACAGGGTCTGTAGCGGTTGGTAGCAGTGATCGGCGATGTTGATTAAATGGCGATGAACCACCAGTCTTGTTAACAGTATCGATAGTAGTGATACAATGAATACAATGACGAGATGCGGCGATGCTGGAGACTTGGCCTGTTTTTTTTTTCAAATTGGGAGATCATTTTTATTAAAACATCCTTCACTGTGCCTGAGACGAAGAGTATCTTTCTGGATTCCGTACGGGGATTGGCGAATAAAAATTTTTTTTAATGGAACAAGAACTTGATTTTATCCCTGATTTATCCCTCTTTATGACACCAGAGCATGTCTCTTTATTTTCTTATCTCTTTGCTAGAATAATTATGTATCTTTATATTCTCCCTTCGTTTTGGCAAATTCAACCAGGGCTTCCCATATATTGCGCGTTTCCTCAGTGACAGCTTCTCTATTTCGTTTTCAACTTTTTGCACATCTTTATTCTTAACTTCTTCTCGACTTTCGGTCTGCTCTGCGAGTCGCGAAGTTTTACTCGTATACAATAATATAAAGGAGAACAAAAATCCAAACAAAAACATGATTACGAATTATTACAGTGTGCAAAGTCCGCTCTTTCTTTTTTTTTTCTTGCCTTTTTAAATTCATCTAACTAATTCGCATATACATACATATAATATATCATATATCTTCCTCGTTCTCACTTTCGCTTTCTTGTGCTTAATATCGTTAATTTAAAAAAAAAAAAAAAGCAACAAAATGCCGTTTTAATCAGCTATCGTCCTTCTCTACATTGAAAGCGTACGCTTCCTCCTCGAACCTCCAAAACGCCCCGTGCTGTTCGTCTCTCACGCAATTCTCAATACAAACATTAATTACAGCCATTAACGCCTCGTTACTGTAACCTGTATTTTCTATGAATCACCAATATGATAAAAAAAAAAAAAAAAAAAAAAAAAAAAAAAAAAAAAAAAAAAAAAAAAAAAAAAAAAAGAATAAAGAGAAATCGATGCAAATGAAAAGAAAAAAGAAATTGGATAAATCATCATCGAGAGCATGACAGGATCGTCGAAGGAAGTCGAACGAGAGTGTGTTTATCTTGACGGTATAAACATAATAATACACCTCTTGGAAAGCGTACGCATGCTATTATTGTTATTATTATCATAATCATTATTATCAACATCATCGCTCGTATCATTTCTATCGTCCCAATTCGTTTGTAATTATTGTTTACTTCAATTTAATTAATGCGAGGAATATCGAGATGATGTGTTTAAATTTCGGATATTCACCGCCAACTTTTATCTATTATTCCCTGACGAAATGTAGAATTTACAGAAGATCTTGGAAGAGTTTTTCTTTTTTTCTTTTTTGCATTCTTTCTTCTTGCCCTAATTACTGAGCTGAACGGAAAAAGATGTAAGAGAAAAAGTCCGATTTGTACGAGTAAGCCTAACCGCATCCTAACTTAGGTTATTTAAATGCCTATAGTATGTGGTTGCAGCAGCTCCTTAAAATCTTTACTTTTTTAGATAGCATAACGTATCAATAATAATCGTAATAGTAAATAGTAGTAGTAGTAGTAGTAGTAGTAGTAGTAGTGGTGGTAGTAGTTGTAATAGTAGTAGTAATAGTATTAGCATAATAGTAAATAGTAATAATAATAGTGCTAGGTGGTAAATAGTAATCGTAATAATAGTATCAATAATAGCAGTAATAATAGTAGACTGACGCATCCCCATAAATCCTACGAGATTATCGGGAGCAAAAGATGTTCGCTCGTGAATCTGCAAAGTCTCATTTTTTACTTGCAGATTTCTTTTATTTTGTTTTTCTTCCCCCTTCAATTTCTCTCCTTCTCTCTCATACTCTTCACACCACTCTCATTCTTTCCCGTTCAATCTGTCCCTTTATCACTTGCATTCGTTCTCTTTGACTGAATCCTTTCCTCCCCCGAATAAAAAGTCGAAAGTGATGGTGACTCTGTGCAATGCGAGGCTCTTTTTAAAATTGCAATTAGTGGGGACGTTGAGATTTTATTTTTCTTCGATTTGCACTCACTCCATTTCCTACGCGCTTGTTTCCCTCGTGCGTTATTTTGTACATTCGAGCGTGAGATCTGATACCGAGCACGTCATCCTCGGGGAGGTTTACGTCAAGAGTATAGTGGAAGACACGGAAAACTTTTGAGAAGCTGCAAAATAGCTAGATATATATATATATATAGATATATCTGTCTTCTCTCTGACGATCACCGGACGGCCGCGTGATTCGCGTCTCCAAGAGAATCAAATAAACAACGGCGTCGAAACGTTAACTACTGGTGGGCGGGCATCTTAAATCGCGTAGACTAGGAATTGGGCTGAATGCATATTAACATGTACATATATAAAAAGGATTCGCGTCCGGCCGTGTTTAAAAAATGGGCCAGGCAAAAAGCTCCATTAAAAAAAATATATATAGTCACTACCATGCACCGGATTCTTGTAAAAAATAGGAGTCCCCAAAGAATTCATCGACCGCGTCTCTGTGTCCTGTTTGGCAGCGTTATTAAGTTTTCTTGTGGTTACATTCCTTCTTCATTCTTTATCTTTCGCTTGTACACATTTCTCTCTCCCTCTCTTACTATTTTTTCTTGCTCTCCTCATCCTAAGTTAAAGGTGAACTATATCCTGGTCGAAAGGCGCAAAGCGCCTTAGCTCGCTTAGATTATACAATGTCACACTAGTATTTTCTTTTTCGTTTAATTTTCTCGCTCCCGTCCGGTTACCCAAGAAACTCACTCTCACTTACCCAAAGACCCAGAGGAGGGATCACTTTTGGCTGGTTGATGCATTTTCGGGCTTCGTGGATCCGCAACTTTTGTTGCCCTGATCGCTTTTCACATTTGCCCTGGACGACTGGCCCTTTGTAACTTCCTGGGGTCTCATGAACGAGCCGGAATTGTGTCTACTTCGTGGCTGTTGCTGCTGCTTACTCAGGTCGCGCTGGCTGCTCCAGGATGACGTGTCATTCCTTCGCCAGCTGCTGCCTAACCTCCCCGAGCCAAAGGAGTCGGCGCGGTTACGATATTGGGATAGATTCACGGAATCTGAACGCTGATGCTTGTGGAGGGTGCTTGTGTTTCCAGTATTACTGGTTGGCAGTGTCACTGTGCTAGAGCCGCCGGACAGACGGCGAATTCGACTCGTTGGCGACGCCTCGACTCCCCCCGCACTCTCGGAGACGCTTCGGTTACGCCGCTTCATCGCCTGCGATCGAAGGTTACCGCCGAATCCTTGTAGCATCTCGTTTATCTGAGGCTGGGAAAAGACACGCATTTCTTTGAGTATACCTAATCTATAGAAGACTTTCAAATTTTCAAAATTTAGACCACTTTTAAATTTTCTTGTACCTCGACTACTCTGAAGTCTTCGATACTTTTGAACTTGGATAGGTAGTCATTTAGTTTGGCATCCACGTGAAGTTTGTCAGCGTGTTTGTAATATTTTAGAAACGCCCAGAACTTCTCGAGTCCGTAGAGCTGACCTGTAATGAGAATCAAGTTTTAAAATTATGATTTAACAAAAAAGCACCCTTTTTATAATTCCTTTTGCGCATGTTGCATCGTTATTCTCAATTGCCTTTATATTGTCGCATGTTGTGCATCACAGGCATTTTAGAAGAGATAAAGAAAAGCTATTCACCGTTCTCATAATCGCAAACAGTCTCGGTCTGGAAGTCTTTGTATAGCTGAGGCCTAAATTTTCTTTCGAGGCCGTAACTGTAGAATCTGAAGAGACACTCCAATCCATAACGATATCCTTCACCAGCATCTTCCTTGGCAATAACCCTGAACTCCTCGTACATTGTACGATTGAAGTTTTCTCTAAGGAAGAACGACCAGAAGCGGAAGAGAGTGTTCATCTCTTGAGATTGACCAACACCCAATCTCTTGCGTTCTGAAAGATCAATTTATTTTTTCAATTAGAAGCACATCAAAATGATAACGACGCTACTTCGAAAGAGCAAAAGGCATGCGTCAGAAACAAGTTTCTCAGCAGTACTTCTCCTCAGTCGGGAAAAGAAGACAAAGTAAAATGTATTCATCATGTTTAACGAAAGAAAAGTAAGTTTGAGGAATGCAGAAACAAGAAATGAATCCTTGCCTTTTAGACAGCGCGAGTGATACTTGTGATACACTTGCTGCGTGAAGCCATTCTCCTTCAGCAGAGCGTGACTCGGATGCTGGAAGGTCGGTAAAGATTGTGGAGCACTTCCGTAGCTGCTTGCCAAGTAGCCCTCGTTTGGGCTAGTGCCTGTACTACTTCTAAAAGATGAAGTAACGTTTTGCTATGGGTACATGTCAAAATTTCAATAGCCTTTTCACGTTAATTAAGGTTTCTTACCCAGTTGAGTAGGTTCGCGGGCGATGCTCTCTGACATCCATAATCCATCCGACGTGATGCTCCACCGGGGGATTGCTACTGTGACGAGTTTTACGCTTCCTGGGTGTTCTGGGATCAACAGCAGGTTCATCCTTTACGACGGCAAAGAAGCGAGGGACTGCACCACGTCTGCCGCATCTGGCACCGCGGGTTCTGTCGTTGAAACGCGCCCTGTCCCCTCCTCTACGATCCCTTCTGTCGTGACCCTCCGAGGAACTTGGCATGTGAGTAGGAAGTGAATGCGACAGATCCATATCCTCTGCTGTAGAGGGTGGTGGTGGAGGAACTTCCGGATTTGCCTTACGCGGTGCTTTAGGTGCCATTTTCTCGAAGACTTCCTGACTGATTACGTTAACCGTCTTGTAACTGCCCACCGAGGATACCGAACCGTACTGCGGAAACGAATGACGGAGTCTTAAAAGATATTCTAAAAGAAGTTGGATCGTGTTTGGACGGAATCTTACCCGTTGTCCATCCTCGGTCCAGAGATCTTCCTCATAGTAAAACAATCCATCGTTAATAGCTTGTTCGAGATCCTGAGTCATTTTGACTCTGGTGGTCCAGTCGCCCGTACGGTCGTGACCCTCGTGCTTTGGAATCCTTGAAGGTATGGCAGCTGTGGTTTGTGTGACGATGAGCAGCTTGTTAATATCCCTGTCGGAGAGCTCATAGTCCTCGTCGTCCTCGGACCTGAAAACATCATACGCAGCCACCGTAATCCAGGATGCACTGACTGTGATCCGCTGGGAAATACCTTGGGTAGCGTCAGACCAAAATCGATCAGCACAAATTCCTCAGTCGGGAAAAGAAGACGTTAATGAGTAATCATCACGTCGAAATTTGCGAAATGAAATCGCAGTAAAGGGAAGATTAAAGGCGACAGAAAACACGAACCATTCGGAGAAGGCGTTGTGACGTCCTGTGGGAGGTGGCGTGTCCAGTTCCTCGTCGAACTGAAAGTCCAGCTCTTCACGTTCCTCACCCTTCCTATAAATATTCTTCTTCCCTTCGGGTTTACCCTTAGGAGGGTGCTTCACTCTTCTTTTAACCTTGAATATATTAAAATGCATAATCATTAAGTATGTGCACCAGAAACTTTTGAATTGTATCAATTGACACGATCCCTACTTCTCTCCACGCATTGTCCGCTGGAACCTGTGTCTCCCCATTGACCTGTACCTCGGGTGACGGTGCAGGACTCTCGCTCTTGGCCGACGTAGATGATATTTTACTCGCCTGCGAGGTCGGACTCTTTGGCTTTTCCGTTACGTCTTCATCCTTAGGTCGATCATTCTCTTTGTCATTAACAGTGGAGTCATTGGGCTTGGCGGCCGCCACGACCGGCACAAACTCTGGCACATCGGGGTTTAGGCTCTCACCTATTGACGAGGAGATGCTTTCCGACTCGCTCAGTCGCCCCGTTGCCGAGGTGCTGTTGCTCGTTTGGATCACACGGGGTACAGGAGGCACAGGAATTGCGGTAAGAGGTTTCGACATGGGACTAAACTCTGGCTGTGGTGTTGGGAGTATTATTTCATTATGGGACGGACCTGGCATTTCGCACAAGTAAGGATAGACTGGATTTCCCGCAGCATCCAGTATCGGCCATTTCAATGGATCTATCTTTGTCCTAACCTGAACAATGTAACAAGAACAAAAATATGTTGTTTACGATCGCATTTATTAAACATTAATTACGTAAGCATAATTGTTATATTGTAGAGAGGCCTACTATCAAACTCCACTTATTGGACTTTATCAAGTCCTAATGGTGTTAGCGAATCCTCACATTTGCTCTAGCACAATTCCATCAGACAGTCCGCAACAGTACGGACTCTGAACTCAATAATTGTGCCATCATTAATTTCATAGTCTGCAAACCTACCTTAAATCCGTCTACTAATTCCAATTTATCGGATTCTCGGATGGATTCCACGACCAGACCCACGTCCGTCGTTAAAGCCTGTACTCGATGAAACGAGGCGATCAGTGTGATCGGTAGGAAACCCTGAGCGTCCATTTTACGTCGCAGGAAAAAGTCCCTCAGTAGATTTTCCTCGCTAAAGTAGTACTCTCTGAAAAGAAAAGAAACATCTTTTTAATTAACGACAGACGCGAACTCCTGGAAAAAATACCCAAGTACTGTGTGTGACACCTACATCTGTTTCCTTATGTACTCCTTGAGGGTCGTTGTGTCGAGATTAACGTAACTGGTATTGTTGAAATAGAAAGTCCCCATGTATGGCATCATGAACGAGGGGTCCGTACTGCCAAATTTATTAATCTTGAAAACAGAAATCGTGGAATATAGTCCCTTGAGGTAATGACAATTGATCATTGATATCTCGTCGTCGCACACGTCAGTTCTACTATCCATTGAAACTCCATGATTTAGTCAGTAAAGTATATCCCATAGGACTTCATCATAGCTAACCTCACGAGAGCGTGATAGACAGTAAATAAGAAGATTTGCTAAGCACCTGGGAAAAGTCTGCAGGATAATCGGAATACTCGGGATCGTGTCTTGGCCTGAATCCTCTGGATGCCCCACGCGAACCTCGACCACCTCGACCTCTGTATCGGCTTCCTCCCCGACCACCCCTGAAGCTGTAACTGCTGGATCTGTCGTGATCCCTATCTCTCCAATTCTCATCTGCTAAAGGAAAACAGTGATGAAGAGATATAGAGAACTTTTAAAAATATAGCTATTACTCGGTATCAATTCCCAAGGCTGGAGATAACAGAAGGTTCCTTACTTTCGCCATTTTTATCTCTTTGACTGTGATACTTTGGCGATCTTTCTCTCTTTCCTCTGTTCTTGGCCAGGTCGATCTCCAGCGGCACCCACTTCTGCTTGTTCGCCTTCTTCTTCTTCTCGCTCCCATCCGTATGTTCGTCGCTGTCATCCTGACAGTGATTCTGCTCCTTGTTCTCCTTGCCTTTACTATTCTCAAGCACGTTCGTGTTGTTGCTCTCCTTGGGGACGCTCTGCTCCAGGGTGCCGTTCTGCTTAGGCGTCGCCACCGCAGCTTTCTTCTAAACCGAAACGGTTTTAACTGTACCACAGTCATTCGACCTGGTATAATCCAAGATTTACATAACTACTGTGACTACAGCGTGGCGCTGTGCGGAACGTCCTTAAGCACAAGAACTACAGAGTTTAGCATCTGGTACTAAAAATTTATAGAACGTTCCTTGATGTTTAATGTGGCAAAAGTACTACACCCACAGAACACTGGCATACGCAATTCTATAGGCTCTAGCTTTTGCCATTCGTCTAACCAAATCTTCTTTAGAATCAAGTATAGCTCCTGTGGCTCATCGCCCGAGAAGAAGGTCGACCGGTGTGGTATCGAAAGCTGTGAAAAGATACCCACCTCTCCTTGAGCACCAAGCGACGGCCAGTCTCCTATATCCGTGAAGTCGCTCGCCTGGAAAATGGAAACGGGATCGAATGAATTTTCAATGCACTAAAGAAACCGCAGTAATAAATAAAAAGGTGTGCAATACGTGTATACAGTGAATGCATTCGATTTCGTCCGGATAAGGCAGGAGTCGTGGGGGGATAATATGAGTGCACGGAAAGTGTATACAATGATTATCGAATGTTTCAATATTTGAATTATTACATAATTCATTTGTTCATTCGACTGTGGCACAAATATCAAGCTCTACTCTGAGGTCTGATATTTTTGGACACCTGTGTCCTGATCTTCGACCACTAATAAGAATAGAAAAAAGGGACTGTACGAACCCTCTGATTAAATTTTCTTCTGTCCTTGGGCGCCTTGACGATCGTTGGCTGGACCCCAGTGGAAGCACCATTTTCTGAAAAAAAAAAGAAAAATAAATTGAACACATATAAAAAGCGTGTCTCAAATCGATTCTTGAAGGAAGCAATTGTCCACAAAAATATCGTAAGACTTCCGACTGTCGCCTTTGCATAAGACGAAGTTTATCGTCTTGTGGTCAAATCAAATAAAAAAGACGACAACCGCACCATTCCTCAATGAGATAAGAAATATCCTTTTTCTCCTGCTTTCTTTAGATTCACAGCGAGGGAAAACTTACATAGAGTACAAAGTGTAACAGGCAAATCGCACGTGGATCGAAGTCGTTTGTTCCCATATCTAGCGAGTGTCAGGCAGCGTGCCACGTATACCCAACCAATCTCCAAGAATAATGCGCAATTAATCGAAAGCCAATAGAGGGAGACTCGTCTTATGTCAGAATATCGAGCGACCTCAGGACATCATCGTCCTGCCCAAGAGCTACTAATATCCTGTGGACCAGACGATACCCGTAACTCAATAATCCGAAAAATGATACAATCGACAATAGTCTGTAGCACACGTCCGACTAAGGAATCTTATCAGCAAAGATCCTGACAATCATTACGCAATAAAAAATATAAAGCACAACGCGCTCGTGTCTTTAATCGTAACCGTAGAGGCTCGGGTCGATTTTCATGGAGCAACGCGTAGTCTTATTTTCTGGTCTTTCGAGCTGCGTCCTTGGACGTCATCGACGGGGACCTAAAAAGTAAGGCGAGTCTCTTCGTTGCCTAAAGGACATTGTGGAAGCTGCATGTACTTCTGTCTGGTTGGAGCGAATGGCGCAAGATCGGTGTTGCTTTAAATTTTGTTTTCTTTTTCGAGCGCTTGCCAAAGGTGGCTCGATCCCTATCGATCCGTATGGTGAAAGTGTACGACGCCGGGAGGGACAAACTTTCCGATTAATGTCGATCGAGCCATTCAAATTAGCAAGTGGATCAGGATTGGAGTTTAGGTAACTCTGATTGTCTCTCTGTGATTCCGTGCGACAGTGAAAGCACCAGGAGTCGGCCCGGCTACTGTAATATAAAGGAATATCCGCCCATTGATCGCTCGAATAGAAATTATCAGTGTCCAGTCTTTATGCACGTGTGTCGCCTCGGCCCTCCATACATATGTATACGTGTGCGATGCGTCTCGCATGTCCGAACTCATGGATTAGCACGTTTTTGATGCACAGACATTTTTTTTCACGGTGCGTCCCGACAATTCGATTTGTGCCAATGTCACCATTTCCGGTTGCAGTCTATCAGTACATTATTAGCGATGACACGTGCCACGCAAGAGCTGCGATAAAAAGAGTTAAAATAAACAAGCGTGGCTGGGAATTTCATAATTTATAAAAAATATATATTTTTTTTACCTTAACTAGATTTTATTCCATCTCTACGAATTAGTAGCCAACTGTATACTGTGCATTCGGATTAGTTAATTATTATTGTTACTACTGTTGTTAATAATATCGTTTGTAATAACCTATTGGAACAATACTAAATATTAATATTCTTATAGCATAGAAATTACACGGTTTTAAAACACGATAAGAAAATGAGTTGCGTCTTAAGCACGCGTTGGTAACAGAGGCAACAGCTCTACGTGCTTTAATGTTAACGAGTGAATTAGTGCAAACTTTCATTGGTCTTCGGCGAATGCACCTTTGAGGTGAGATTTCTATAGGTATGTGCATCGGGTGCTCCGTGCGTCGAAGGTTGTGAAGGAAGCTTAACAAATTTCAGGGCACATTGACAATTCCAATAAAGGCCTCTGCGTTTTCTTGCACTTGTCAAGTCAATAGTGCACACGTACACGCAGACTGCATAGCTCGAGGTGGTCACGGCTGTTGCATAATCGATTTCCCAGCGAATAGGAATTCGAACGGACTTATTGGAAATGTCTCTGCGCGCGGATTAAAATAACTTTGGATCTGCGTTTGCACGCGCGTCCACACGTACGTTCTGCCATTGAGTGTGTGCGAAAGTCGTGGGTGCTGATAAAATTGTAAATTTCCAAGTGCTAAGGCGACTGCGGAAATTCGTGGTATGTACGTCAGGAAGGCGACAAGCTTATTGTGTACGTGGCATAAGGCCACTTGGCCAAACAGCACGATAAACTACGATAGGGTGTATCGCGTGGCAGGAGAGATTGGTGGGTATCGACATATTGAAGTTTTGCAAATTGCTCGATTATCCATGGAGTGCACTATCGTTAACGCTACGGATATACGACTTGAGAAAAAAGATAGATAATCGAAGATGCAAGAAAATATGGTAATTTCGGTATCGCTTGGACGAATTTCATTATTTTGATTGGCAAAAATTTACGATGAAAGGACGTGGCGTGTGGAGGATTTTTTTTATACGATATTACGTTACCATGATATAAAAATGTTTTTATCAAACGACGGGCTTTGATTTTAATTAGACAATTTCAAGATTGTTATCAATTTTGAGAACTCACGCTGCAAGCTCTCTGCGTCGTTCTCATTGATTTTCATTATGGCGCACTTCCAACTTTCATTATGCACGATACCAGCCACTTTGCTACGCACTGTCACTTCACTAAAGTATCTGTGAAACAGTCTTTGATTAAAACAAAACAAAAAAAAAAAGAAGAAAAAAGAATTAATTAAGGCTTTAAATCTGAAGAGGAATGGTTCAGCGCCTATATATATGCATATATAAATATATGTGTGTATGTATAACCTATATTCATCAAAGGAAACTTTGCATTAATATAAAAAAAAATTTTGGTTTCAATGACAAAGCGTCGTACGTGATCGCGCCACGACTTCCGCCACTCTACTGAAGCAAATTGCGCTGCTGGTAACGTAAAGGCGGTTCGCAAAGACTACGACGTCTCCCACAGCTGCTACCTGCCTGGACGTCTCGACGCCTAACGAGTTTTCCGCCGGGAAGATTTGAAAAGTGGTAGGTTACCCTAGTGTAGCCAAAATATACTCCAGGCTCCACGTACCCTCTTCGAATAGCACCCTTGAACGTTGGATGGCACCCCTAATGGTTTGGGATTTTTCTACCTGGTTCACTATAAAGACGCACACAGCTGTTGGGCAAGAGGTGCATCCTACATGCAGTAAGCGCCGCAGGAAGATCCTTGCATAAAGGATACCAAAAAGGAAAGTTCATGACAAGCATTGAAATTTGCAAAATTTGCCAATTTTTCGTGGAACACTTTCCTTAGAAAATTTTCGTCGCTGGGTGACCGGAACTAAGAGTACGCACCTGAGGTGGCTATTACAGATAACTAAGGAAACACAACATGCCGGTAAAAAAAAAATTCCTACAACTGCCTTTAATTGTTACTGATCTCGTTTGTTCGAGATATTGCTGATTTTAGGTAAAGACGAATAAAGTCCATAACTCCGTTGAATTGACGAAATTGACGTTTTACGCAACGACAATGCCAATAATGATCGCTGCCGTTTAGTTCACCGGGTATATTTTTTTGTGTTTCTCTTTTTTTTTCTACGTCCTGTTTTACACTTTCTTGAAAATAAAGTCGTGGCGGTTGGCAAGTGCTGATAATACGTATTCGATTACAAGAATCAATCTATCGGGCATACCAGAAAAACTACGTCAGTAGTTTGGTAAACCAAGTGATTCGACTGTGGTATAATTTTACTGTACTAATATACAGATATAGTTATTAATGCTTTGAAAAAGGCATTATAGGTTTCACGATAAGAGACAGCACAGCTATGTACTGCAGTTAAGTAAGAAATACAATTTTCTATCGCAATTCGGCAATACGGCAGAACTCATCCAGTTGGAATAATGCTCGACCAACTTAAATATTCTTTGAACACTTGAACAATCCTCTGAGAGACAAACAACCTGTAGGGAAGACATGACGTTAATGGGAGATATTGACGAATATTAAAAGTTATTACGTGACGAATAAGGAAATTACAAAATGTCAATCTTTACTCTTGTATATTAGGTTTCTGAGTCACATATGATTGCCGTGTTACGTATTGTTGCGTATAGTCTTATACATTATAGTACAAGTATTACGCACTATCCATGCCTCTTTACAAATGTAGGTGTAAGTGTCGATATAGGTTAGGTTAGGTTAGATTCAGTGTACATTACAGGCCTATATATACTTTTTACGTAAAATACATCTGCTACTAGCTACTCAGTCAAAATATAGTATAGAGCGCGTAAAGGTACTATAATGTAAATTTGTATGTATAAGCTGCATGTCCTTGAAAAAGAAATCTTTTTTTTTTTAAGCAGCTGAACACTGCTTTTCCATGGAGGATTCACGGAGCTTTATAATTTTGTCGAAAATGCCATGAACTCACTTGGTTAACCATCGCTCGAAAAGTTCTATGGAATAGTATTCCGGTTCCTTGAGAATTGAAAGGATCGACCAAGGGTCCTTCCTTCCTCCTTTCTTGGTCAATAAGACAAACATTTCCAAAGGCAGAGGCTATTCTTCCGGCGGGATTTGACATGGGTACCTCTTTAGATAGCTTTACTAAAATTCGGCAGTTTCCAACGTTACTCTGCAAGACATCTGGGCCCGATCCAAAGGATTTGTTGTGGACATGACCTAAAGATGGCTCCTTCGGTAGCCACGAGATGCGTGTCTCTTCTAAAAGCAAGTAATGATTCAGCGACAACGCGTGTGATGAAACGTGACCCAGAGTGGAAAAGAAGCGTGTCCTTATGTTTTACTGTGACCTTTTGCAGCAACCCTTTAAAAGATGCAAGGAAGTAACAGCAGGTGAAATATGGAGAAGAAGAGAAACGCAGGTACCGATCGAGAGCCATTAAAAGTAGAGGTACCGCGGATGCCATTCTTTTATCAGGTAATTGCAGCCTTCGTGGTAAAAAAAGCTGCCCTAAGTAATTTTCTGCAAAGACGTAGCGAAAAGTGACGTTTGGCTGAATTAAAGAAATATGAAATAGTTCCCAGGACGTTTAAATTTGTTTTTCTCGTTAAAATTTGATCTGTTTCTTTCTCCCTTTCTTCTTCTCTCGTATTTGCAGTGGCTGGCATAAATTGCCGCGGTATGTGTCTATAAACAGAGCGTACGTGCGGGAGATCGGGCAGCGACGTTCATTACGAAACGCGAGTATCAAAATAGACGTCGTCGGCCGTCGCGTAAACACTAGGGTGGGTCAGAGAGAGAGTGTGTGTGTGTGTGAGAGAGAGAGAGAGAGAGAGAGAGAGAGAGAGAGAGAGAGAGAAATAGAGGGACAAGGAAGAGAGAAGAGGAGAAGAAGCAAAAAAATAAGGGAAAATAACTGTTACCGATCGGCCAACTGACGCAGGAAAAGTCCAGGGCTGGTGAAACGCAAAATATATCAATTCAACGTCGAAAACAGAAACATTCGACACGTCGCTCATGTGCAATTATTATTATTATTATTAGTTATCTCTCGTTATCTAATCGGTGCGATAATCACAGCGCATAATTAGTCCAACTTCGACAGCTAGACAAAATTTTCAAAGTTGAATGGACTTGGCACCACGCCCGAGGTTAACATTTTACTTTAATAATCCTTTTATCATTTGTCACCGTCTGCCAGTTGATTTTTTTAAAGGGCGCCTTTTCACGAGTACCAAGCAACGGAATTGAACGCGCTACTTGGCCGATTTGACCGAGCGTGGCTGTTACGTGAGCGAAATCAACCAGTCAGCGGGATTCTCTTACTACTGCTAGTTGTTTGTTGCTCGTGAAAAGGCGCTCTTAATCCGTACTAATTGTTGCACTGGGAAATCAGCTGCGGCGGGCTTTTTGAATTCTTGAAAGAAGCACGCGCCAGAAGCACGTGCTCCGCGCCACGTGGTCCCCACCTTGATTTTCATATTTGTGTTGTTAGTGTATGCGCGAGAACACATACAAGAATACGAAATTGAAATTCAATCCTAAGCGTCATGTTCTTAAAAAATGACACGTCAATTCCTATAATACCCCAATACTGTTCCTGAAAAACTTGTCTTTATCTCATTTTCACTCCCTTGTCGCAAAGATTTCACAAATGTCTGCCAGATAGTAACAGGCTGCACGTCAGTTGAAAATAATTACTGCCATGATTGTTATTCACCAGTGTAACTGTAGGTACAAGTTTTTCACGCGTGTTAAAAGCGGCGTCAGGCACTGCTGAACGCGAAGTTTATCACAATTAAAAAGTTCCATCATACGGAAACATTATACAATTAAAAACAAACGTTGCAATTGCGTCAGAAGTAGCACGATGGCTGGTAAATTCTATGAGACTCGAAAAATAATTGACTGATATCTTTCTACCTTTGTACAGTAAAGAAATATTGATTTTTAATAGCCTGGCACCATCGCACCATCAAATAAATATCAATACTCTATTCACCATAGTAACTCAATAAATATGACAAAGTATCAAGTATTTTAATATTTTTTTGTTAATTAAACGACTATAAGATTTATAAAAACTGAAAACACTCTGAATCGCTAACGAATACTAAGCTAGCATTAAACATAAGTGTTGGAGAATGATAGTCACCATTAAACCAGTTTTTAGAGAACAAGAGTTCAGAACTTGTCACATTTAAAGGCCATACCATACGATAAGATACGAATACGTTTCAGTAGATTTATCCATATGGAGTATAAATGTGTAAACTGGAGATATATCTTGGAGATAATTAGATAGGTTAGAAAGAGCATGTATCTTAGGACATATGTTATGTATGCGTAGATGGGTTATGCATATTTAATGATAGCAGGTGATAGTTTCGTAAATGGGATTATGACTTGAAATTAAATAACCGCGGTATATCGACCCTTGAAAATTGATTCGACATACACAATATTTATAATTGTTAAGTCTTGACGACGCGTTCCTATTGTTTATTTTAAATTGGGAAATGATAACCGAATGGACAATGATTTATGTAACGGAAGTATAATGGTTCCTTGCGTGACACTTCTCTTATATATTCTTTCGTTATGATCGTCGTTAAGAGGATCGACTCTGATTATGATGTATGAGGTATTACGTTGTTAGGATAGTCACACGCAATAGAAATTTACTGTGAAAATCCTTGAAGTACAATAATCTGTGATTTATTTAATGCAATATCATTTTCAGGAATGTAAATGCTGTGTAAAATAATTTTACCATATCATTTTTTCAGAAATTCGGGATTTTGAAAAGCGTTGTGGATATAACTATTTCACAGAAATATTAGGATAGAATAAAAAGAATAGAGTAAATTCTAACGAAGAGTGAAAATTAACAATCTTTGCAAAATTGTTAATTTCTTAAACGTTAGGCCTGCTTGGGTCCACGTTAAGTGAATAAGAAATTGTTTAATGTATTGATACAAGTATAACATTGCTTCATGAATTCAGAAAAGTTAGAGAACTGATACAGAATAATCAAAGCATTAAAATTTAAGCACATTGTAAATTTTTGGAGATAATTAGCAACAAAAGAAGAAATATGTAGAACACAGTGATACTTGAACCACTGACCCTGGTGTGTGAAAATAAAATGAAACGCTGTTTATCTTCAGTGTTGCATCACGTGTGCCAACGAAGTTGAATATGAACAGACATGTATGAGAAACTAATGTGAGTGAGATAATCATCAGGTATCTCTATAGCCTGAATATCTCAAGTATTTGGTATTCCTGAGAGATTTGGTGTTTTATTTGCTAATATTAATAAGGCAGTCAATGTTCAACTCTACTAATAAGAAATTATCACATGATGCACCTAAAGTAGCTAGGGTCTAGAATATTTAAAAAACAATATGCTTGTATACCAATTGTCAATGTAGGAATAATAATATCTATTGAAGCTGAGAAATAATTATTATTTGAAGCTTACCAGCTTTCCCTCTTTGTTGCTGTGGCTGTAATACCCTCTTCTCTCGTTCAGCCTGTTTGTCTATCGAGGAATTGGCAATTGCAGGAGGCTGCGCAGGTGGCTGTGGTTGTGGGGCTATGGATATTAAAGGAACTACCGGAGCTTTACTTTTTGTCCATGGATTAACAGCTGGCAAGGGTGCCTCTACATATTTTACAGGCTGTGCTTCTGTTTCTGGATCTAATCCAGTATCCTCTTTATCTCTAGACCCCTCTTTTGCAAGGACATGATCCGAGGAATTTTTCTCACTACGCTCCTTGTCTTTGTGTGATCTTTCATTACTACCTCCACTGTGATTTCGTGGCTGCTGATGTCTCTCACGATGGCGATGACGATCACGATGATCACGGTGTTCACGTTGTTTCTCCTTCCTACGTGCACTCTTTGGTGCAACTGTCTGAAACTCTCCATCGCTACCCAGATCACCATTGTTCAACACCTCCGTACCACCACGTGCTACCTCATTTTGTTGCTTTAAATTTTCACTAGGCATCGTTACGACCCCCACATTCTTATTAACTGCCTCCGAAGAAGGTTGTGGACATCGTTCTGATTTTGACTGTGGCTGGATATTAAATCTTCTTCCATTCTTTTGATAGGATTTGCCTTTAGGGCTGTGTGTGGAAACAAGACGGTCCTTTCCAGTAGTAGGAGCCACCTCGCCAATATTTTCCTTATTATTATCCTTAATGTCCTTGGTACCCTCAGCAGCTTTAGGGTTAAGGATACTCGCATAAGAAACCCCAGGGCCCTCCTCACGCTCGGCACTTCCCTGAGAGCCGGGAGCCACCTTGGTCGCCATCTTGGGCCACTCGTGGATTACAAAAACACGAGGTCCGAGGTAATTCACAAAGATGGAAGTTTACGCGAGCATCAAAATCAAAGACTCGCCACTACTTCGCCGAAGCTTATTCATTAAAAACTCCCAAACAGTTGACACGAATAAAGCGTACTTTTCTCTAAGCTTTCAAAAGGCCCAGAAAGTGTCCATGTTGCGAGCCGAGCGCATGGCCCCCGACTTAGCGCGAACACGCCGTATCTTCACAGAGGGTAAGGAATTACCACTCACGAGTCTTCACGACTGCTGCTCGACAGGTTATGCGACCTTTGTCTCACAAGGTGAACCTTCCTCAAGTAATAGCCGCTTGACCAGCTGCGATACAAGGCCGAGGAATCGAAGCGATTTCTTTCCCAAAACCACGCCGAGCACGTTGCGCTTCCTAATGCTTTTACCTCCCGGTGACGGATAAAAACGTGCCGTACTCGTTATTTAAATAAATGAAAGAAAACGTACCACGAGCGCTTCGCAATTCCTTGCGATCTCCGGCCTGCGGAACGACCAGGATAAATTAGCAGACGTGGAAACAAGTTCTATTTCCGGAGACACGCGGTTTGTATAGTAGCGGCGGTACACGAGCACGCTGACTCGACGAATTCACGTCTTTAATCTCTTAAAGCAATCGGATGCTTGCAAATATGCCGGTAAATGTATTCCCTGAAACTACGCCGAATTGTTTTAACTCACACGGTACGCAATATCACTTGTAACTAAACCTCAACGCAATTTACTACGATACTTAGTTTTGCTCGGCACACCGTGTGGAAGTTCCGTACTGGTCTCTAGCGGAGCTAGCAGACAGCAACCTCTTTGCTAGGCACGATGAATTTCAGGCACGTTACTTTCTTTCTTGGCGACACGTCACTTGCTGCAGGGCTCGTCCATGGGTTCTCCAGTCGGCGAACTTTAGCATTCCCGTGGGCGAATAGCGTACCCCCGGGTTACGTAAACGCGGAACATTTTCGAGGATCTTTTTTCACGGAAAAGTGGCCCACAAACACATGTGGCCAACGCTGCTTCTTAGCCTTTACGCGAGCGGGCCGAACGGTTTCCGGTACGACGACGCCATCTATTCTTTTCACTTCTGCATTCCAGGATGGCGACACAATACTTCCTGTGCCGATAGCGGAATATTCGAAGTTTGTTCCGTAGCGTACGTATCTTGATAGTCATTTGAATGCCGAGGAATTGTTAAAAATAAAGTAGGGTTTTTATAAGATGTATTTCGATCGAAAAATTAGTCATTTCAATTCTCAAGAAATCATTTTTTCAAGTCCCCCTTGGTATAGCGGGTACTTGGATCAGATCAGTCGGCCATATTGTTAACATTGAAATTAACCGAGTCTGTTATAAAACACAATATTTATTGCGTGATCAGCATACAACAATTCTTTTGTATATATATATAAAACGACAATCTCTCATTATAACAAATACATTTTTGGCTAGAATAGTGTAAAACTTGGTGTAAATATGGCGAACAATTGTGAATAAATATCAATTGATTGTATAGGGCGATCAAATTCACAGTGATAGCACTAACGGTGCACTTATTCAAATATAAAGTTTTGATTCGTCAAAGTACAATCGTCATTGTTATGTGTAATATATTCTCGATTCGGATCACCGAAAAACGATAAATCCAATTCAAATATGAATTGCACAATGTGGCAGTACTTCGACGCTTGTCGACAGGAACAGAATGTTCTTGAGCGAACATTATACCTTCCTAATATATACAGGACAAAATAAACCTGTCTACATAAATCAATATTGTTTTGTCTAATAGTTCTATTTACAAGTGTAACAATCACTCAATAGCTACAATAATGGGGGTTTCGTCAACTGTTGTCGATAGGATACTTTTTCATAGTCCGTTCGAACGCCTCTATGATGGTCGATCTAAAAAAAAATTAAAAATGTTACTTTACGCATTAGGTATTTATTTTTGGATAGCATTTAATATCAGGAAATTTAAAATATTAATGCAGGTGTAAGAAAAGATTGATGTAAATGTTTCAGAGCACCTGAAGAGTTTCTGATGAAGTAAATAAGCCGTTACGTGTCCGGCATCTATAAAGCGAATCTCAGCACCAGGCCAAATGTCCTGGAGACTCATACATCCCTCACGTGGTACGTAAGCGTCATCTCTGGCACATACGGCTATGATTAGTTCTGTATCGACAGGAACTTCGAAATTACTTAGATGAGTACATTCGTCCATCATTCCTCTCATAAATTGCAGAGCCTCCCGTTCTCGCCATTTATTGCCTGAAAACAGTGGGTGTTTCGACACGGGCAACAGGCATACGCCTGTTACCAGGACATATCATAAAGCCAAGCCAAACAAAACAAAATTATGTATTAGTATAGACTTAAACAAATGCTTGGTAAACAGATATTCTTTAAAACTTTTGCATGGGATTAGAAAAAGCCTTAATCGATGTTGGGAAATCAATGATTGAGACACACAGTAAGCTTGCATGTGTAGCTGGATTTAGCATACCTTCGAAGTTTCATGTTGAATGACTAGATGACTATCATATGGGGGATAGTTAGGATTAATGGACTTCTGAATTGGGAGAATTGCAAGGTGACGTGCAAGATTTATAGGCTTACCCTTGAGAACATTCGATTCTCCAACTTTAAATTTATTTGATATGAGGTTTAAGGGGAAGAGTTTGGCTGCTGCCGTTTCTTCGGCAATTCGAAGATTGGTAGCATTTTTTATAGAGTTTGAGTCCATTGTATTATTGTCTTTATTATTTTCATTGGAATTACTTTGATTATTGTTGGTCGTACGGTCTGCATTATTGTTTTGGCTATTAGAATCGCCTTTTGCATCCCCGTCAAGCACCTTTACTTCCCTCTTTAACTGGTTCACTCTGAACATGCTTTCTGGATAGTGTTTAGCAAAGTGCTGACCTGCCAGGAAGGCATCCTATAATCACAATTTGGGCATTTAAATATAGAAAAGCAATCCTCATACTAACTTACAGATTAGATTATTACTGGTGAGAATTATTCTATTCAATATGTAAGTGTGAATTGACGTAATAACAGGTATAGTCATTGAGTCATGTGTTGTTTACAGTATGCAGTATATGCTTTTGCCAATTCTTAAAATACACAAGTGTTTACGACATGTATTACTGTAGTAAATATTATGAAATATCGGAAGTTTTGAACTTACGTCTTGATCGATGATCTTTACCATCTTGGCCAGATCGTTTTGGTACTCTTTGTTTGAAAAATATTGGGACTCTAACAGTTCCCAGTTTATCGAGGCACTCATAACTCCTTGAGTGAATACGGGTGAAGCTGTAGACCATGACAGACATGGAACTAATGGAATGGGTTTAGGCCAATTAGTTGCAGCGAGAGAAGCCATCTGTAAAATTAATATTTTTCATAATTGTTATTTTATTATTATGTTTGTTTTTCAATTGTTTCTTTGTATTTTTATATATTTTAATACTCACATGCCCTCCCATAGATAATCCGGTTAAACCCAGTGGTCCAAATCCCTGCTGTTCACACCAGTTGAGTAAAACGATGGACTCCATTATCAGACATCCACCCATAATGAAGATGTCTGATACGTTGTGTAAGCTGGATCGTCTGGTGAGTGATATTACTTTCATTTAAAATGCTGTACACAATAACTTGTAATACTAATGCAGTCTAGTACAAACCTCATGAAGAACGTTTTCTTACATTTGATCTTTGGGCTTTCTTAGTCCATAAAATGGATTCTCCAGTAAAATTGAACCGATACCTGATTCTTTTAGCAGTGGTTTTGCAATAAGATTTCTTCGCCGCCAAAAGAACTATAAAACACATTTAAAAAGTATATTTTACATTTGTCATTTGGCACAAGGCGATATCATTTGCAAGATAAACTTACATGATCCCCAGTACCTGCAAGATGTAGGCACATGGGTTTAGTTTTATGTGAAGTCCATTTACTTGGTAATATCACTTGAAAATAGGCATTTCTTGTTTCTTCTGGCATTAAATTGGGTACATGATGTTCAAAAGGAGATAAAAAAAAACCTTCCAAAATATGACAATCTGACCATTCTTCATCCTGAAAGTAATGACATTTACTTTTACTGTTTATAGAAGTAGTTGTTGTTGCATAATCAATCAATCGAGTATTCCACCTTGGTGATAGTTATTGGATAATCACGAGGTATAAGATTATAACAAGCTTCTCTGTTCGCAACAACCTTCCTAAATTCGAATATCCTGAAAGTATAAAAGTATATGAATCTTTAAGAAAGAACAGAAAAGTAACCACTGATTCAAATAACAAAATGAGTTACCATGATCAGAGAACATATATAATATATGCTCTCTGCCATGACATAGTATGAGAATCATCACATAAAACTATCCTCAATAACAAAAAAATAATACAAATTACAAAAGCGCAACTAGGAAGGACTCCAAAATGTTACAAGCGATGTTCTTAAATGATAATGGAGCAAAGAAGTAGCACATGTTTGGATTACATGGAGGTTAAATATTACCTTTTCAAATTCTCAGGTTTGCCCCAACCTTTGGTAAAAAATTTTGTGAGCAAAATACTTCTGTAAACGGCGTCCAGACGACTGGGAGGCATTATAAAGGTACTCTCCTCGTACTCTAGCTGATAAATACGATGAGAAATTCAACTTTAAAACCTGTTGCACGTCTCTTGATAGTTGATAACGCATTCACATCTTTAGAAAACTAAGTTCTTCTTCGAAACCAAAAAAAATCTGCATATTTTTCCAAAAACAAAAATTCTTTTATTTCTAACTATCTGTTTCTCTCTCAAACACATACAATACAATGGACTTTATTAATGTAATAGCTAAACCCTGTACACGAGAAGCGCTTCAGCTGTTCCTGGCCAATAGTAACCACGTATGACTGATCATGCGATAGAACTCCCAGAAACACACTCGGCCTTCTCTAATCGCAGATTGAAATAATATCAATGTTATTTGTCAGCGCGTCGTAACTAGAATGCATCTAGAAGGATCCTAAAGTCTATATGCAATCGTCCAAAAACACGACCAGCTTTATTTTTATTCTAGATTGATAGCTAGCCTCAGTACAGAGGTCCACCTCTCACTATACATCTATACATCTAACGAATAACTATCAAACTTTAGATCTATTATTTACAGAAAATCCTTTTTTTTTCGTAAGCATTTAAATTTTCCCACCCGCGACATAAATAGAGTGTGAACGTGAGTGACGGAGCTGCCCACGAATACATACATATGTATATACATATTTACTTACATATGGTATCTCCAATTTGCCAGAAGTATGACATACGGAAGAGAGAAGCTGCGGATCTGAAATCTTATGATTTTACGAAAGTTGTATTTTATGCAACGAAGTGCAATGAATCTGAGAATCTCTGAATCTCTGCTGCATTATTGCTGGCATTAGACGCGTAACGTTTGATGAGGTTCACCACATCGCATTATGGCTAAATGTACTTTCCAGTAAGAAATGGAATCATCATGAACAGTTAGTTTGTTTATCTCGTTGATGACTTGCTTTATTATATAGAATTTTCATCTTGCATTGACACGGGAGAAAAAGTTGCTGTGCTCTTGCTTTTTGTTATCGTGCTATTTAGTTGTAAAAATATTCTATATGTAATATAATTATTATACTTTATATCACAACCTCACGATCATTACAACGTACTACTTATTATTATAGGTCACTGTGTAGGTATTTATTACTAATTAATAAAGCTAACAAAATTAATAACGATATAGCCAGCCAATGCACTCTGCCATACAAATTTTTCTGATCAACAGTTTCAACTTTAGTGCAGTTACTACACTAAACGTTATGTCTCATTAACTTCATTTTCTTTAATCTGTGCGCATCTTCTCGTTGCGCAAGAGAAAGAGGACAAACATCGTGATTACATTTGGCATAGAACTACAAATGTGCTGCAACACGTTCCAATGTAATTTCTGACAATTTCTTAAGTGCTTCGTGCCTTTCAGAATCATAATTCACAGCCTTATCAAGTGCATCATTGAGCCTCTTGTTCATCAATTGCCTTACAGCAGTTATTCTTGACATGAAGTAAAATAGAGACCTGCAACGAAATAACCAGAAATTTATTTTACAGATGGAAAACTTATTGTAAAAGTGCCATTGTTGTTGTTGTTGACGCTATGCAAATTATGTAGACTATATATATATATATATACACACTACGTACTTGTTCAAGTTATGTTTTATCCATTCCATGTAGGACATTGAGTTGTAGAGTCTCGGCATGGGAACTTCAATAAGTTCCGTAAAATACATCAAGGCGGTTTCGTATGAACTGCCCGGAAAATAGTACTGAAGTCCTGCTAGGATACACCTAAGCATGTGTTCCCATTCTGGATTAATTTCGCGCAGATTAGGCTTCACCCAGAAGTTGATAAAGTCGCGAGAACGTTGTCTGATTTCATCCAAAGAGCCACGACAGAAGTTGTATCTACAATGGGCATAGATAAGTTGATATTCAAATGTAGAAGATTCGATTTTTATATATCTTTTGGATTATTTTTTAAATAGGAATTGAGACGCACTCATCTTGTATACCCAAAAGATAGCCAATTCCTCTCCAGACATGACAAAAGGCTTCGAGATCTTCATCGGTGGCGTAATGAACACCAAAGGATACTGGATGAAGTATAATGAGTCCTACGAATCCAAACTGCGTGGCCGACATATCACTCTGATTGAGTCCTTTGAATTGAATGGATGATGCATCACAATGTTGCCAGAAACACTGTCCAGGAGATGGTACCGGACAGGAGGAGCGGAAATCTTCCAGTAAGATATCCTTAGTTGGACACCAGGCGTTTGGGACGTTAGCCTCTTCATTGATATCTTCCTTATTTATTTTCCAGAGTCTTTGTCTTACGGCACTGTGCATTCTCCTTACTGTCTGAATGTCCTTGTAAGCGGCCGTACCTTTTAACCAAGGATCCTCTGTATACCAGTTTCTGATGCGCACTCCCGTTGAAAGGTATCTTAATTAAAAGAAAAAAAGGTGTGATAGACCAACGCTGGTTCAAGTTTTTCTTTTTATAAAGGAGATCTTGACTGTAAGTGGTGAAGACCACCACTAACCTTCTAAATGCCGTGTAAGGCGTACTGGATTTTCCAGTGACAATCATCGGCTTGAGTCCATCGCGAAAAGAGAACAAAGCAAAGAGTGATAAAAGTTCTGCAAAGTAAACGCCAAACAGATGATCTTGGGCGAATTTTTGTCCTCTAAGAAATTTGTCCATGTCCAACCAAGATGGCCGGTCAGTCTTAGCTCGTCCGCAATCGCCAGGTAGAAGAAATCCTGATAATGATTGTAACAGGTCATGGGGTAGTATCCTACAGGATTTTTCAAGTGTTTCCTTCAGCCATTCGTACTTGGCGGATATTGTTAGGTATTCATAATCCTTAGGAAATTCGATTTTACCAAGAACAATCTTTACCGCGGACTCAAAGTCCTGTATGGCGATATTGTCTTTTTCAGTCATGCACGACTTCATAGGACATTCAAGTTTTTTGCTAATGTCCTCTTCAGTATTTAGATCGAAATCATCCTGAATCTCAAAGTAATCATCATCTTGGCTTATTGCTTCTGGTTCTGAGGTTTCCTCCAAACACTCTAAGGAACCGGTGGACGCACCCAAGAAGCCGCTGTCATTGTCACTATCTCCAGTAAGATATATTTCTTCGGCTTCTGATGCAATTTTACTTTTGTTCTTCATTTTATAATGATTTTCCATGCTTTCATTAATCTTGGATATGTTTTCTAGGTCCACATCATTATGCAGATCCTTTGCTATTTCCATCACCGATACTATAATGAGTATTCTGCAATTTTATGGAAAAGAACTCAATTATTAAAGATCTCGATGGATGGCTACTTTGATCATGTAAGGTAAAATCAATTTTTTCTATTGAAAAAATTTCCATAGCGAAAGTGCGTCTAGGCTGCTTGACCATATAAAAGTTTTTAAGTGATATTATCAAAAGTGGGAGAGAAAAAAATGACTAATTAATCGCATGTCAAGATTTCTCCGGCTCAATGTATGAAAAAACAAACCGACTTTTATATCCTACGTCAGTAGCGCGTATTTCAATTTAATATTCAGTAAAAGAATGATTTGCAATTTAGATATTAAAGTCTGTATCGTTAATAGAAGTTATAGCAAGTTACACTGTTTCAAGAAATGAATCAAAAGCCATGCATTTTATTATCAGATAAAAATTAAAATTAAAAATATTAAAAAATACACTAAATATTAATGGCTGCATGCTCGATTCATTGCAATACGACTTGTGTGAAATTAAATTGAAAATAACGAAATGACTATTGTATTATATACAAAGGATCGATAAGATATTATCAGTCTTTATGAACTATGTGAATTAAATAATAAATCGTCTTACAGAAAAGCGCCAACAGTTTCTAAAGGGGTAACTAGTACGAGGCACTCGCTAAATTAACACTGACGCTACTTCCGCAGCTGAAAAGTCTAGCAACTTATACATTTTACCCCTTCCAAGAGAACATACCAGTGACGCGAACGCAGCTTCATTCCGAGTATAGCAAAGATTAGCACAGCAGAATACTGGAATAGCAACTCAGCGATAGACATTATTTCCTTCGTCGCAATATAATAAGAGAAATCGCATTGAAACAAATTCTTTGGGTCGACGTAACAATAAATAATCGATCAATTTAGATAAAATTTAATCATTGCGCAACGAAATACTTGATAAGAAAAATATCACACGTTTAATCATCAAAAAATCGGACTCAAAATACGTGTACCAGAATATCTAACAGTGAAGAATTTTCGTGGTACAGAAACTTGAAGAACGTAATAACAGTTCTATTCAAGAATGATTTTATCCTATGGAAAATTAACAGGGATCCAGACTGACCATTCTGATGACAAAACAACCCATAACATACAAATTTTGCAAAACAACAGACCACACTAAATACAAACCTATAAAGTTTTCCTCTTATTTATGGATAACTATAATTTTGTTTGTTTTTCATAGAACATAACGTGACAACGCTATACGTCGATGCACCGTTACAGTCCACAATACAACGCGGTATAACGATTGGCCGAAAGACCTTGGCAATTCAATTGAGACCGGTATCAAGCGTTCTAAGAAAAGCAAATATGGAATTGCAAACTTGAATTGGCTAGATAAAAAGAGCATACGTGCATGAAGGTCATGTGCACTTCCGCGAGGTGTTAAAACCAGATATTTGCTATTTGTAAATAATCGCATCTAATTCTATGTTAACATTTAATGGTGCAACCTTATATCATAACCTAGGACAAGGAGTCCTTCAATAACACACATTGAAAGCTGTTATTGCACGAATATTAATTATGTCATGTAACTTTATTTATTTTGATCCAAATTGGACCTGAGGTTCCTTAGGTTTTCATAGTGACCAACCGTATACAAAAGAAATACACCAGTAATTGCCTAATTATATCACATTGTTATATAACGTATATGAGGAACTTACAAATTCACTTAGTATTATCTTTCAGAGCATGCTCGTCTTCTCCCTGAGATAGTTTCAGTGAAGAAGTTTCAGAAAATGAATCATAATCCACAACCAACTAAGATCAGCAATCATATGACAGACTTCGGAATTCTCTGCTATTGACTATAGCTGCGACGCACATGCGCAACTTACATTGATCGTTCATCCGTCAAGTTACAAGCATGCGCTAGCAAGAGTCTGCCAAAATTAGAATTAACTATGATGCCTTTGCATCCTTCTATCTATTCATTGTTATGAAATTATTTTAAAAGGTAATGAGAGACCTCATAAATTATTTGAAACTTTGTAACTCAGGCAGATTATACCTATATACAATGATTTTAACACAAGTATTCATTCACTGAAGATGTTTCGTAAGATGTTCGTTTACTAGTGGATCTACCCTACTATGACCAATAAACCTAGGATATTAATTATTGTAATGAATTTGTATAGAAGCGCCTGTGAACCAGACAGTACGCAACACCGATACGGGACTGGTTATCTCATTTCTACCTACCTGATAATGCTGTTCAGCTCCTGGATTCCGGCATTCCTTCGTACAATCAAACGTTTCCGTGCCGCGGCAGTGCGATCTAGTGCTTCAATAAGGTATTATATAGAAACAAGTATTTTGATCCTGTAATACATTATGGGAAATGTATCGAGCGGTGGCGCCGCCACCAGTATGTCTAACGTACTATCAGGATATAATAATGTATTCATCCTAACTTTGATCATATCCCATCTCAAGTAAGACATCTGAAGTTTGTAACTTAAAATTGCGTATTTTTTAAATGTTTTCTTTCTCAAATTCCATGGAGTCTATAACGCATCCGACAATCTGTTCATGGGAGCGCGAGCGTGCTCATAAATTAACATGTTGATGCTGTGAACCGGGAGGGACCTACCTCTCAACTTCTAATTATAGCTTCATTAATTATACCATCCCCTGACAGAATTACATTGCATCCTATCATTCGTTCATCTCCGTAATGTGATTTTCAATAGGTGCATGGGAAATAGCATGAAATAAAGGAATAGAGAATACGTTATAAGATGCTTATAAAATACTTGTGCACCTGTTATATCCGGAATATTCACTACTCTAAGTGCAGGATGTACTTGGATATAGTATATAGTATATTCTTTTTTCAAATTAGTCACGTGCACCTAGTGGCAGGAACTAGGCAAAACCAGTACACGTGGTGCATAAGTACACGGGAAAGCTCTAGTAGTGAAAAGCCATAAATGTTGGTACGATATTTAGATGTATGTGTAGATGTAGAATGTCTACTTGATATAGGGCGTTATAACTAGATGATATAACATTCAGGGCGTGGGCGGTTATTTATGTATGGGAAACTCGAGGCTCCAGAGCGGATTCTGCCGGTGAACGTTACTATCTCTTGCACAACGCGATTAAGGATACCATCTCTGCTGACTTGGACTAACGGGCTTACTTTCTTTGCCATGGATTGGAAACAAGAAGTATTTAACTATTGCGCTTGTGCTACCTGTTGTCGTTTTGATTTTCTCTAATGGCACCAAGACCCACACTAGATACGTATGCGAAACCATTATTTTGCTGGTATTACTCTATATTGTGTATTTCGTATTACAGGCATGTTTCAAGTCATAGGAGATTTCGAGGATTCGACTGCGCATATCAAAAGAGAAACAGTATTCATCCCATTATGAGTATGCAATGTGACGACGGCCGGCTGTCGCGTGCCGGCTCCACACCTGTCTCCAGAGCACTGGATACTCGCCATCAGGCACGAAGAAACTAACCAAAGGAGGCTGTCAGCTGCCGACGGACAGCTGATGCAGATGATCCGGGTTTGAATTTCAGCTTTTGGTCTATACTGTATAGACAAAGGTATATACAGAAATATTTAATCAAACTTTGATTGGATATTGTTGTTCGTGCTGCTTTTGTAGTTTGAAATTATAAAATTATAGAGTCTTTGCTGTTATTCTTACAGGGAGGAAGATAAGCGTGGTCCTAAGGGTCTTCATCTCTTTACGGGGTACCTGAAGGACAAAGGGTGCAGAGATGACGTATTTGCTTTTGACTTTTCTTTCGGATCGGATTACCTACTTTTGTTTCGTACCATGATCAAAGACCACACAAGATGTACTGAGCATAATTCAGTAAATTGGTCCATAAGGGACCATCATCCGTGCTTCAAAAGCCACGAATGTAAATTCCAGAAAATCATTCCTCTCGGTATCACAATATTAAATGATGATATTCTCGACGGAGTCATTTTAGCAGATTATATGGAGGCGTATCTTCTGCAAGGGGTTGCTCGAAAAGTGGTGGGAGCATTTGAACAACCCACGTGATGGTGGTGAACCTCGTGCTTGCCTCGCAGCTGGATACTCATTTCATTCTCGAAAGGAACGCCGGTGTGTTTACTTCGCATTCGGTTAGTAGAACATCGCTCAATAACAGTGAATACTATCCATGAGTAATTGTAATAAATTTATAAGTCTTAATTAACGAAATAATAATTATACTTAAAAGAAATTGTGCCGGAACTAATATCGTTTTGAATAAACGATCTTTAATCGATATTTATAAATTGCGTTCAATTCACGTGGAGTGATCGACCGATTTTTCACAGTCACGAACGAGTACACTTCGGATCGGGTCGATCACTTCCATGTACTATTGTCGTACCGGAAGTGACCGAGCAGAGTTCACCAGTCCTGGACGCACCGACGACGAGGAGAAGGATTGACTTGGATATAGGACATTTCCTTTTCTCTATACTGAAGATCTTCCTGGAATTTTGCACCGTATTGGATCCTCCACGTTAATAACAGACGTCGCAGTGCTATCGGAATATTTCGCTTCGGGGGACCATTGTAAAGCACCACTATAATTCTCATCGGGAGAATTATCATCCACAATAAATAACAGAGGAAGATCAATCTTCAAGATGTTCCTGGACTCTCGACTACCAATCATCTTACTTGTTGCGTGCACGCTGGCGGCTATGATGCAGGTAAATAATTTTATAATCTTTATCCTTTGTTTTTCATTAATTCTTTCTTTTTTGAAAAAAATTGTACTTTATGAAGCGTTCGTTTCCTGTATCATTGATCGGTATGCAATTTATTATAGCTCGAAGTGTACATCAGTGTGATGTATTAGTTGGGTATCGATGGACCTGTTTATTATTAATTTTATTGCAAATATATGATTCTGCTAATCGGTACTGTTATACGGTTCCGTTCATTCCGGAAATTAGCAGTAACCTAGCCAGTTGCGGTCAGACCGACATTTAATCGATTTTTACGCTCGACCACGTTTGATCAGTGATCGTTAGTCATTATTTGTATACAGTACAATTTTCTATCACGATGACTTTTATCACTTCTTATCAGGATATCCAAAGATGAAGCACCCCTTTGACTCTTTTCTCGAAATTTGTTGAAATTCCATGAATAGCAGTTATGGCACGACGCTGAAAGAGGATGAATTGCGTAAGGTGGTATCACTGGATAAGAGAGGATGTAATAATTTCCGACTATTACATTCGAAAGTCCTTGATTGAACTGCACACGACATACTACGATGGTGACAGTCGAAGTCTATTAAATTAAAAAAAAAAATACATAGAAAAAGCACAATTAAGGAGAATTTGGAATGTATAGTCGCATTGAATATTAATATCTCGACACAAGAAATGACTGTACACAACCGACTATTAGTTTATAGTGTTCAGTATGCCGGACACAATTCATCCTAATGCAGTGTGAAATTCTACGCAATGGCGTCGGAATGACATACATAAGTACTAAGCATATATATAACAATTTACATTATACAGAAGATTCATATACGTATGTATTTGCTCATGAATAAAAGATGAGCGCAATACGAAAGGTCCCTTTTACAAGCGTAACAACACTTTGGACGTGTGAGAGCTGTAATAACGGCCTACAATTAAAAGTGCAAAGTGGATGGTGTAGGTTTGGTGTGCTGCCTTTGAGAAAGATACTTGAGAACAATGCAGGTTTCACAGGAGAGAGATGAACAGAGCATTTTGAGAAGCAGATAATAACAGGAGCATGGTGTACCGTGGATTTTATCAGAAAGTAACTACGCGACTTTGAAGAATTGTTTGATAAAAAGGTCAGCGACAACTGGCGATATAGAGGGAAGTAAGCAGGGGAGGAGCAGTAGGGTATATAGACGGTTAAATGCTATAAATTTGCATTGCATTGTTGGGAGAGAATAGATAAGAATCGGTTCACATGTGTTTATCCCTGGATGCGTGTTACACATGGGGTTGACTTGATGATCAGGGTTGGTCAAAAGGCTGGACTAATAACGCGTATAAGTCGTGGGAACCAGGGAATCCTGGCAGCCGTTGTTGCTTGCCTATTGTTTGCTTCTGATTCTGGAGTACATACGTATGTGGTGTATAGTCTCGTAGAGAAGTGCGAATAATTCTGTGTAGATGCGCGAATATATTAGATCCACACGTGCTGAGTGAATTTGAGTGTATACTCTGTGCTGTTGCATATGTCAGTATGCTGCATATAGTACATAGTACGTGTATATCCACTGCCGGAGAGAGTTATTCAGTCCAGTGGGCTATTTCGTGGCTCGTGAGACCTCTACCGCTGATTGCAAACTTTGTAGAGAAGAGAAAAATCACCGCGGGAGTTGGAGCAATTTTGAGATGCTGAATAGTCTGTTTTGAAAGGTATGATTGCGATACACTGATAATTTGTCTCTGAGAGAGATATTATTTTATTTGGACTCGCGTATATTTAACTGATAGAAGCAATTGTACCAGTTAACAATTTAACAGGTTATATACGTGGACCTGGGACAGATGTCGGATGATTATTTCAATGGAGGGTCAAGGTGCAGAATCATATCCATCATGTTATAGAATTTTGAGGAAGTAAAAGGTATGATCACTTTAAGAGGATTCGTCAGATCCTGCTGAGATAACCTTAAGTGTGACCGGGCTGCACTCACTAGCCAAAGGAAAAGGATAATGATTTCTCGCTGCAATTAGCTCAGGAAGATTCCCAGCGGATAGCTCGCATCGCAAGGGCTCCTTGTTATTACCTTCGCGACGTTCCCAGCCTTGCCATCATCCTTTGGACAGGTACTTCGTATACCCACTTACCTACCTTACTGAATGTTCATAGTCTTTTTGATCCTCAGATCTGGAGGTACTTTTTCCTCACTTCCAATACCCTGACTGTATTTCCAGGAACACGAACATCGACATTAACTACCTTTGGACTACATCCGTCGCCCTTGTTAATACTCTTGGAAGAGCAACATCCTCAGGGATAATTATTCTGGTGCTCTTTGATAGTCCTACGAGGATTAACTAACGTGGCAGCTGTTGCCGCCGTTGCTGTTGCTGCCTCCTTCGTTCGTTCCCCTTCATATTTCTGACTTCCTATAGGAAGTGAATGGAAGGGAAGTTTCAAAGCGGAAATCGTCGTACCGTAACTCCAACCATACATATACGATATTGTGAACTATATGGGAATGTTGGAAGTAAACGAAAAATGATATCAATAGACGGCTCTGTATTAATGATACTACACATAGGGAATGTTAAAAGGAACAAGTATTATTCGTTTAAGTGAGAAAAATCAGCACTGTTCGAATTTCTATTTCCTGCGTGGAAGTACTAGCTCTATAATTTCATAAGGCGATAGGTAGCGACTGCATCTGTAGAAGCGCTCTTTGGCTTCCTGGCAATTCCCATTATGTCGATGGAAAATACCAGGACGTCACTGGCTTCGCTATCGAGAGTCGAGTAATGGAAAGTGTGAAATAAAGGGAAAGACAGAGAGAGAAGGAAGAACGACGGTCGCCATAAAGCCACAGCAATTACCATTTCCGTTTTTATTCGACACACAGGATATTCCTATTCATATGCCAATGTTATTTCAGTTCACATATACACACGTTCAAATCGATTTTCGCGTTACTCCCGTTTTCTATTGTCAGTCCGTTCCTTTCGATTCAATCAAAAAAAAGTTCGAGTATGACCAGTTTTTATGAGATTCATTATATTTTATGGACACTTTGATATTCCATAAAGAATATACCGGTACCGCAATACACCTGTTCTCCGATCCAGTTTAACGAAATAAAAGCAAGGTTTTTCTTTCCTTTCTCGCGATGGACACTCGAGGAAATTCCATGGTGTGGTTCATGGCGCGTGACCACCGTTTAAAAGACTCTCGCGGTTATGGCGAGGACGAAATAAATGTAAAAATAAAAAGTCAAGACACTAAGAGCCGTTTCCACGTATCATGGTTACGACCCAGTCGCTCGAGCATCACAATTTTATAATACATAAACGTCCCATTTAAATGGAATGTCTTCTGGATCCTTTTATGCGTATCTATAGCCCTTTACGTAATTTAGATTATATAAATCGGTATCTACATATGTTCATGTAGTAATTTGCGAAAGACATAGGCAGAGAGACCAAAAAGCAGAAAAAATAGTTATGTATGTAAACGGTAGGCAGTTTTCCCCGGGCGAAAGTCAGCTCTCTAGGGTGTAAGGTGAACTTGCAAGTTAACACGGCGAACTAAAGGGCCTAAGGGTCGAATTAACCCGGTCGAATGTATAATTTGCCCTCGTTTGCGGTTACTCAAGTGACCGGCCAATTATTTATTAGCAGGCAGCAGATGGCAGTTTATATACAAGTACATGCAATGCATACCGACCAGCGCGTTACCACTGTATACACTTGGCTAGCTAAGAGATAGGTATTTCTTTTAATTCCTGACCCCATGGTCAAAGGTCTCCCCTAAGTGAAGGGTTGGCAGCCATAAGACTACCAGAGGCTTCATGTTACGTCTCCAATTATATCAATTAGAAATATACTGAGTGCTCGTTTTACATTTAAAAAAGTTTCGAATATGTTTGTTAAATAAGGTGATTTTAATTTACGTAGTAATATTCGATCAGTATGTATAATAGGAAGGCTATTCCTGTGGGCAGGCAGCCCTAAGGCAGATGTGGAACCGGTGTCAGGCCCGGTGTTTCTACCCTACGTTAATTTCTCTCTTATAACAAATACGAGACTGTAGCGTCTCTCCCATCTTTACTCTACCACTATGATCGTCGAGGGTAACACGAGAAATGGGAACAGAAAGCCGGCTGTTACGATTCACCTGACAGCGGTGACCGGCAGCGCGTGCCGGCGTCCTGGCAGCTGCAGCCGGCCTGCCTTTGCCATTTTAATTAATCCAGGGTTACAATGAATTTTTGAACATTGTTCAGATTTTAAATAGGGGTTTTTTGATTGTGCATCAATAATAATTTCATACAACTGCGTTATAATCATACTAAGTTAATATACCGAATAATGTAAGGATTGCAGAGCAGATGGATATCGCGTACGGCATTATCATTCCCGGTATAAAATATTCCTTCTGAGGGTGAACTTCGGATGTTATATTGTACATCTTTGTTTTTCCCTTTGATATAATGATTTAGTTCGCTTGAATCGTATGGCAGGGAACGAGTGCAAGGTGTTCCTTGCGTCAGCTGGCCCTCGCCTTCCCAGGCACCTGTTACTTTAGAGAATTCTCTTAAGCGCATTTTACAATCCTACAAAGGACTTCTGTACGTAGTAAAAAAAAGTAATAAAATTCTTTGGTTATTTTCTAATGAAAAAATATATTTTGTTTTCAGATGGCAAGTGGCAGGCCTCACATAAGACATCATCGTGGCGGTACTCACTGCAGCAGATGTGGTCCAGGATGGGGAGTCAGTAACCGCTGTACCAAGGGAAAGGATACGGAGTGTGGAAAATGTCTCCGTGGTACTTACAGTCCTCATCACAGTACTCAGCCGTGTTGGATCTGTTCACGTTGCGGACCTGGACTCTACGAGGCTCATCCTTGTACTTCAAAGATGGACACAGTCTGCGACTCTTGCCATAGGCAGGCCCAAGACAATCCTGATTACCGTCGTAAATGTCGCGGACATAGCTTCTTCCTGGCGCCGGAAGATGCACGCAACACCGGCGAAGAGAGTGTCCTAGTGAATGAACCTGAAGAACAGTTTCGGATGGACGGCCGGGATCTCATCCTTAGGGAGGACGTCGAAGCGGCATTGGAAGACGTTGATGACGTCGATGAAGAATTGGCTGGCATGCAAAGACTTTAAAGACATCATCGTGATCCTCAGGCTGAAAGTAATCGACTGTATATAGAGGAACGACGGAAGATGGAGGGAAAGAGATAATTAAGCGGATAGTGAGGGTAGGACAAAAAATTAATTAATTTCAAACTGGTGTGAGAAGCTGTAGGATAAACGTTAAACTAGTCAATCTTCGAGAAAGATACTGAATGAAACTCCCAGTATAATTATTCATTCTGTGTAACGTGTGTCCTCAACGTTTTTCAACCTGGAAATGCATGCGCAGATACAATCCTTTTTTTTTTCAAACAGCAGTGTATATGTATTTTATTTCAATATCGATTACAGGTGAGATTCGGTAATCTTATATAATTACAAGCCTAGCCGTCCTCTTGATTAATTATCCCTCTCTTTGTTCACTTGTTTTTTCTCCTTTCATAATTCGGAATGCGGATCATACAAGACTAAGCTATACAGTACCATGACCATCATCCTTCTGCTGATGTGCAGAATAAAACAACTTGATACATACTATTAAATTGTTTTCCGGTCACAATATACATACAGAAGCAAACATAGAAGGATAGAAAGAAAGAGAGAGAGAGAGAGAGAGAGAGAGAATTTCCCTGATCATAAATTTCCTTGATCAACGCCTATCCATATACATATATGGCAAACATAGAAGGATAGAAAGAAAGCTGATGTGCAGAATAAAACAACTTGATACATACTATTAAATTGTTTTCCGGTCACAATATACATACAGAAGCAAACATAGAAGGATAGAAAGAAAGAGAGAGAGAGAGAGAGAGAGAGAGAGAGAGAGAGAATTTCCCTGATCATAAATTTCCTTGATCAACGCCTATCCATATACATATATGTATATGTATATCCAAAGAAAAGACTAATTATATTTTGTATGTAGATTTATGCATGTATGTATCTATGTATGTATGCGCGCACGGAAAATGTTTGGGCCATAGAAGAAATTCTCTATTTTCATGGCAGTAGGAAAAGAAATTCACCGTTCAATGTTTACCCAGTGCTTAATTATTAATGACAATATTTGGGGCCATTGCGCTCGCTCCGGACGATCGGAACAATTCGATGAGACGTTGCGTCGACGTCATCTTAAAAATCGAGAGTTTAATGCGATATTATAATTCAATACATCATTGAAAGAACTTTATTAATTGTATAGTAATATTTTTTTTATTGTTTGAAATCAAACAGTCAAGTTCTACTTTTTCTTTACTTATAAATACCGCGAAAAGTCCAGTCTCCAAGTGTTTGTTCCGTTTTGCCGGTTATCGGCTTCGAAGTGCAGTGTTCCTAGATAACCAGGATCCCGACGTGGATGCTCTCACCAGGATATTCCGATACCCGAGAACATCCACTGTGAGGCGAATCCTTGGAAATATATATATACTATATTGATTATATATAAGTATCAGCCAACTGAATTCTCATGTGAGATACCAATTAGCGACATTGACCGAAATGCGTATAAGTATAATCCCTGTACTACAACTGTATACGTATACGTCCTAGATAGATAGATAGATGAATAGAATAGAATTAGAATAGATCGAGAGTTATATAGTTATCTAAGTGCGTGGTGCTTTAAAAAATATAACGAGTAGTCTTATATATGTCACTTTCGAAGTTACACGATTAATCGTACTTAACAAACATAGCTAAGCTAATTAGAATGTCCTGTATACATGCCATAACGAGATAAACTCACAGATTGAGACAGACATAAAACTTTCTCGTATTTTTTCCATTTTCTTTTGTATTTTTATATTCTTTCTTGTCCTATTGTCAATCCACAATTAATAACGATCCTCGTATGTGTTCCAGCTTTGTTTACTATTTTTATTATTAATACGAGTATAAGTTTTAAAAAATGTGATACAATAAGCGACACATTCAACCAACCGCCAATATATTTTAAGCGCAGATCCTTCTTGTAAAGTACCCTTGGTATTTGTATTTCTTATCTTTCGTTTTGTTGCCACTTTTATCATTGTGTCTTTATTATATACGGATTTACTAACAGATCCTTAGTAATAGAGAGTGCACTAAAAGTACTCGTACGCTCTGTCGGCCTTAATTAAACTGATTTTCTCGCAAAGTACGTACTTAGTACAAATTTTGGTGGACCCCGTAATGTAATAATATCATAACGAACGCTCTAAGGAGGATGCACAAGACGAAAGAAAATTGAGGTAAACTGCAAGATAGACATTAAATAATGAGCCGCGATGGACCGCGTATTGTGGTCGTTATTATCTTTCTTTTTCTCTATTCACGGTCCGTTTTAATCTTAAATACATATATATATATATAAATGTCACATTATATACAGCTACTGCCGTAGACGTAACGTTCGAGTGAATTAAGAATTTTTGACACGTCAAAACAATCAATTAACACAGCATTGTTTTGTACGAGAGATATTATATTGTTTCAATAATATATAAATCAATAGTGTCTTACAAACATACATGTACATAGATGCTAAATGATACACAATAATTCAATATTACAGAGGACGTCCGGATACGATCCATTCACAGGAAGTGGAGAGGTTAGTTGGAAAGGAGCGAGTGAGAGGAGCAAGTGGTGAGATATTTTAAATGATTATTTAGAATTTTGAAATTAATAATATCGCGGTGACGGATTACTGTGGATTGAATATTTTCTTGACAATGTGAATGCTCGGTTTCTTCGGACAATGAAATAACAGTACATATATATGTCTATATATGGCTACACAATCAATTAATCATACACGACGATTAATGCGAATGACTCAGTGTCGAGCGTCTCTAACAGCTATTTATCCCCATTTCCGTACATACAAATTAATTACGATTTATGGAATCGTTCGCTGGGGACTATAACTTAATTGGAAGATCCAATAACGCAGGTTTCTCGATCGCAGTTATACTTTTTGTACAACGAATAAACACGAGGCAAAGAATAATCATGCCTAGCTGTCCTGTGCTGGGAGCAATATTCCATTTTTTTTTTCTTTTCATTATCGCGGGTTTTATATAAGATACTTGGAAATCCATGACTGGTGACTTATGACTTCTTGAGTAAACCGCGAGACGAGTATATACTTATTTGTATAATTTTCACAACTTCTAATTTAGCGCACATTCAATTTTTATCAATTTTTGTATATTTTTATTTTCCTTGCCTTAAAAAAAAATCTTACTACGAGCACCGTAACGAAAAGGATACGTCAATTATACGTTTAGAAAAATGTCCTTCTCGTTATTGAGATTCTATTAGACTCGTCTCGTGTTTCATCATCAATTATTTTACTTTCTATTTTCTTTTCTTTCTTTTTATGTTTTACTTTGCGATTTCGTCTGGACACTCGCCAAAGAAGTTCCCACTTCGAGGACAGAAATTGAATGACTAAAAAAAAAAGAAAGACAAAGAGAACTGAAAACGCGCGCATCTCGGCACTTGCCGCGACAGCACCTCCTATAAATACAGGACCCCATTATTATTCTACAAGACGATTGAAATCACGGGAAAACGAAGCGTACCATTTTTGAAATTTACACCACGCAATCTGGGACAAAATATACATCTCGTGCGAGCGCCATAATTTTCGCGTCTGCCAAAGCAAAGAATTGGATAAGCCTGTTATTTTCTTTTCTTATCGGTTCACTCTTTAAACGTAGAGGCAAAAGATCAGAGTCCTCATGGCTGAAAGTACCCGCGACCTTTTAGCATTAACATTGCGACAGGCGGCGTGAATCGAGCTATAACGACTCAATCAATCAAGTATCAATACTTATATACAATTGAATAAAACTTTACAATTTTCATTTCATTATACTTTGTGACTCTTAACGGAGGGTGAGCGCACACGCTGCTTATAACACACACCATATACACATACACACACTCTCTGGCTTCGTGCATCTCGCGTATCATTACTACCTACTATTATTATTATTTATTAGTAATATTATTATTATCATTATCTCATTATTTATTATCATCGAGGAGAAGCTATACTCGATTTTTTGCAGTATCTTGGAAATCTAACTTAATCGCGAATCGTTGCTATTTTGCATTTCTAAGCGCTGCTAAAACATAATTCGGGCCATTTCTCTTCTCCTCCTTCCTTCCCCCCCCCCCTCTCTCTCTCTCTGTCTCTCATCTTCTTAGACCTGTACAGAATACAATAAACGCTACGGAAATGTACATCTTGCAAAGAGGGCGCGTTCTTGTTAAAGCCGGAACTGACTCTTGTTTGTTATTCCTGATTTGAAGCTTTATCAATTACTTATCGTACCTTAGTGTTATAAGTGTCGGCCACAACCAGTCATGGATTTGTCAGTTCATAAATGTCATCGAGAGAGAGGACTGAAACGTGCATGGTATAAAATTAGCATCGACTAAGGGAGGAACAAAAGAGAAAAGATAGTTGGAAGATAAGTGACACTTTGAAATAAGCGGCTAGTTACAAGAAATGATTGTTGAGCTTCTTTAAATATCGGGGAGGTAAGGAGGAAGAGACGAAGGAAGGAAGGAAGAGGAGGCAAGGTGAGGGAGGAAAGGGAAAGTCTACGGCGAATAATTAATATCATACAACTAGTGCACTCAGCGTGCCCAAATCTACGCTCGCCTTCGCAACAAACTCAAACGAAAAAGCAAAACGGAATCACTTAATGCAAATGAGACTAAACATGCTTGGACACTTTTAAACGAGGATCCGACAGTCTGCATAGGACGCAAGTCGATCCGATCGCATATTTGATTATTCTCAATTAATTTCGTCCCATGTTTGGCAAATAGGATCGAGTGTTGCGTCATTTGCCGTCTTAGGAGATCCGTCTAGTATACAGTATAGTATTTGCCATAGTTTTATCGTAGCTTGGTAAACCAATTAAAAGTAATTCTTTGTTTTACCTTCATTTACTAATACTACCCATTGATGCCAATCTATGTTGCCTGTTCTTTTCTCTTTTTTTAGTTTTTTGTTCTATTATGGCTTAGTCCCAAGTCCCAAATCTCATTTAAGTAATATTTCTTCTGTTACAACGCCCTTTCCTTTTCTTAGTTGTTAATACTCCTGATAGAGAGGTGCACGTTGCTATCCTGCTGTAAGAGGCAATACCATTGAGTGTAGGCTTGGGTAGAGCGTTTTCTTCATTTTTAACAATTAATCGTGCTTGAGATTCCTCGGCTGTCACGAGAAATCACGAATATCTGAGCCGTCTGGTTGTACGACCTTAGAGTACGTTTTGGTCGCTGACTTTACAAGAGCTTGCTAGATCGATTAGAACTGATCTACGAGCAAGTCGCAGATCTCTATTGACATCGACTCTTTACTCGAACGCACCGTTAACCGGAACATCTGAAAAATTATATCCAGTCAAACAATCACTCGATCTCATGAGGAATGACAGATTTCCTGATGCATTCCCATAAAAGCTCTAGATAGAATGTGATGCAAATTAATGAGGATGAAATTAATGAAGTATTGTACCTGAGCCTGCTTATTGGGTTCCAAACGTAATAAACAGCCCACTTGCTGGGCTCTCATGTGTACGATTCCCGCACATACAAAATTGTCAGGATTAGGATCTATACCGTCCAAAAGTTGCATACCAAATCCCTGAAGCTTCGTGCGAACCTGAGCCAAGTCCATAGGTTGTTGAGCTTTGAATATCTTTTGCGAGCGTTGCTGATTAGCTCTGGAATTAAAAACAACCAGAAAGAACCCATGAAACTACAGCTGTGCACTTGTTGTATCAACTAGTCAATTTTGTTAGGCAAATACCTACCCTCCTAGATTCTTCCACCTAGCGAAGAAGGATTCACCATTCATCTCCGTAGGTTCAAAAAATTTATTAATTGTCAATGGTAACTTCATTGTTATTTTCTGAGCTACGTTATTATAGATAAACGAAATGATCATACTCGGAGTGTCTGGAATTAAATGATTCATTGTTATTAATAATCGAGAGTAATTCGTTAGACTGCATTATTATTCACTAAGGTACCATTGTAATCGTCGATACACTCTGCGTTAATCATCTGCTGAATTTGTGCACCAGCTTCTAAAACGGGGTCCACGAGTTTCACTTGGACAGCCAACTTCGCCTGGTTCTCTTCTGACCACGACAACTGTGGCTGGAAGCTATGTAGTGCGAATTGCGTTTTGTTCCCGTAAAAGAGGCCAATACGCCCGAGATTCTGTCGAAATTCTGATTTCACACCGATCTGAATGAGGTCGTTCTCAAATAAGACGCCATTATTCTTGCAAACGAATCTAAAGCGTAATAAAATTATTGTATATTTATAAAATTTAATATAAATGTCGTGAGCTGTGTCAGAGACTTTATGGAACATCACATACTTCTTAGGGTTGTAGGTATTTTGTGCACCGTTAGTAGCACCAACGCTGTTCGGAGAGCCGCTGTAGATGTCGCCGAGAACGTCCAGCAAGACACCTGTATTACTCGTAGGCTGAGAAGATGGCGGAGTCGACAGACCAAGAAGATCAGCTGAACTATTATTGACTGCAGCTGATACAGGAGTAACATGCGTATCAGTATGATGATTTGTATTTGGAGCAGGACTCTTGCTTTCCCGGATCTCGTTCTCCGGAACTCGACCTGGTTTCTTCTTCTTTAGGACAGCCAGGATGGAAGACTCTCTTTCTGGGAAGGCTGGCATTTCCTCCAGAACCGTCGCCTGGGACAGAACAGACAATGCAATGAACTCTTCATGAAATTTTTATTTCGTCTAGGACGACGTACCAGGACATCCGTCGAAGCGATGATACTCAGCTGCAGGTACTCCGATGCCCTCTGCTGAAGCTCCGCGTCGGCGCTACGTAGATTACTGTGCTGTCTGAAGACATCCTGGATTTGACTTCGAATTTCCGGGAAAAGATTTACGAATTTTATGTAGGTTGAGAGCAACAATGCTCGTGTCATGGGAGAGCATAGATGATACTGTAATATAAAAAGAGGGTCGAGGATGATAACGATGCCGGTCAATCTTCTCGCACTAGACTAAGATATGCATCTGTGTCATATTTATGTGGATTTACATACTTTGGAATGCAAAAGTTGAAATTGGACTGATGGTGAGGAACGCTGATCACCGGCTATAAGGTTTCCAAACTCACCAAGAATGTAACCACCGACCTTGACCATATTCTCGTGGCACGCCGGTGCCTGGAGAGCCTGATAAAATGTAATAGTATTTATTAGTCAATGTAAAATAGAAAGCTGCAGGATGACAACGAGATGATATTTAAATGGCTCACTTCGAAAACTGTTTTCGCTGCGTATCCTTGTACGTCGTCCCTATTGATGACTATTTGAATGACCCTGTACCAGACCTCCTCAGAAACATAGTCGCCGGCTATCCTTATGAGATTCAGGATGACGTCGACGTACCACGTGTAGTCCGTCGCGTATTTTTCAGCCAAGATGGCCACTTTTAGCACCATCTCTTCTCTAATCGAGTAATCTGCAGTTTCGAGGTAGTTCAACATCTCCTGGACAATTTCCTCGGCGTTGCTCTTATCGCACATAGCATAAAGAAGATCCACTGCCTGTTGTCTCACTGAAACATCCTTTTCCATCTTCATTGAGAGAATCACGACCTCCTGGTGCTTTTTGACGGCCTCATGGGAGAATTCCGAAGTCGCTAAGTGACACATCGACTCCAGTGCCAGGTATCGTAGATTCGTTTCCCGATTTGACAGAAACTGACCCAGCTGGTTACACGCCCTGACCAATAAACTCGGCTCGCTGTCATTGTGGATAATCAAACTGATCGCTTCGAAGAGTACAGCATTTTTAGCATTAGAATGCTGAACTTTTTTCGACTTCGGTGGTTCCTGAGCCTTGTTTAAAATTGTCTCGAGACACTCGTTCAGTCTTCCACGAACGCCAGGATCCTCGGCTGTATACAATATAATGAAAACAATAAATATATATATAAGACCTGATGATCCCTTTTTTTGTGCTGGTAATAAAATATGGGTGATTTACCTGGCGGTGTATAATTCTGTAGTAGTCGCAGTAACTTAACAGAGAGCCAGGGTGCCGGTACGAAGTAATACGTGTAGTCCTGTAAGTCTGTGTAACTCGACGTTACAATCTATGATAAGGAGAGAAACAAAATCCAAGTATAATATTAAATAATTAGCTATAATCGTTAATTCTGATTCGCTATCTCGAAACTTACCCGGCTAAGTCTAGAAACAGCCAGACTCACACAACCCTTATATTCATCAGGATTCCTTTTGACAAGAGCATCTATAAGTGAGGCTGCAGCAGTGACAACACCAAGATGCTGGTCATTAAGAAGGTGTACGATACGGGAAGTCCATTCACCGCCAGGAACCACCTCCGGGGCAGTTCTCAATAACCGCAGAAGACAAAGAGCTGCGCTTTGCTTCACGACATCCATAGTATCCCTAAAGGTAATACATATTTGATTTAATAATAAAGTTAGTTTCTAAAAATATTAGGCCAAGTGTGCCTTTGCTCCCCGTGTAAAATTCTAAAGCCAATTATAAACGTGAAATTTTATTATAAACGCGGCAAAGCTCAGTGTCCCAAGCGTCAGTGTTTACCTAATGTCCAGTCGCCTGATTTCCAATGTGCGATATTTAATGGAATGAAATTATAGTGGGTCCATTAGAAAGTTTCTGAATGTGTGTTGTGATTAGCGACATATTGTCTATATTCTAATACTCACCCCGACACAAGTAACTTTGGAATCTCATTGCCGAACGCTTCAGCCATTTCCTTACTTCCAATATTAGCAATACACTGTAAAGCTAGATTCACATGAATTGGATTGCGCGAGGCAAGATCATTCTTGATACTTTGAATAATTAGCTTTATGAGATCGCTGTTTGTATTCACAAGGACTGAAATGAAGAGATAACCCTAAAAAAAAAGAAAGAAATTGGCAAAACTGTAAAAATCTCCAATAGTCATTGTTAAGTAGATACTTATACGAAAAATATCTTTCTAAGAACAGCCGAGATTTGTCTTTCTCATGGGTTCTAAGCTCTACAGGGTCACAGGTCAATGACTTATGATTACACACACGATTATAGTCCCTGTGTGAACTGTGAAGGATTGAATCATTGAATACAGTAGGGCAATCTGTTGGCCGTACGCTTCTACGAAGGATAAATATTTGTATACGTCTCATTCAAGTATCTTGTAAATTTTCGAAATTTGAATAATAATTCTATTCGGTTTTTTTATATCAATTAGATGCTTAAAACTCATAATAAAACTTTGAGTGTGCAGTAAATAACAATCCAGACCGGACGCACAGCTCTAATAAAAGATTTATCCGATAAAGCGTAATCGTCACAAGGAGATAATACGAGTCAGCCTTAATTCTTAATCCTCCTGATGATACGTACGATTTGTTTCTCTGAGTATTTGTTGGATGACAGTAGATTAACGGCTTCCATGTGGCCGAAGTCAATATCATGCCCAAGAAGGAAAATGAAGAGAAGTTTGCAGACATATTTCTTCTTCTGGTAACCATCGAGAGTCTTATCTCCTTTGAATTTACTACGAATATTTGCCAGTTCCTTGTTTATCCTCTTGATTTCGGCTTCCTTGCTCTTGCCTGTAGATGATTCAATCATTTATTTTATCAATATTACCGTAGCGTTTGCATAAAATGAATTTTTAATCCTATTCTATTATCATATCTGTTTTATCGTCCCTCCAATTTAGTGCATAGAGCTTGATACATAATAACACAGAAATTTAGGATTATGAGCTTGGTACTGAGCGACAAAGTATAATGTCCTCCTATTGCCAAATCTTTATTGATTTTCTGCCAAAGCACCAAGAAGTACATCGTTCATGTAATGTCTTATTCATGAGAAACAAATAGAGTTGAGTATTAATAACGTTATAGTGTTGATTAAGAGTGACTTATGATGAATACTTATTTAACTCTTCAAATTATATTAGGCCAGTCGGTCTCTATTAGATTGTACCATGCTGCTATCTAAAACGTCAAAATGATTATATCATCAAGGACAAGATAATGTGTTGCAATTTGAAGTGCACACTACTAAAATGGCACTATGCCACTTGGCCTAAGAACGAAAATTGTGTGTATTGTCTTGAAAATAAAGTGTAATTTTGTAGACGATTATGTCGTTATAGTGAACGCAGATCAATTCATATTACCATGCAGATTAAATACGATGCTTATGCTTCAGAGCCCATGTTTTAAGAAGTTCATACACAATGTTGACTGTCTAGTTATTTTCCATATAGAAAAGCTCACAGTACGCTATTCACTCTGTTAGTTTTCATGATTTTCTATAGTATAATGAAAATTTTGCATGATTTAAGGGATCAAATTTGTTTTCTTCTTCCATCAGGATTTTCAAATATTTCTAACATATTGTTGGATTCTAGACTTTTTATATGAACACTTTGTATCAATGTTGGAGTAATGTCGTAGGTATCTCCTTTAAATGATAAAAAGGATATAACTATTTTTAATATCATTATGAAACGACTGGATATATTTTTAACCAGAACACCATGAGAATTCACATCAGACTATTATCTGAATGTTACATATTGCTAGTCAAGTCTACCTCTATCAGACAGATAGGCTGGTATCAGAGCTCCGCCCCTGATTCCTTGCTACAAGTGCCATAAGCGTTTTGTGTCTCTCAGTATCAATGGCCCTCTATCTTGCTACTAATGGGAAGTGTATGAGAGTATAGTACATTTGACCACACTGAATGAAGTGATAAGAAGAAAATTTTCAATGTTAAGTTTTAGAATCTATTTAAAGTTCAGGAAATAATCTTACAATTTCTGATATCTGAAATGAACACTGCAAGTCCTCGCATGCCATCCCCACGCACAGCTGGCATCTTGCCTCCTGTTACTTAGAACCACCTGTGAAGTAAATTTACTATAAAGACAATACATATTTTCTGCATGATATATCGAGAACTTAAATTACAAACATATGTTATCAATTATCATGGTAGAGTTGATATAATACAAAAAAATAACTATTGGTCAAACAAATGAATGTCTTGAGATTAAATACGATAACCAGTTAATAACATTTGTTTGAAGCTATGGTATATAAAGAGTGGTTATAAACTATATAGGCTATATTTGTTTGAATTTTTATTATTTGCTTAATCCAACAGCAGTGACCTATAATATTTATATCGCTGTATAACACATGATAATAATATATGATCTTTAAAGAATACTGGGACACTGATGCTAGCTTGTTCCAAAATAATTGACTAAAATTTAATTACTACATTGCAACTGAATAAGTGAATTGAGATATCAATGCCGTAAGTAAAAATTGGAGCCATCAAACCACCTTACATTATGTAGTCTCATATAGGCCAATAAGTATGATGGTTGACTACATGCATCTTGGAAATGATAAATGATAAATGAAAAAGCCGGTAACTGAAGCTACATAATTTGTCCTAGATTTGCTAATACGCAAGATTTTGACAGGCCGCGGATCCGCTATCAGCCCTGCTTCGTTAGGATGGGTAGGAAGTAATTTCGGAAAATGGAATCATGTAGGGAAAGTACGAGATTAACAAGCAGTCATCGTGATAGCAGAATGTTGTATAAAAATGTAATCGGATTTGGAAAGTGCTGTAAGAATGAAAAGGCAGGAGACGATCCGTGGCAGAACGGTTTTGAGAACGGGGTCCTCCCTAAGGTCTTTCAAAAGCTTTTTCTTATTGCAAATGGATCCTGAGTGCTCGCCGGGGAACTCTGGATCATGCAGTACGTACCGATTTAATAGAGGGTTGTGATCACGGATGGCTCAGTCACGGAATGACACGGGAGGCGTGAACTATTCGCGAGTCGATGCCAGTGATTTTGTGGCTGTCGCCATTTGCAACCGCTGCTGACTAGCTGACGGCTGTTCTTCCAGTACTACCACTTGATGGCACTAGTGAAGCGCCGGCGCATTCACTCCTGGTGCTCTTGGTGCATGCTTGTGCACGCGCATTCCAATGAGATACCAAATTTCGTAATCTACTACTTCGATCCAGTTTTAAAGCGGCACGACATGTAAAATACTAAGAATTTGTGCACAGCAGCATTTCTTTTATTTAAAAGTGTTGGTAATTTATGATGAATTTATACAGAAATGTATACAAAAAAAGGCTATCGTACGTCTCTGGTATCCTCCTGAATTTTTTGGAGCAGCATTTCCATTCTATCCTTCATCACAGGTTGACCCTTACTAGTTTTTTTAGATAATTTTTTATAGATCAATGCCTTCTTTTCCTTGTATTTCTTTAACGCTTCTTCTCTCTCAGCCTTCGACTTTAGCATTGCTTCCTTTATTCTCTTCTTCTCTTCTTTCTTCTTCAGAAATTCTTGTTTTGCAGCAAAGAAAGCATTAGATTTCTTCTTGGGTTGACTAAAATATATAATGAAAGTATATATACAGTACAATTGACATTTTATATCTACTAATTACCAATAACATGCCATACCTTGCCCTGTCATCCTCTTTGCTTTCCTTCGATGCAAATAATGACAATTTTCGAGCAGCATCTTGATCTTTATGAAGCTCTTTATAATACCTCCGTAATACAGACTTTTTCCTTCGCTCTTCCCACTGATCAACTACAAAAGAAATTCAAAATTATAAATGTATCCTTTCTAACCTGTCCCACATTTTAACAGTACATGGTAATATATACCATACCCTTATACTTGTTACTATATTTCTGTAATCTGTATTTCTTTTTGTCAAATGGCTTCTTATCTTTCTGCTGCTTGCAATTATTCTTCATCACAGTAATTTTATTTTGCAAATTATCATTCATCCGTGTTTTCATAATTGTTGACCGACAGCACTCCTTTCCTCCTTTCCTTATGGTTATGATCTTGGATATATCCCCGGTATTACATATCCTGGACTGGATATGTAACGCCATCTCTGTAACAGCATTATATTAAAGTGTAAGAATTTTCCCATGATAAGTGCCGCCATCTCTGAGACAACTAGTGAACTTTTACCAACAACATATTCCGAATATAATATTTCGGCTGTAAAGTTCACTGGTTGTCTCAGAGATGGCGGCACTTATATGCTGTGGAGTGCAAGCAAAATCACTACCACAATTTCTTTAATGTTAATCGAATCAAAAAGCAAGTAATTAGTTAACAGATAGGTTTTAACAAGTCTTTTCTTTATTTTACAGTTTTCCGAGGATGTACACTGCGCAGTGCCGCGAGGTAAGTAATAATACTACAGAGTAATAATACAATGCCACGCCTAGCCGCGGCGCTAGTATTTTTGTACTAATATATTTGGAATAATTTCTTGGAAAAAGTTCACTGGTTGTCTCAGAGATGGCGGCACTTATATGCCCAGGAGGTGCTGCCCCCTTATCGGTGAAAGTTCGAACTACACTATACTTTAATATAATAGCCGGTTCCGCGATACAGTATTCCAATGATGAAATTTTACGAGTTTTTCAATACTTCCAAAACGGTCGAAATCAAGTCTAATAACGTTTGCTATCGTTTAAATATCAAATTTGCTATAGCACCATCGCAAATTCTAAGAAGGGAGGAAACAATTAAGTTTTTCTATTCTACAATTCTACAGTTAAACGTAGCTTTACAAATGTCAATTAACTTTCACTAGCCTACACACCTTACTCAAATTACCTGAAACCAGTTAAAAATAATCCAAGGAGCACCTATAGATAGAAATTTGATGTACGCAGAGGATAATTCCAGCGCATTACCTCTGCTATCCTTCTTCCAATTGGAAAAACAGGTACGAAACAAGTTACTCACGCTTGTCAGACGTTTTTAAAGAAAACAACTATAATAAATAAGTGTGGCGAAGCGCATATACAAAATACCGTTGTATCGTTATAACGTACGAAAGAAAATTGCAGAATATAAGTCGCTGGAGTCCGTCCCAATGTCACTGCCACGAATAAACTCGTACGTAACAAAGCGACGTGTGGTGATTTTGTATCGAATTGATTGCGCAAAACCAATCACGTAATCCTAGTAGTCATTCGCATCCACATATTGGATTTTCAATGACGAATGAGTGAAACAAGAAGGGAAAATAATTAGAAAAAAATGGCCAAGTCCCATAAGAACCCAGAATCGCAAGCAGTAGCTGAAATAACGTCCGACTGCAGGAAATAGCGACCGAGGCTTAACGATCTCGAGTATCTAAAAGTTCGAAATACCTATTGATACGTTAATGTGCATAGGCATCCATTTGTAGAAGGAATTCGGTGGTAGCAGCCAGGCGTACCGGTATGCGCAGTAAAGAAAACAACCAAACTGACGTTCTCTTTAAAGACAGCGAAGCTTCGGTACGTGGTGCTAGGTTATTAATAGCCAAGAAAATCTGAGACAGCTGCAGTGTCCGAGGCCAGATTCGAACTGTACGAATTCTACGTTCTCTATCTCTCGACAGGGTCGAGGTTGTCTATGCAAATTCCATAGGGGCGAGATTTCTATTCCAGTTAAGCAAAAGACAGTATTCTAGCTTTGCACGTAAACCTGCATAGTTGCCTACGTGGCTATTAATCTGTCACAGTCACCACCTCCAACAGAGGCAACGCTTGTTAATACTTGAAAAAAGCTATACTACCCACCTACTTATTCTCAATAAGTCGTCGAAGCCCTTGACTCGGTGCAAATATTGCATACGAGTGCCTGTAGAGCGTTTTCTCATATATATCAGACACAATATATCAATAATATATATATATATATATATATACGCAATGTTCATGGCTGATCTTGTTAAGCCGTAAAAAGTCTAGAGAGGCCATTTTACATAGCGAACATGCTGCAGATACGAGGCGAGACGAATGAGGTCTGCACGGAAAGTTGCGCCTGCTACGTCACTGTGGATGAGGTCATTTCAGGGCCCACGCACACTGCTCGCACCCTTAAGGAACGAAAGAACGAAAGACTGTGCAGACAAGAGAACCGCTGTCGACTGTTTCAACAGAAAACATTGGCCATTCACGTACATATGTTTCAGTGACTCCTTCCTCTACCGTGCCGAGCAAAATCTTCATAAAAATTGCGTATTGTCATTAGAGGATGAAAAATCTCTTCTGGATTCCCATTGGCCGCTCCAGAGTGTAGCCTGATATGGTGCTGGAAGTCGTGTGACTACGTAGCCGAGGGCACGGACGTCGTCCGAGCAAATTCGACGCCCACAACGTCTCTACGTAATCGATACGTAGTCGTACGCGAATGCCAACCAGTAGTAATTTCAACAATGTGCCTATATGTACATAACCATACATAACCGAGTTATTACGTATCAAGATAAAATAAGAAAGCGAAGTGGATGACGTCGTTAAAAAATGAAAATGCTTCCTTCCGTCCCGATACGCTACCTCAGATATCTCACCATCCTGGGACTTGGGATTTGGGCCATTCGGTGAGAACCATCGACGTAGACTTCGGCGACTCCTCTCTGCCTTATATGGTGTGTTGTGACGCGCTTTTATCGATCTGTCCTTCCTGTGGCAAGCAGTGACGTCACGCCCTTCGTATCCCCCCGCGCCAATCCACAAACTCTGAAATTCTCAGCGAGACGACACAGGCAGGAAGAAAAAGGAGGCACGGGGGACGCCAAGCCATTCTGACATTGACACACATATCTATGTTTCTCTGTAGCGTCGCGACGCTTTGTATATACATATAATCGAATAGCATAGAAATATATAGTTTGAAGTTGGCAGTTCTGCAGGGTGAGTCATCGGATATTCGTCTCTACCTATTCTGCTTCTATATTCCTCTTTTTCTAATGCACGGGATAATACCTATATCCATAGGATTCGTAGATCAATCGAGAAACGCATGGATGCTTGATTCATCCAATGAGAATATATCCTTGGATCTTTCTTCTTTGGGCGCTGCAACAATTCTATTTGCGAAGAATAAGGAGGCGGTTAGCTTGTACCACGTCATCCATTGAGTTCATCTATAAATGACGTTGAGAATATCCAAAATAGCAACTAACATCATACCAGCTGGACTCGGTAACGGTTTCTACAGGTTTCAGATGTAAACAAGACAGCTCCGCGTATAATTGGCTTTTCTAGAAAACAAAATACTAAGTTATGCTCCAATTTTCTTTAAGGGTGTTTTGCTGCGTCTGTAACAATCATTTGGATGGTTGGGAGAGCAGTATAGTCTTTATATACATAATTGTCTGATAAATTCTCTAATATCTTCTCTCTATCGATAACGAACGAGCATCACTTTGAACTGAGCTACTCTACGTGAACCTTGCTTAACGTAAGCTAATTAGTCAATTAACGTTAAGAAAAGCTGCCCTGGCTACACCTCGTTAACCCTAACGTACGTGACGTAAAGATTCTCTGGGTCGAGATGGAGGAAAGCCAGGATGTCTTTGAATTCGATTCACTAAGTTGATTCATTATTCCTTTCAATTTATGGGACTCGTCACTCTCGATGCACTCAGCTATTACTTGCTAGTCGTGGGTCTAATATACATATGTATACACGGGACGTTTTATAACGGACTAATAGCCTGAATCTTCAGGCCACTGGGTCATCAGTCAAATTACTTCTGATAGGTACATACAATTTATTAAGTAATCCCATATGTTTCTACAAATTCTGATATTCTTAATGGACTTGAAATTTAGTTAAAATTTAATAGGAATAATCTAGAAATTTACAGTATATCAATTGAGGATCCATACTAATCTAAATACATCAGTCGCGTGGTAGGATATTCATCATCAGTGTGATCTGTATAAGGCGCGAAGTGCCACCGGCATTAGTCATGCATTTCATGGAGCCGTGTATTGCCATTGGCAAACGTGACGCTGACAAATAAATGTAGCGTTTTATTAAAACAGAAGAATCGGCTGGTAGGAAGTACCGTCTAGCTGGTAGGCATTTTTTTCGTGAACATTCCACGAGTCCCAGAGTCTGGCTGCCATAGCGAAGCAGTCCCTCTTCTCACTCCCCACTCCAGCCACGAGGACCGAATAACGCCGAGTATTGCCGAACTCCCACGATCGTGCCACGAAGCTCGCACAACTATTTAAGGAGTAGTCGGCGAGCCGGGTTTATTCCTAGGCGAAAAGTCAAACGGTGTAGAGGCACGTCGTGAGATCTCCAGTGAAAGAAATTCTTGTTGCTTTGAAATATATTCCTTATTGTATATATTTTAACGGTGTGTGAAGTGTTGAGCACTTATCAGAATCGTCTCAAAAGCGGGAAAGAAAAAATTAAAAAAATGGCCGACAGTGGTATCAAGCGCAACGTCCCCATCAAGCTCGGTGATTTCAGCGTCATCGATACAGAATTCTCTAACATCCGTGAACGCTTCGATGCTGAGATGAGGAAGATGGAAGAGGAGATGTCACGATTCCGTACGGAATTGATGAACCGGGAGAGCAATAACTTCTTCAAGAGCACCACCAGGTATTTTGATTTACTTAACTTTATAAAATTGTTACTTACGTCCTAAAGTCCTACATCCCCTACATTCTCCTCTTATTCCGCTAATAAATATACCTAGTGTCTGTATACTATATTAAGAGATACTGTATAATTGCGTGTTTCTTTCAATTATTTTAATTATTCGCACTTATCACGTCACTCGTGTTAGAATTGTTCTAACTTCTCTTAAACGTATTTCTTGAAGAGTGCTATACCAGAGTTCAACAAGAGAATAGCAACAAGTATCTAGAATAGCTGTATACGTGTAGTCAGTACGTGACTGGTTTTTGAAAGATACGAAATAAGGTAGAGGCACTGTGAATTCTGTTGGAAAATGTAATATAAAGCACCACTACTATTATGTTAAATAATAGCTTGTAGAATTTCATTAAATTATTGTGGGAGACATGTTAGAAATAGGTTACAATGTATTCTCTCCACAGCTGTTTCTCATATTCTATCGCGTGTGGATGAAGAACTATATTTGAGTTTTGTATTCGAGTTGAAAATCTGGTGTACGTAATTTTAAATGCTTTACATACAAAACTAAGCGACTAGGCTGAATTTCGTATATTTTTTTTTCACGAATGATTTAATTGTTGAATTAATACGAAAAAGCACTCGACTATCTACTCGAAATTATCCAATTCAGTTGAATCTCAATCAGTCAGGCCTAAAAACATTTGTTTATTTCGATATTAACTGGGCAAGGGTTACCAACCACTAAGGGATATCTCACGTTCTTAATCGATTAGCTTACAATACCAACATGAAGACTTGTCAAAAATCAATCAACAAGTTACTTTTAGTATGACACATTGTATAAAACGTAGTAGCATAAATTAACTAACTAATTAGAAATGAAATTATGAAATTTTATTGACCGGCTAGGAAATCATCACGGAATACAGGTTAGAATGTCTATCATCTGATCACTCACTCAGTAGATAAGTTCCTATAGAAATTTCAGTTGTCATACAAAAAAATAAAATGAAAAAACAGTTATAACTGGCCAGGTGAAGCGCAAACGTGAAGTCACAAACAGCCGGCTTTATTTTAAACGATCAGATACAAAAATAAATGTTCTACCGGAGTCCTTGGAGTGTTTCATATATACTTAATAGCCACTTTGATATCGAAATATATTAGACTAGCAAACCCGTTCGAAGATACATTGGCTGCCCGTATACGTTATAATTCTATCTTTTTTCATACTTCTTCAAAGTCTAAACCAAATTGTGTAAACCGATACTGCATATTCTTCTCTAGATTTCATTCAATTTTTCCCAGTGGTCGATTCGACACTATTTTTTATATTTTGACGTGTTATCGCTATTTTTAGAGATTTCGTCATTCCACTCAAAGCGTCGTTACGAGGCACGTAGCTACCGTCACTTCGTGTTTGAGCCTCACATACCTATGTAACATATTTTCGCTTTTCTGCAGTTCATTTCTATAGACACGTAGAGGATCGAGTTGATATCAACTACGTTCATCGCTCTTTTGCGTCAAACGTGCTCCATCTACTCGTAGTCATTTTTCTTTTTTTTTCTTCCTGTCATTTTTTAATGGGCCGGACGGACAGCCAGAGAGAAGGTATCAGCAGACGTGGGAGCACTTTGTGTGCAGCATTATTCGCTCGGTCTGCGCCATTTATGAACCCGGCTGAAGCTATTCAGAGTTCTTCCGTCTACATTTTTGTTATTTGATGTATCTTGTGCTTGGTTGCCTAGTAGCTCCGGTTCGTGACTGCTTGTTAGATTATTTTTCCATAAATGAAACTAACGTGGATGCGGTTTGGCTGAACATGCACTGGTTCGACGTAACGTAATATCGCGTTTTCATGATGTCGTGTAGCGTCGTCCCATAAAGCCTTTTGGTAACGCGATATTCTCCTGGAGGGAAGAAAAGTTTGTCTCGTCGAGGAAATTCTTTTGAAAGAAACTCGAGTCTATTTTTTTGGGGCTTATTGATTTTTATCCTTCTGCGCGTTTGCCGCTCTATGGTTTTAGATACACGTGCAATGGCTGCTCGTGCCGAGGGGTAGCATTGCGTCACTTTGTTCGTATCGACCGACCAAATTTTGTACGACGAATATTACGGACTAACGTGCCACGCAGAAATAGGACTTAGGGGCCGCTAATTCGTTTTTGGCTTTACGCCCCTGCTAGACGAGTTTTGTTAAAACACCCCTGGAGCTCTGCCGAACTTCTCACCAGATTCAAATCGAGTCTCCCTTCTTCGCTGTTTTGCCAATCGATGAATTTAAAATCTTATCAAAATTTCAATCGAAGGTTGACTCGGCCGAATCTTTCGAATAGATAAGACGCGATCTCTGGCAGATAAGGATGTTGAATTGTCATTCCTCCCTGGTATATACGAGCAATCGCACAATGGCAGCGAGTGGAATTGTAAAAAAAAGGAGAGAAGCGCTTTGGTGCTGATTGAAAAAGGTATTTAGTCATCTTGCGCAATGCACCTCGTGACGCAATCGTCCTTGACACGTGACCAGTCACGTGGACAAAAAATCCAGTCTTCTCCCCACTAGAGCGACGCACTCTGAAACGTATATGGCTACACCTATCCACACAAGCATAGTTAATAGGCAAAGCACGAAAATCGTACGACTAAACTTGCGCCTACTACATAGCCACGCGTGTTAATATAGCGAAAGACAGAAACAGCAATAGAGTCATTCCTGGTTTTCTCGCCGGATGCGCAGTCATTTTTAACACTTGACACTGGGCAGACGTTCCTTTGACAGTTCTCATCTCGACCATCCGACCTCACGTTCTGGATTCTACAATATCCGATCTTCGCGATGTTCGCTCAAGACGTTATTCCGCCTCAGCACGTTACCGTCCTTCGGTATCGGTGGGTAACAGAAACACAGAAACTATTGGCCAACCGTCCGTAGAGACGGTGACGCTTTAGAGAGCGAAGCGCACTGAAGAATTTTTTTCTTTTTCTTTTCTTTTTTTATTCTTGCATATACGTAACGCGTAGACTAGTCGAGGAATTGCATGCTTGTGGGTACACGTGTGTGTTTGCATATACTTATTTTTTTTTCTCATTTTCATTAACTCATACGTGGGTCCGTACTGACGCGCGATTAGCCTTTGTAATTAAAGAGATCAAGTGCGATTGGTTTTCGCAATCGCCGGTGATTCAGTGCGAGACCGAAGTCTCGGTTAAACACTCGTTGACGAGCGGCTCAGCCTCTTTAAGGAGACCTGAATTCGGTCAGTGTCGACGAGCACCAAACTCGTCTAAAAATTGATCGACTTTCCATTTGTTTTTTTTTTGTTTTTTTTTTTCCCTTTGCGAAACACACGTCGACCATCCGTCCAATTGACCAATGGGCACCGTACGTACAGACTTGTCACGCGCTCATACGTTAGAAGGGAAAAGGGCTTCTATTACTATTCTAGTACTTAATAACCGATCGATCTGTCAAGTGGCGGTGAAGTGCGATAAGAAAGAAAATGGCCGCCGTTATTGAAAATCCTCAATGAATTACGGGACGGATTTACGGCGTTTATTGAAAGTCAACCGGAAGGAGTGGCGCTTTCCAGTAATCAGGAAACGCAAATATTTGGCTATCCTGAGCCAGGGAATTTACGTTGGAATGCGATTCGAGCGAGATAAGGGAGTTATCAAATTTTTCCTAGAATTCATTCTGAAATTCTGAGAAGAGTCAAACGTGCCCGTCGCTGATTAGATAGACGGGAATTCCGCGGTTTAAATGATACATGCATTTCTCTCTGTCTTTATAAATCCGATTTCCCATGTCAACTCGTGGCGTCGCGACGCGTAAAGTCACGTGACAATTCTGGGGTGCGCGGAGCCCACCCCCCTCTGTTCTCGGGAGGACTTGAGCTTTGCCTTTCCGGCATGAATGTTACGTTTATTATGGGTGTACCAGGACGGAAATAACATCGCGCACTATTTCAGGGCCTTTCCCTCCTCCAGAGGGAGGTCATTGACCTCAACAAGGAAGACTTGTCACTTCCGCTTACGTCGGCTAACTCTTTATTAAGGTCCCTACGTTATCTAAGGCATCTCCGTGTGCAGCTTACTCGTGCCTGAGGAGGGTTGGCAGTACCGTAAACCCTTGCCACTTTGAGACCTTGGTGTTTTTTTTTCTTCTATCAACTTTTCATTTGTTTCTAAATCATTTTTCCTATATAAATCCGTTCATTCTTAGATCTTGTTTCTAGCACTTTTGTTTTATCGTCAATACCCAGTCCTGACCTATTTCGATAAAAAAAACGCACAGGAGCACCCCTCCTCTCTACACTCTAGAACTAGCTAGCACTCACGATCATGCGTCGAATTAAAGAAAAACGACGAATAAATAAAAAAAAACACTAACCACGAGTTAACTATCCTCTCCTTCCCTCGTATTGCGTATCCGTGATTGGCTGCGATTGGCACCCTTGGTGACTAACTACTCTGCAAGCCGACACCACACGAGCAGCAGCGAGCACCGCAGCACGACTTCCAAGACAGGCGGTTGGGAGAAGATCGACAGTAGTGCTGTACCGCCGACTCGTTCAGCCTTCGACAGTTTCACCAGGTGACACTCTAAAGCCTCGCTAAAAAAAAAAAGAGAAAAAACTGCCAGATACGAAGCACCAATCGTTCGTTCGCATCACAAACCTTCCTCTTCCTGGATTTGCCTGACATGCGGCACACCGCACTCGACCATCATCCGTGACCTTTGACCCGTCTGCTAGCTTGGATGATCCAGAGCGTTATCTGTGCCGAGACACTTTGCATTGGCAGCTAAGAGAAATGTTTGAAAATTGTCTCGGCCCTCGGGAAGCTTTCCTCATGTGTCTAATGCTTCGTGCTCTACTCCATTGCCCTGATCTTTGTGCTTTGCGTGAATGCCTGCGTTTTTTCTCTCTGTCTCTTTCGTTACTGTGCCTGTTCCGGCGTAGTGAAGCGCAGCGAGCAGATCTAGACTAGACAAAGTAATGCATAACGATACCTTAGTCTTCGTAAGATCTTAGTATAGTCTAGGTTAGTTTTTAGTAGACTCTAGAGACCCGAGTAAATCTTTAAAGAGGTAGAAGAAAAAGGGTATATATATATATATATATGTGTGTGTGTGTGTGTACGGACTATCCACGTAGATTTAATGTGAAAGACGACGGAATCTTTAGATAAGGGATTACTAACTCTTATATATATATATATATGTAGTCTAGGTTAGTTTTTAGTAGACTCTAGAGACCCGAGTAAATCTTTAAAGAGGTAGAAGAAAAAGGGTATATATATATATATATATGTGTGTGTGTGTGTGTACGGACTATCCACGTAGATTTAATGTGAAAGACGACGGAATCTTTAGATAAGGGATTACTAACTCTCGATGGCGATGCTAATTGTCATAAGAAAACGCGTAGCTGTAATCGCTCTCTGTTTAATCGATTGCCTTTTTCCCCATTTCTATATATCTGTCAGTGTCTCTGCTCTTTACGTAAAAATAGATGCCGTTCAGTGTTTTATACGGATGAACTAGATGATTTTTCGAATCGCAAGACGACAATGATTTTTCGTGATTTTCTGACTCGGTCGTTTTAATTTTCCAGCACGACCACACAGCAATCGAGCCAGAACAGCTCCCTGAGTCCTCAGCACGACGCGCGCACCTGGCTGGACGGATTGAACAGTCCTTTGATTCAAGATGAGGGAAACAACAAGATGCTGAAGCTGCGCTTCGACGTCTCCCAGTACACACCGGAAGAGATCGTCGTGAAGACTGTGGACAACAAGCTTCTGGTGAGTCTTGCATGTTGAAAGAGTTATCGGAACTGCTGCTGAACTGGCTTTGAAAATAAGGAGAGCAAAGCGTGCGCTGCGTCGCAACCCGGTCGGACAGCAGCGGCGGTGCGTCCGGTGCGTGCGCTGGGCACTTAGCATTCCTTGCTGGTGCACTTGCGCAACTTTGCCAAGGTGGCGCGTATCTGGTTCCCCGTTTGCATAAGACAAGAGACACGACGACCTACGGGATGCTCCTCGTGTTTCCTCTCGATGATAATTTCAAATATCGGAAAGTTTAACTTTTACGTGCACCAGCCGAAGAAATCCCATGGAGAAGCTCCTATTTGTGGATTGTGCTCATGCGAGTTCGGCGTACTGAATATTTTTCTTGGTTTTCGCGGTGGGTCTGCGCAATTTCGAAAATGGCCGGCAGTTACGGATGGACAGGAGAGATGTGTACGGTAAACGAAGGTGGGAGTCGACTCGGTTCGAGTCCGACGACCGAAATAACCAGCTCCGAAAATACCGGTGGTCGTCACACCGGCAGACCGGAATAATGCCGCCATTGTGAACCGACGTGCTGAATTATAACTAGTCTGCTTCTTTTTTTTCCTTTTTCTTTCGCTATGCGCTATCTTTACGGGTAAAAGAGAAAACGTTGGAAAACTCTCGCGGTGGGCTCCGCCAGGTACCTCGGCAGGTCGGACCACTGCATCGGACCACTGAAAATGTCAGAGATCGATTCGATCGTAGGAAATAAATGGAGAAAGGTTAAAGAAACAGTAAAGATGCCGACGTACCGTTGTGCAAACTCCAGTTCAATGCTCCGAGTTGTTGCTACGCGAGAAACAATACTGGCACTTCTCCTGCCATTTCCTTTTGCCGTTGTCTTCACGTTGGAATGACCTCACGGGCGAACTCGACCTTTCCTTCTTTCCTCCCACGAGTCTTATTTCATTGTCCAAATTTGTTCGGCTCTTTGGTAACGGGATGGTCCTTTCTTCTGTAATTCTTGCTCGCTGGATCCCTCTCCTATTCTTTTTGGCGAAAGTCAGCGGCATTGAGTCTCTCTCGTGGATCATCTCTATATTTAGACGCTGATTTTATTTGACGTTCAAAATTCTTTCCAGAGCCTTTGCTCGTTTCTCTGGACTTCAGCATCCTCGTTCCGGTAGGCTCGACGTGTCCCGCGTGTCCCGCGTGTCCCGCGTTGTGGCTTCCGAGTGTCAGGCGAATTGGCAGAAGCGTCTCTAATGTTTGTTGACGCTCCTGTACTGTGTACGTTAAGACTCTGTTACGCAATCTGCGGAAATATTTATATTCTTCATTAGAATCTCCTAATTTACTTCGCACTGTGGACGCCAAAGAAACGCGTCGGCGTAGGCGCCGGATGAGGCCTTCTCAGACTCGAGTTGTCTCTCATCTAACGGACCGGTGTCGGCTTTATTTTATTGGCAAGGAGAATTCTGTTCTTCCGTACCGAAGGCTGCAGTCCGGTTGTCAACTGGTTGGAACCAGACTTGTTGTTGGTGCTTCCCTTCCCTAGAGCCCTTAAAGGATACCCGGAACAAGGTCGACCTCTTCTCCAGCTTCGACCTCCTCCCGAACGACTAGCGTGCAGCCGAAAGGGAAGAGCCTTAAATAGCAAAGCAGGCAGAAGGTTCTCGAGTTTCCTTCGGCTCGTTCGTTCAATCGAATTTCGAGGGCGTCGGGACGCTCCCCGGCCGCCGTCTTGTCGCGCTGTGCTTTGCTCTCTACGAGCCTAACGTCGAAAATGTGGCGCTTTATATTTAGTCTCTGAGTCAGGCAAGGCAGCGGCTGCCGTTATTTCGGATAGTGGAAAGCGGGCCGCACGACGCTGCGCCGTTCAGGCGAGTTTCATTCATGCCGACGCCAAAGCTGAATGAACGGGCTACGACTCATGCGTAGAAAGAGAGAGAGAGAGAGAGAGTGAGTGTGTGTGTGTGAGAGAGAGAGAGAGAGAGGGAGGGAGGGAGGGAGGGAGGGAGGGTGGGTGGATACGCCGCAGTGTAGGAAGAGAAAGGAAATCGGATGAAAGCTGGAGGATCCAAGAACCAAGAGTTAAGATACTCGGGAGGTATCGCGTTGTGGATTGACCTTTAGGTTTTTTTTATCTCTTGTCAATTGTTTTACGATTCCCCATTTTCCAGATGCAACAAACCATTGCGCAATTTTTTATTAAACTGATAACCTAACGTAGACAGTGGTCCTCGATATGCTTTGGTCGTTGGAAAACAAGACTGTGAAGGACGTTGAAAAAAAAAAGAAAAGTACGTAACCCGCACTCGCCGGTAAGACGACACTGGGGAGCTGAGGATGGCGCATTGAATTACCCGCTGATTCCAGTCAGGGTGTCTTTCGTTTTCTCCAGCCTCACGCAATTCTTCTTGTGTTACAAGTTTCCTCGGGAGCCGCGTTTTCTTGCATATTTTATTGTTGATTCTCTTGCGGCTTTTTAATTTCGGATTTAAAAAGCACCGATCGTCTTTGCTTTATCAGGTCGGATCTAGAAATTTTGAATCGCGTGACTCGTTGAACCATTTCGCGTCTTTTATCGGTCGATAGTGGCTGCACGCGAGTTGACGATCCTTGTCAGGATCACGCGATCCTGATTTCATATATTTGATCTTTAGCAGGATTTATATAACAATTTTGTTAACGATCTGGGGAATATAGTTGGCGAAATATGTAAAACAGCTGCCCGACAATTTTTACTCGAGGTTTTCGTGCAGCTACACGTATAGGTATATATATCCTTGCGGTTGGCAAGACTGTTGACGTAATCGTCGACTAAAATAGTTGGATTCGTTATATTGGTAACACGTTGGCCCTCTACCAACTATACTAAACGGCAGAGACACGTCGCATAGTAGACAAAAAAAAAGTGGCTCGCGATCCAAATTATCAAAAAATTAAATGTAGTAGCGTATTTCTCGCGATAATCCGAATTTGGCGGATTTTCTTCTTCCTTACACGGCTAATAATTTGGATATCGATTTTATTTCCCAAGGGTCTCCTGAGCCGCCTCACAATTAGTCTCGTGATATCCGAACGGGCTTGTATGTCAAACTGTCGACACGAAGTTAAGTCATTAGCACTTTACGTAATGCAATTAGTGTCGGGAACCTCTTGAACCGACCGATACACACGAACGCAGTATCCCGGTCACTCTCGTTTACCGGTGGGTGCGCTTCCAAATATCCTGTGGATAAATTCCTCTGATTTACATTCGGTTTTACTCCTCTGTAATTGGGCCTTACGTTGGAGGCTGCCATTCGATTAGAATTATATTTATTGTAATTATCAGTATTATCGTTCGCGCGCCATGCGTTACGTTGTCAGAATCTACAGTTTTATTTTTCACTGATAACAACAATTCGGTTGGCCCGAATGTGATTAATGAGGATTCCATAAATTTCCTAGTCGCAGGATAAAGAGCTGGCGTCTCCAGGATATCCTTGGCTGGTTATAAATGATTGCTGGGCGCAGGGAGAGGGAATGGAAAAGGAAAAGAAATAGGAACGTTGTTCCACGTGTATTAAGACAGTTTCGCGTACGTATCTATCGATTCACCCGGATTCAGTCGGGCAGACTCTGGTGGGTCAAGCAGATGGGTCGGCGCCTTCCCGGCGGGATTTTCTTCTTTTTCTCGGGGGTGCTTTTTCCTTGGGTTTTATTGCCATCCCGTATTCTCTCGCTCTCCCGCTCAGCCTCCACTGCAGCTGGAGGAAAGCGTAAACACGCACTTTGGGCTCTCTTTATCTCATTGGATTAACCTACTTCTCCACGTAAAGTTCCAGCAAAGCGACTCGCTTCGCTTCCATCTTAATTCGCCAATGTTTATCAGCGGTTTGACATACTCTAGAGGCATTTCATATTATCAGACTGCACTTTCTTGACGTACTCCAATAATCCAGGCGAGTTCCTTCCGAGCGAGAATCGTCACTGACCTCGCTCAATTCTCGAGCAGCAGTAGCTATACACATTGGACGCATTCGTCTCCTAGTCGAGGGCGCCGCTGGCCTAGCTGGCACAATGGCGGCTTCATGGCTGACTCATACAGCGATGCTATAATGTGTCGAGCCTTCTTAGATTTTCCTTTCTGCAAACGTACCAAGGGTAGAGGTAGGGACGTCGGTAGGCACCATCGGTGGGCCAGTCGTCGGCCCGTGGACGTTCGAAGGAAAGATCAATATCGTCAGGGACCCGATGACGCTTTGCACGGCCAATCATCGATATGTCGACGCTAATGGCTAATAAATAACGATATCGTAACGCTATCGTCTATTTATAGATATTCCGTAAAGTCTCTTCCTTCCCGCGTAATTGGAAACCGGAGTGCGTAATTCTCGTAAAATATTCTCGGGACTTGCCGCGCCGTTCGATGCCTCTGATATTAATAACGGGTGACCCAATTGCAGCAGGTCACGTGTAGTCGCACGCCGTCACTTTGCTCTTTGAATAATTTAAATGGACGTTATATTTCTTAGCAATTACGTATAGTATATATATAGGCTATAGGACGGGACGTTTTCTCAGAGGAAGCTTTTTGGTACAGAGGAAGCTTTGGCTGCTTTTGTTAATACTGCATTGTTTTTTATTAAAGCTACCAGAGAAAAGACTAACAAAAATAATTAAAGGCACATTTGTTGACGCTGACCTCTTTCTCTCTCTCTCTTTAAAGGTCCATGCCAAGCACGAGGAGAAGACAGAGAGCAAATCAGTCTACAGGGAGTACAACCGTGAATTCTTGTTGCCCAAGGGCACCAACCCCGAGAGCATCAAGTCTTCTCTGAGCAAGGACGGCGTCCTGACCGTCGAGGCGCCCCTGCCAGCACTGGGAGCCGGCGAGAAGCTCATCCCCATCGCGCACAATTAAATTATTAATTCGATCTTTAATAATAATCCCTCCCTCCCTTCCTGCCTAAACCCCCATCCCTACTGTTTCCTACGAAGAAGAAATATCCTACAACGTCCTCTGCTCGCCCCTTGTCACTTTTGATGTTAAATGTGCAAATTCAAAAAGTTATTCTCTTGCATCGAACAATTACTTTGCGGCCGAACGATTGTGTCGTGTAAATTTGAAAGTAACGAGCGCGTTCATTTTGTCGAATATCTACATCAGAATTTGAGATGGCTATGGAAAATGCTCCAGATCGCTGCAGGACCGATTTAATCGCAGAAGCTCTCGTGAAATTTTATTATTTTTTGATCGGATACTTTTGAATCCTTCTGTTTCAAGGACGCGCGTCTTGGGGAAATAAGAGAGGGAATTTGATGCGCGACTAGACGAATGGGAAGCGTTATATATGTAATAAATGACTTATTTACGTGTTAGTTTATAGGTGTATCTTAAAAGACTAAACACTATGCCTAGCGTATTTAAGCATTACACTATTAATATTATTTATGAAATATTTTTTAATATTCTCGCACGGCAATGAAGTATAATAATAGCGTGAACGTCCGGATTTTGTAATGTGAAAGAGCCAACGCACATTATCAAGAGATTGAATAAAAGTCAATTTACAGCGAGGAGGACTCTATGCTGATATACCTGTTAGCTAATATATATTTAATATATTCATAACCTTATGTGCTTCCTGCTGGTTCGATCGCGCGTTGATTTTCAATTTTTCACATCTTCCTTTGCTCCTCGTACTTGTCTCAATTTATTTTGCAAGGAAAAACTTAATTCACTGTTACTTTTGCCCCGGGGGTGGGCATGCGGGCGCAATATCTCCCTACTTCATCTGATTTACGAAACTCCTCTTCATCGTTGTTAATAAAATATTTTCTATTTTGTAACGCTAAGCTATTCTATATTATTATGACTTATCGGTACGTAGGAATAATAAAGCACGATAATTTATTATGTTCTTGCGTTTTTTCTCGAGAATAAATTGGATTAATCTAGGACGTTTCTTTATTATTTTAATTGTCGATGTTCACATCTGCTCCGTTACTCGTATATGGTGTGATCATGCGACTGAATGACAAAACGTTTTTGTGTGTGTATATATATATATATTATTATTATCACAGATTTATTACTTTATTAACAAAATAGTTTGTTATCTTATATACAGATTAATAGTCTTATTAGTTACTTACATATAAAATTCATTCGCCGTTCTGCTTTCCTTTTACAAAAGGATCGCACCTTTAAAAAATTCTATACGCATACAAATATTGTCCACTGTACCGGCATGCCTTATTTCTTATTTGTTCTTCCGTGTATTCGTTTCAATGTTCTTGTATCTTTTGCGTTCCGACTCACGATACATAACAAAAATTTACCAAAATGAAAAAAAAATAGATTTTACGCGTGGGGCTACATATTACTGTTTTGGTATACGCTTATATTGATTAGGATATCGCTATCATAAGATAATGACAGTTAGAGCACCGGTACGCGCCCAAGTTATCGAGAAAAAGAAATACGACAGTCCTTTGGATACTGGAAACATTAATATTCTTAGGAAACATATGTCTCGACGAATGAAAGACTGGCATCGTTGTCCTCATTATATCAGCCATTTTCTTAATACAAAAATTGTAAGTGCACTGGCAGCGTATCTTCATTCATGTAGATTCTTTCTTTATTTTGTTAAACGAATTTCCGGGATCTCTAGATACTCGGTATTTCCGCTGAGAACAATGGCGCATCCGCTGCCGTAAACGTTGGCGATTTACCCTCTCGCGCTATTCGTAATGCCTGCAATACTGAAACTGTGTCCAGTTCCTTTTGATTCGGTTTTTCGTTGTCCAAACATATTTCAACGGCCCTCTTGCCAAACGGTTCCAGGACCTTCACCCTGTAATCGACTATGGTAGACACTGGATTCCCGGTTAGTCTTAGATTCTCCAGACACGGCAGACCGCCGATATTTTTAACTTCCTCGATGTCCTCGATACGGTTGCAACTCACGTCGAGTCCCTCCAGGGAGTAAAGCTTGGAGAAGGCCGCAAGTGTGGTAAGTTTGTTCTGGGAGAAGTCTATGAAAACTATGTTGCCTAATTTTGTATGAAGATCGTTAGGTAGGATTGTAAAATTATTAGACGCCAGATGAAGCTGTGAGAGACGTGGTAAAAGTGTCACGTTTGAAATTTCAGTGAGGACATTATCGTTCAGTGTCAAGGATTCGATATGCGGTAGGAGACGGATTGCTTCGTCTATTGTCTCTATTGCGTTATTACTCAAATCCAGATGCGTAACTTGAAGCCAGAGATGAGAATCATTGGCATTAGTTATGTGTTTGTGCACCTCTTCACACATTGCTAGATCAACTATATTCTTAAGATTTGTGTTGTGAACTTTTAAAACTTTTACCGTGTCTCGCAAATTTCCCATGTTGTAGATCTTATCCATCGGATAAGAGTCGACTGTTAAATTTTCCACATTCTTAAATGTTGACAATTCAAGTGGGAGCGATGATGGGTATATGTTACTTGTACCATATGGATCACTACTACTTTGAATTATAAGTGTATTCAAGTGGGAATTGAAGTCTAAAACATGGCTAAAATCAAATTTTTTATCCACTACTTCCAACGGAGGACAGGGCTGCTTTAATCTCTCACTGACTGCATGTAACTGAAACAGAGAGTAATTGAAGTTAGATACAGAAGTATCTAAAAGTATACATAGGTTTTGAGCAAAAACTTTGTTCGCTACCTGGACTGGATTAAACGTATAGCTTTGAGAAGTTTGTAGTAATGAATCCCCTTCGGCAAAGAACTGTTGAGCCATATTTTGGAGCAGAAAGAAAATATCGTACATATGAAAATCAAGGAACAGCGCAAACTCTCTGGGCATGGCTTTCTTTAGGTATTGATAGACTGCGTTGAGATATGATTCCAGCCCAATGCGTCTCTTTTCCACAAATATCTCACTCTTGTTCCCAATGAGTTTCTTTGGTGGCAATATGTCTTTTTCAACACAATGTTCGGAGACAAGTATTTCATGAAGTTCAGCAAATTCGTTGTATCTGTGCTTTACTGTCCACTTAACAGCTGCTATCCTAACCTCGATATTATAATATGTAACATTATCGACAGTCTCCACAGACGGAATTTTGACTTGCACGTCGTCCTGATTCAATAATAAGCACGCCATTCTGGCAAAGAGCAAGAAACTTGACTGAGTCTCAGTAACGGCAAGTGTTCTTTTTCCCAGCCAGCGATTCGTAGGTTATCCTCCGATTACAAACGCCCGACTCTTACACGTAGAGAAGCTGTTGTTCTATTCGCAACAAAATACAGATACCTTATCCCAACGGGACATTGTAGTCTTCCTTTCTGTTTACAGCGTACCACGAAATATCGAATTTGACAGTAGTAACTGTTATCTCCCGCAATAATACATTGCCGTTGTAGCACACATCTTTACAAGGACAATCCCTCCACTCGGATTCAACCATTGACATACGTATTATATTTACGAGACATATTCATTCACTTTAGCACCATAGGTAACACTAACTCAAAATCTTTTAATCATAAATGCAGGAAAAATAAATAAACCAGCTGCAAAAAATAGTCTTTCATCCCATCATGCACATATATGTATACTATACTGATATGTAACACTTCTGTTTCTTATTTCCTAAATCATTGTTACCGATAACAGATATGAGTAGGGAGATGCACAGCACTACGGTTTCGAGCGATACCAAAATCATGGCGCTGAATCCCAGCGGTAAGTCCGGAAATAGAATTTATGTGATCATCGCCTCCGTCGCTACTGCGGATCCCGTCGTAGCCCAGCTGACCGCAATCACGAACATGTAGCTTGACGAGCAGATTCGTATAGATATGCCAACGATGTCGTAAGATTTCGTTATCGTTTAGTTGACGTCGAGGTGCTCGAATCCAGGTGCTCTCGTGGGGAGATGGTCTCGACATAGCGCGTTGCCCGGCAAAGGACAATACCCGACGGAGACGGGCAAAGGGCTGCAGAGCGGGCGGAGATAAGGTTTCGTTACGATAAGGGGAGGAACCTCCTGCCCGAGTTAAAGATGTGGTACCCAGCTGTTGTCCAATGTCCTGGGGAAGCCGCCGTGGAGGATCTTCAAATCTTAAGTACCGATTTGCTAAGGAACGCTCTCCACTTGATTCAGAGGGACGGCATGAGGGAAAGGAAGAGTTATCGGCTATAAAGATCTCGACCAATCAGATAATCTTTCCAATAAATCCCCTTCGAAAAAGTATAGTCTCTAGTATATTCTCAGACACCATTTTTTGGAGTTTTTCAAAAAGGTTATAGGTAGTATAGTTATAAGTTAAAGGTAGTATAGTTATAGGTAAATGTAACAAAATGCAGCGCAGCATGCAACTGTGATCGCTCGACGGAAATCCTACTGTAGTCGAGAATGCCGCGTAGGTAGTATAGTTATAGGTAGTAGAAAAAGTATATTAATCCGTATGCGTGCGAGAGAGACGCACTTAGAGCCCTGCTGTGCTAATGAAACGTACGCTTTAGGAGCATTACAGGGAGCGTCAACGATATACTGAAATGCGAACAATTGCCGTGCACCGATCAGCCTGCATCGTCACTCGAGAGCATCGTTGACGAACCCTGTACGAGTTGTTATTGACAAACCTGTCGTAGGAGGGCATCACTTATGCCAAGGTGTGCTTGCGTCGCGAAACGTCTCTTTCTATACTCTTTATCCTTTACCTTCATTTATGAAAAAAAAGTGTGACGTAGTGAATTGATACGTTTCAGTAAGTGCGTCGCGAAGACATTATCTAAAGTTCGCGGAAATTCGCGTAGTGGTCTATTCGTGACAAGTGAAGAATAAGTCCGCAACCGGAAATACAGGAAGTGCAAAATAGTGGTCAAGGCTGGATCAACAAGTCGTCACCAGAATGGACCTCGAGTATCGACAGATGTACTGGACCAATGAACAATACAAATGGACAAGAAAAGGGCAGACGAGGATCCTGGGGTAAGTGATCTTTTTCTTTTTTCCTTTTTTTTTCTACTCACCATAAACATTTATGTAGGCGGCCATGCTGAAAGCCATAAATTTGCTATACTCAGCGGATACCGGAAGTATAGCATAGATCTGACTTATATTTGTCCGAGATTTTGGTATTTTCAATGAGTCCCCATTGAAAGAGTATAGTCTTTAGTATATCTCCACTGCGTTCCATCGTTTGTACCTTCACAGTTTTTTTATAAATTCAAGATAAGTGTCGTAGCAGGTACAGTGTCTAGACACCATTTTTTCGAGTTTTTCAAAAAAGCATTATCTAACAATAGTTCTAGGCGGAACTATGGTCCCAACGTTGAGTACTAGAGAGAACTATTCCGGAACTGTTTGAAACACAATCTAAAAACAACACTGAAAACCAGCTCCTTATGCATACCTGCACTGAAGCATATGGTGCGAATAGTATCATTAATAGGCATTTTACCGATGTTACGTAGCAGAACTATTGCTAAAACCTATCAGAAACTATAGAACTTCTCGGGAACTATTGAAAAAGCCTATTGTTAAAACATTTTTAAGACATTTTAAAATACATATTTTAACGATTTTACGTTGCAGAACTATTGTTAAAACCTATCAGAAACTATAGAACTCCTCGAGAACTTTTCAAAAAGCCTATTGTTAAAACATTTTTAAGACATTTTAAAATACATATTTTAACGATTTTACGTTGCAGAACTATTGTTAAAACCTATCAGAAACTATAGAACTCCTCGAGAACTTTTCAAAAAGCCTATTGTTGAAACATTTTTTAAGGCTTTTTAAATAGTTATCAAGGAGTTCTATAGTTCCTGATAGGTTTTAACAATCGTTCTGCTACGCAACATCGTTAAAATATGTATTAAATATGCTGGTGGCATCATACGCTTCAGTGCAGACAGGCATGAGTTGCTTGCTTTTGTCATATTAAACTTACCGAGCTTACACTGTGCGATCGAATTTAGGATTGCAAAGAAAAAAAGTATTTAGGCTATATCCGATGAGCTGTCTCGTTCTAATTGTAAGTGTTGCTTTGGGAACCTGCGATAAGTAACGGTGGACTCTGCCCGGCAAGCTTCACGTTCGTGATCGCTGTTTGCTCGGCTACGACGTGATCCGCATTATGGACGGAGGCTATTATCACATAACTCTACTTCCGGACTCGCTGCTGAGATTCAGCGGCATGCTTTTGGTATCGCATAAAACCGTGGCGTTGTGCATCTCCCTACTCATCTCTGCCGATAATAAACTCTACTGTACCTGCGAGCATAGTACCATCGACGCTCACCAGATGTCACCAGTGTGCCAAGGGAAAAAATTAGTTTCGTGAGCTTTGTTCTGGCGAAAAGCCACCAAGAACTCGAAAAGAGGATAAAGTAGCGTTTGGAAAGTCGACAACATCTCAGTGAGCCCAGTTTTGACATTTGTATAATAATCCAGAAGGAATAGGACGCCCTCTATTAAACGACGTCATTCTCCAAGGTCCTCGTTTACCTGGGCGTCTATCACACGCAACCAGATGAAAAATAATTCGTAGCGGTTCTCAGCGTGGCTACCTGTTGCTGTGGATGCTGCGCCAGGAGCCAATCATAATGGCGGACGATTTGCCTAACCTGCTGGGACGGGATGACCACCACGATTCTTCTAGGCCCCTTCCGTTCCCCTTTTGTGCCCCTTCTCCAGCGATGGCCCGACGAACCTGTTGCCCGCACTCATCCAGTACAGTGTCGGTTACGGCGATCGCTACAGGTGTCCCGAAAAATGCCAGTTCTACGAAATACCTGAGACCGGAAACTCATACGAAACGTACCTGGATTCTAGTGCATAAAAATCGCGCGTAAAAATAGACAATTTCTTGATACTTGTATCTTTGCAGTCAGTTTGTTTTGTCGCGCGATCGGTTATCCTTCGAAAATTTCATTGTGCTGGTTCGTGACATTCCTCGCGACAAGTTCTGTCTCTTATGTGCCTGCTGGCTGTGGTCTCGTGCCTGGTGTGTGCTTAATTATTACATATTTATCTTATTCGTTGAGTGCATTCTTTAACGTGACGTCTGTGCTAATATTTTCTACAATTGCTGTGCAGGATACGTCTACTGAAACCGTACCTGTGATATCACGTCTGGAAACAACACTTGATTACGCATCGATGCTACACGTTCACGACTGTCGACGATGAGTAAGTCACTTTCTATCTTTGATATTATTATCATCATATAAAATTAGATTTGATCGAAAGAGCCTGTAGTTTGTGAGGAATCTAGTGAAATAATTTTGTTGCTCGAAACAAAAATTAGCCGGCGAATGAGTGAAAGTTGTAAAAGATGCCGCGGAATGGAAAATGATGGCAGCTATGTCCACAGAGAAGTGAGATTCGGTAGAAATATTATACAGAGAGACATACATATGTAGTATACAGTGTGGGCGACCTGGCATTCCTGTCAAACGTTTCTACAGACTCTCTAGGCATTCTAGCTCTCCACCAAGAGAGTACAGAATTCTCGGCGAGCAGCTAGATCACGAACGTAAATACTGTATTACAAGATAAGAGAAACAAGAGTTATAACGAACGGTTTTATCGATACGAAATGTAGAAAAGAGGGTAAGGGGTGCCGGGTTTCCTGGGATCTTAGGCAATCCTAGAATCCGAAGAACGTTAGAGGAGGTTTTTACTTCGTGGAGATATACAAGAGAAAATGAGCAGAGTCCATTCCCATAGTCGTAGCCAGGCCAGTTCCCGAGGTGAGTCTTTGGCTCGCTACTCACTCTGTGGAATGCTCTGTTGTTGAGTTCCTGGCTGCGCCCTTCCTTTGCGAGAATTCTCCTGCCCTCTTCCACAACCCACAACGTACGTACCTACCTTGAGTAGGGTAGAACGATCTTAGCGACCGGTTCTCTCTTCTCTTCTCCGCTACTCCCGAAGGAGGAGGAGGAGGACGCACACGCACGCGCTCCGTACCCTCGGTAGAATCCTAGAGCCAGCTAGCCACGCGTTCATTTTGCTTTGGAATTCTTTTATGATGCCTTATTCTCTTTCTTCCTTCAACATTCAACATGTGTCTCTTGATATAGTATGCATGTGGGCTACACTCGCGTCCATTCTACCTAGACTCTACAGTCCATTCTCACTTACTGCTCTCGTCTACCCTGGCCAGTGTGTAAGTTGGTCTCTACTCTGGTGTCCTGTAATTTCTCTCGTCCGTGTCGACCTTCTACGGCACAAAGGCTACTACTCCAGTGTCTATCTGCCTACACCTACCTCTATTTCTCAAAGATCTCATTACCTGGAATTACTAAATTCGCGACCTCCGAGGAACCTCCTCCTCCTCCGTCGCCATTTTCCCACTGAAAGAGCATGATAAATTCATCCGAATTCCTCTGCGAGTTTTAAATCTTCTCGGTGGTAATATTATTTTGCTTATGGGCTTCAATCAGCTGCGTTCTGTTCTACAGGCTCTTTCAATTATGTATTTCTAAGCGCTCCCGCTACTCGCAAGTCAAACGGCACACGCTTGATTGGATACCCGCATGATTTGCCAAGTAGACTGATTGTGAGCCAGGATGTGACGTGGGCGTATTTTCAAAATACACCACCAGGACTTCCAGGTCCTTTGGGATCGTTTCGGCTCGCCCAGCCCCGATTCTGCTTCTGCGAGGAATC